AGACAACGGTGACAGTAGATAGTGATGCATACACGTTCAACCAGGGTTGTCACATTAATAAACCATTTATAGGCGTTTATTATTCTACGCTCATTTTCTACAGTGTAGCTTCACTTTTACGAAAGCATACCTGTAAACAAAAGCAAGCATTACCCATTCACACTCCCATGTTGACAATCGACAGCGATGCAACAGTGATTGACATCGTTCAACAATTTTTTTAACTTAATACACTTTGGATTGTTCGTACGTCGTAATTGCTACTGAAAGCAAAAGTGTTGCACACATGATCGCGCTAACACACAATTGGTGCAACCGTATTTATCCCTTCGTAAATATGATGTAAAAACAAAAAACATGAGCTAATGCAATGTTTTTCCACTACACAAGAGCAAGAGACTGCTTTACAACCCATTTGTTCTTTTCGAAAATAAAACAAAGTTTTCTCTTACAAAAAAAGTCAGAATTTGTTTTGTTGTGCGCATTTGCTCGGTAGAGACATTATTCAATAATGCCTACCAGTACGCAAGCTTGCAATCCATTTATACCTCAATTTTATGTACCTGTCCAAAAGGATACGGTAAGATAACTGAACTTAATGAAACAGAAACAAAACGAGTAGGAAATTGCTAATTTTGATCAGCGATATTTGAAAAACATTAACAGTTTTTGACCGTTGCTACTCAAGAATGAAAATCTGAGCAGTCATCCTATTCCGCAATGGTAAACATTTCGGAACGAGTTCCGCCTCCGGAATCAGTTCCTCCCCTGGAATCAGTTCCGTCGATTCCGGAATCAGGTCAAATATGAACACTGTCCGATTCCGGAATTCCTAGTAATTCCAGAATTACAACTTGTATCACTATTCTATCTTGTCTTATCCATTTCGTGATGATCCGATTCCGGTCCGGAATTCCAGAAATAGGTCAATATGGAATCGCTGGGAATTAGACGGAATTCCTAGGAATTCCGTGTAATTCCGGTCAATTCCTTTCAATTCCTGTTCGACCTAATTCCCGGAATTCCGTACCGGAATTGCATTTATCACCGAGCTGTAAGATATATCAATTGTCTATTGGTCACTCAATTCCGGAATCGCAAGGAATTCCGGGAATTAGATGGAATTGGTTCCGTGAACGGAACTGGTTCCGGAATGTTCAACAATGCGGAATAGGATGTATTCTCGGAAATCTTGATTTCTCGGATCGGCAAAATTGTTATTCCTACTAGCCCAATAGTGTAGCTCCACCGCTCTCGAATAACATTAATCATATTTTTAATAGATTTTATAGTTGATTTAAATTATTGAAGAATGCAGTATTTCTATTCACGTTTCATATAAAAGTGATTTTTTAACGAATTCATCAGCTTTTATAAATAAATATATAGAATTTTTCTAAAGTCTTACAAAGTCAATGAATCTTTAATTATCATTAGCTACAGCCGGAATAGACCTAGACTGTGAACAAAACTTACTCATAAACATCTTTGAGGGGATAACATATGAAGTATGAGAACACAGCATTCTATAAATAGTTTACGATAAATTGTAGGCAAATAAATGAAAGCCCATGGTCAATTCATACGGAATAAAGTCATAGAATGAAAATTATTGACGTAGTAGTCGTCTGTAACTCGACGTACTACAGTGAGATGCAAAACTCTTCGTTTCGATCTGCTAAAGTTTGTCTGATACAAAGACGGGAAATTCAGTTCTATTTACGATAAAAGTTTCAACAGTACAGCTTTCGCATGAAACTTTTACTATGAACTCTGGAACTTTCTCTACAACCATATTCAACCACACTTCTGACCTGTTTATAATTTTTTTCCATTTAAATTCATTTAGAACTACAGGCCACCTCATATATCAGTGAAAAATGTAACCACTGATCTCAATCAAGTCACTGACGTGTCTTCCGGTTCAAACATAGACAAAAGCACGAGATCGAGAAGAGTATTGCTAGCGGTTATTGCGACGTGTATACTTATTATCGCAGTCGCTGCGATTGTTGTGCCAATTTGCTTAAATTTATCTAAGAAAACTACAAGTAACTATGACAGATTTCACAAACAAAAATAATGATGAGGTAGTTGTTCGACTAAAGCCGGAGTAACTCCTGTCTATTGGTTTTCTTGCAAAAGTGCTTCTTTTAAGGTGCTAATACACTGTGGTAGAATAATATACGTACTCGTAGTTAAAATCTTATTTGAAAGTTGAAAATGATCAGAACACTCAAAAAATTCTTCCGAGATTCGACAAATACAAAATAATACGCCTTGGAATGTTCAAAACCACATATTATTTACATTTGACTGTATAAATTACAATAATTATTATAAGGATATAGTGTAACGCACCGCCTCTTCATTTCATTCTGAAGTAAGATGCTGTTCGATGGATGAGTGAATCCAGAAAATGTAACAGTCCACCACCCATCCAAACTCACTGTTTGATGAAGAGAGTCAAGGTTCACAGAAAATCCTTTGTTGATACGCGTTCAGATTTTTAATCATTCAGCATCATCGTTTTTATGCATATATTACGAGTAGACATATGCATGATCACTGTTTTTGATCATGGGCACGGTTCCGAACGTTGTTGCCGTGACTATGACCATGAGTCATGGTGGTCAAGTCGATGTTTGATCATGACAAATTTTTTCCGAGTATTTCTAAACATTTTCGTGAAGCAAAATCTGAACTAAATCAAGTGAAAAACCTAGCAAGCATAGAAACAGTCAAAAATTGATGAAAACGAAATTATTTTTCAGTATTCCATTTATTTATGAAATATTTCTATGTAAATTCTTTCAACTAGGCTATATTTATAATGTGTATATTTTTTTACGAGTACTATTTGGATATGATATATTCATTCCATTTCTTTGTTTCGAGTTAATTCAAATAAAATAAATGTGGAAACTTCGGATTTCATCCGAGAGTTATGTGTACTGCAAAAAGTGCATGGGACATATGAGTCATTCTAGAATGTCTGAACACGAAAATTATCATGAGAAACTAGGCAATTTGATTTCTGGATGCAGTTTTTGTGCATTTTGAGACGTTTTTCAGGCAATGTTTCGTTAGAAAGCTACGATATCGTTCAAAACTAATATCAGATTTAGAATCAGCGTTAAAAATTGAGTCGATTTATATATGTTGTGGGTAATTCTGAGAAAAAAAAGCTTTTTTTGAAAAATCGCTGTAGTCCCCCTCAGGGATGGTCTGATCAAAAATGACAATTTTTTCGATATCTCAGCCATTTCTTGGCGGATCCTTCTCATCTTCGAACTCGACCTGGATATTGATGAGACAATTCTGTGCACAAAATTTTAGCTCAATCGAATGTAATTGTGAAGAGCTATCGAATAAACGGACGGACGGACGGACGCCGGCCGGACACACTGACCGATTCTATAGTGTACTCTTTTGTTTGTTGAGTACACAAAAAGAATAGTGATACCAATCGACAGAATAATTAACAATAACCAATAATATCTTATTCACCACTTTCATTAACATCGCACAAAAATATTTTTTAACCAGTTCAGATTCTGAAAGATGAAGATAGAATATTATTGGTAATTCCCTATACGGGTGGCATATTTTATAAAACATTTTCGAATCTAGTTGTTCAAAAGGTTCGCAACTCAATTCGACAAAGCGTAGACACTATTTTTTCATACAGAATAATTTCACGGTATAGAAAGTTACATTTAATTAAATACAGATGACTAATAATCCTTCAACGGATATATCCTGAACCATATGAGCACTGACAGTATTAAACCTTTCCATAATAGTTTTGCAGAACAATACGGTTTATGTATTGAGAAAGAAATTATTTGGCAGATTTATAAATGAGATATGACTGTTGTTAAACAATGCTATAAGTGAAATCCACTGTGGATCTCTCTGATATAGTCCATTGAAGTCCCTATAAAATACTAAACTATTATCTAACACACAGAGTACAACTAAACTATGGTTTGCTAAAAGTTGAAAAATAAAGTTGTCTTGTCTGATACGCTACACGTCATTTGAATTTGTCTCGAACAATACTGATATAACATCTGATTTCCACTTCATCACTAGCAACAACAACAACGTCGACATCGACATCCACCACAGCAACCACATCAACCACTACAATAACCACAACAGGTTGGTACTCGTTTAATTTTTCACTGTAGCTCAATACCCATTCAGAAGATACATTTCCACATGAACTATCTGAAATTTTCTAACTTTCACTAAACACTTACTCGTTCTGTGCGACAAAAATCCATGAAAAGTTCATGATGACCATTATCGTTGTTCGAAAAACAAGACATATTTCATAACACTAACTGTTACAATTAAAAAAGTTTGTTTAAAATACCTTGTAAGAGTAGCCCCTTCGAGACTGCTGTGAAACCAGCGTTGCCACCTGATGAAGTTTGAAAAGCGGAATATAGCGGAAAGAAAAACAGAAAAAGAGGAAAAAAAAAGGAAGTTTATATTGTTGCAGATTTGTAATGTTTCTGAGAATATTAGGCAGTTTTTCTTATTTATTGGATTTCTTTTTATTTCATCAAAGTTTCAAAACATAAAAGAATGATGACTTACGGTAGTTGTAAACAATAAGAATTAATTCAATAGTATCAAATATTATTCTGTGAGTATGTTTGGTATGCAACACATTTTATACGAAAAAGTGGAAAAAACTGGAACAGCGGAAAAATAAAGGAACAAAAGTGAAAAAGCGGAAGAGGTGGCAACCCTGTGTAAAACTTATATATAATCCTTACGAGAGAACGTCTCCAAGTGACACCAACCATTCGGGTTCATATTGTGCTCATAAGTAATACCCAGTGAGACTGGAAAAGGCCTAATGGCACGAAATCTTATAGGCTTTTTCTAGTCTCACTAGGTCCTACTTATGAGCACAATGTGAACCCGAATGGTTGGTATCACTTGGAGACTTTCCCTCGTTAGACTTTCTAAACTACTCTAAAATGACTACAGGAAAAAATCTATCTTTAGTACCGAGATCTCTAATCAGGGCATTAACGATTTGCTTATGTAGGTAATTGAGAGTTAATTGTTAGCTACTGTCTGCATTGTTAGGCCTGGCTTTTTGTTTGCATTCAGCAATGAAAAAAAGATAACTCGCACTAATTGGTGTAACTCATAATTCCAACAATTTTTACCCACTAATATCTGTTAAGGGGAGGAACATGAGCCACCAACAACACTCACCATTTTCTTCGAGAAAATATTTACGATCCAAGAAAAATACGAACCGACTATACTATTCGAAACTGCAACAGTTTTCATAGATCCAAATCTGTTCCTCGTTCTAGTTTCATTTATTCATCATCCATCATTTTAGCTACTACGACTACAACTGCCCAAAACATACCGAGTGCCTTCTGGCCATTTGATAACAATGCATTGGAGTTGTACAACACTGGTATCGACGGAACTGTCTCTGGTGGTCCAACGTATACAACCAGTGTCCTTGGATATGGCGCTGCTATCAGTCTTACTCGATCTTCCAGTCAATACGTTTACATTACACCAACAATAATTCCATTCAATTCTCGTAGTTTCACAGTAGAAGCATGGATCTATCCTATCGGTTTTTCTGCTAGTAATGACTATGGAATAATGGGTCAATGTCAAACAACTAGTACCAATTTCTGCTTTCACGTTATAGTTCGAAACATCAACCTATATTTTGGGTTCTATTCGAGTGACTTACAGGGTGGAACTACTCTCACAATGAACATTTGGCAACATATAGCTTGTGTCTATGATTTGACGACGGGGACACAACAAGTGTGGCTCAATGGTAATCTTGATGGTTCACGTTCAGCGAGTGCCTACTCTGGTCTGTGGGGTATAACAACGATTGGAGCTACTTTTCAATCAGGCAGTATTACTTCTTTTAATGGTTACATTGACAATGTAAGATATACTTCTATAGCTAAAAATTCGACTGAAATTTTAAGGGATGCCAATCTCCAAGTTTATTATTCATTCAATGGTGGTTCGCTTACTGATTATGGTCCAAATGGCATTAATGCAACTGCCTTTGGAGTTCTCGTCAGTACTACTGGTCGTGTTGATCAAGCAATACAGTTTAACTCGGGACCCTACATTTCGTATGCGTATTATCCATTTTACTTTTTAGGCGTTAGTGGCTATTCATATACGATGGCCTTGTGGGCAAAACCGACAGGAAGTTACTCGGCACAAACACTTGTTTTCGTAACAGCATCAAGTGGTTGGTGTGTTCACTTTGTAGTAACAACATCAACTGGAGTTTTAACAGTTAACAGTTGGATGGGTAGTGGTGTAGGCGCAGTCGGTCCTACGCTCACGTTAAACACTTGGACACATATTGGCTATACTTATAGCACATCGAATGGTGTTCTATTGTATATCAATGGTAACTTATACTCGTCGAGTGGGTCTTTTACATTTTCGGCTTCCGGTGCCCCGATGCTCATCAGATTAGGAGGAGATAGTGGTGGAACGAGTTGCTCGCCTGGCTATGGAGGTGCATTCACGGGTGCTTTGGATGAATTCTATCTTTATAATCGTGAATTAACAGCAGCTCAAATTTATGCATTAGCGAATCCTTAAAGTCACCGCAAGATATTGACGATAGACATTTTGTACTATGAGATAGACGTTTTACAATGCAGCAAAGTTTCCTTCCTGATTCTCAATACGCTTATTTTATTGCTTTCAGCACTGGATAAGAATAAAAATGCTTGTACAACATTAAGAAAAAACTGTACTAACATGATACATGAAAACGAGTTTGAAAGTTTAAATTCTAGATACACCTATGAGTCTCTGCATTGGTGTGGTGTGGGAATTATTTTGAATTGCCCAATGAACAAGCACAGGCCGTCGGAATGACAATGCGGTACATATGTTTTATGCGTGTAGTCCTGGAACTAGTGATCAGTGTATTTTTCATATAAAAAAGATGAATACATGACGCACTAGCGTTGATTTGTTCAAATTTGGAAAGTTTTAAGATACATTAGCAATGTGCAATCAAGAACACTGAATAAATAAATTCATCAGTATTAGACGCACTGAAAACAGTCATAGGAATAAAGCTAGTTCCAGTATTTAAAATATGATGATGTAAAATTTCTAATGGTCTGTTATCTACATTAGATGTATTGACTGTGAGAGTTCAAGCATATGTACTTATTGACAATGAAACGTTTTTAAAGTAGAGTTTTGTAATGACGGTTATAGGTTATAAGTTACTCGACATATCCTCATAATATCAGTAGTAGAGATTTTTATTAAAAAGAATTTATCAGCAAAATATGTAGTGTTGGGCGACAGTATCTATGATAAGTAAATAGTAAATTCTGCATATGTTTCCAATCAGACTAATTCGTTGACGTTTATGTGAATAGATAATTTTTATCAAAACTACACTTTTATTCATAATTGAATCCCGTCTGTTTTAGAATATACTGAAATACCTCATTAGAACATAAATACGTAGTAGCTAACTGTTTAAACTTCCTTTAATAGTTATGTGTGAATAAGATACTCTTCTTTTTCTTCTCATATAATCTAATGCCTTTAATGACTACAAATGATTTCATGTTGAGATGAAGAAAATGTATCCTTTAAGAGCATCCAAATTGACAAGATAAAGCTCATTATTTAGCTACTTCCATATCACAATAATTTTCATAACAAAATAGAGGGAAAATCTTATCTATAGTTAAGTAAATTTCATGTCATATGTGGCACAGAAAATTATTTATCCTGAAAAGTATGTAGTAAAAGTATTTCCATAAGATATTTTTTGATTAGTTTTATTAATAAGATTGTTTTCAAAAAGAGACAAAACCAAAAAAGGACCACAATGGCATATAATTGATTTGACAAGTCATACAAATTCCGTTGTTTCATATCTAGAATGAAGATATTTGACTTTTGCCGAATTCTCCAGTGGTGTGTATTGAGATATAACTAATTACTTAATTATAAACTCAACAAATTATCCAAGCTATAAAAAAAAACGAAAGGCTGGCCAAGCATAAAACAAAAATAACATAGATTGAATATATCTTTTATAATTTTGTTAAAAGAAAAGAAAAACACAGATGTCAAGTTGCAAATGCTAGATCGCTAACACTGCATCAAGTAGGTTGTGCCAATTTTTCTTTTTTTAATGAAACATCATCTTCCTTCATATAGTTGTAATTCAATAGAAAACTTAAATTAGTTCAAGATATTTCATCGACTCATCCCTACTTTTGAATAAATGAAACAATGAAAGAATACCATTCATCGATTACTGTTGACCAATAGAATAGTCTGTACTCCATACTATAATATGTTATTAGTGATATTATTTCAGAGTTTCCCATGAAGTTCTAATCCTTCTTAGAAATATCAGAGATTCAAACTGACCGAAGCCGACAACAGTTTCATACTTAGATGAACGGTAATTCACCGTTGTTCTACTGGTGGTAATGCGAACAAATTTATCATGTCTATGTTCATCTACGAAATAAATGTTCATTGTGTTTGTTTTATGGTAAAACGTACGTAAACAATTTTAGTTTGACATAATAGCAATCATTTCACGATTTTTCATTGTTCGCGAACATTTTAAGAGATCAATTGAACATCAATTAACTCGAAGTCTCTAGTTTAAGATTACGTTGACCTGCAACAACTAGATCTTCAACACTGGCTAATTTGATTTCTAATTATAAATCTTAGTAATATGAAACAAGTTGAACAATTTCTGCGTATTGATTTTTGTGAAAGAAACAATAGAGATATGGTAAAAATTAGATCTGAAAATAAAATGCATGCAGAATGTCAAGCTCAGATCACATTGAATATAACATGTTCTGGTTTAATGTCTCGGAAGCTGTAGCACATTTCATACTAATATATGAGAATAAACTGCTAATTTTTTTTTTCACATCTATGTCTGATTATATCTTCATCACTATTTCCATTAAGTAATTATTAGAATCACTTATATTACTATTTCTGTTCTTCCGAAACGATGGCAATGTGCAAAGAAGACGATTCGATTCTATGATCAGAATGACTCATGGATACTATCAATTTTTCTAGACAAAGAGTTTTCTTGACGTAGTCAATGATAAAAAGAAACACATCTATGAAGTCTCAATGTTTCTCTTCTTTTTCTACCTATCATCATAATGTTATATGCTTGCCAGATTCCTTGTCGACTGTACATGCCAGCTAGTGTTATTGGGCACGATAGGGAAAATGCCGATGATAATGATGAAGCTGCGTTATTTTCTCTTTTAGTCTAACAGATAGCATATGTAAGTATGTAATATATAAACCTTTAATAGAACGCTCATCAAATATCATCAATGCTGCTCTATCGTAGCCAGAAACATAAAACCACTTATTTTAGACGAAAGAAAACCCTACGGGTAATCATTTTTCGCATGATTTTCTCTAGCTTTTCTTTCAATCGGATACTTCTTAAAGCTATATAGTAGATCGCTTCGGATTCTTTTATTTTGCTGTTTTTTCTTTAGAAATCTAACTGTCTTTTAATTTAACTTCATAATTATATATATATATATATATATATATACTAATTTATTCTTATCACGTATCATTGTTTTACTATTGATAAAGAAACGAAATCAAATGAGTGAGTTTCAACTATTGGATGATTGAAGAAATCAGAAGCAAATATTGAATAAGTCAATCAAAAGAGTTTCTTTTTTGTCGAATTAAACATAGTGAAAGTAAAATTTTGATTATATTCATGTACGTTTGTCTTTATTTCCTGTGCTTTTCATTAAAACTTACATACTCAAAAAGGTAAGTGCATGTATCATGATTTCGCTGACAACAAATGTAATTATTATTTTTCGTTTTTATAAAAAAATTTGAAAGTGAACCAAAGAAAAAAATCAACCAAAAGTTTATTATTCCTATGTAGTTCAGTAAGAAGTACATGCATATGTCTTCTTTTCTTTTTTTATATATAGAATACTAATTATTATCAATCATATCGTTTCCAATAACTTGCATCTGTTGTAAATTAGAATTCTGAGTCGTATAACGATGCAAAAGAGACGCAATCAAGTAGGAAAAAGTTATTTTCTTTTATTGAGAAATCTTGTTCGCGTGAAAATGAGAAGATATTAATATCTTTTTTTTGTTTAGAACCAAACACGTTCATTTAGTCATAACGTCTACTATGTTCTTCAACTCTGAAGAAGAGATGAAAGGCAGTAGACATACTCAAGCATTGAAAATGCTAATACTTCATGAAAAGAAAATTCATAAGCCGTCGACGTTCAGGACGATATAGAAAACTTAGCTGTCTAACCTAAATTATTAGTTTGCTTGTCGCGTAAGAAAAAGCAGATGTATATATAAAGAAAGAGAAAAAAAGACCGGAAAAACGGCATCATCATCTAAAAATTGGTTTCCAGCGGAAAAGGAAGAGGGAAGAAGGTAAAGCAAACTTGAAAAGAAACCACTACAAAATGAAATAACAAGGCAACTTTGAATATCCCTTACTATCAAGAGACGTCGAGATACTTTTCTTCTGAAAGAAAAAATGAACCGGTCTTTACTAGCACACTAAAAATATAACCGAAACACTTTGTCACCATTTGAACATTCATATTTTCATTTCTTCTTCTTTTTGATTATTTAAACATTTGAAAATATTGAATATTGACATTTCTTTTATTTTCCTCTCATATATTTATTCACTCAAGATTGTTGTTATTAAAACTATATTTACAACAATAAGAAAGATAAATTGCCATTTACATGACAAATAAAAAGCTCGTTCTTTCATTTTCTATAATATCGTCAAAAAAAATAATAATAAATGCGACTATCCATATGTTCTCATATAATTATATTTTTAGATTTTAGAATAATAATAATGAACAAAACGACACAAATTGAAATTCCAGATGAACTGCCAATAATTCTACGCAATTTTACGTTAAGCGTTTTACGTAAAAAACCACATGATATTATCGGCCATGCTGTTGATTATTTCACGCAATTGAAACAGCAGCAGCAGCAGCAGCAACAACAACAACAGCAACAACAACGACAAAAATCACATCTAATGACAGATGATAATGGAGTCACGACAGTTCCGTTTTCTTTCTCTTCTCCCATTAGGCATCATGAAAAAAAGTTACAAACACCTACACAACATGTCAAATTATCAGGCTAGTTACGGGTTAATTGGAATTTTTTTACAAAATCTTAAGACGTTTTCTGGTCAGACTGTACTCTATTAGTAATGATACTTACTTCTAATGAAGTAATCGTCATCTTATTTTGTAGAAGAGCCATGCATATATCATGTTTGATTCATTGATTTTGTTTTTGGATTAAAATCAACAATTAGTAGCTTGTTGTTTTTTTAAAGTTCAATCGATTTTATAAAAATATTGCGAAAAGTTATATTAATTGTTTCTTTTAGCTTCTTTTCACTTCGCTATTTGCAAGAGAGAAAGAAGAAAATTCTTATTTAAGAGCAATATATAGAGCTTCGTAGAACACACTGCATTTGTCTTATTATATCTATTAACAGTAAGAACAGCAGATGGATGTTTGCCTGGCAATAAAATGAAGTGTATGGTTTTCTTGCTTATTCTAAGATTTATTCATTTGTTTAGTCTCATTAGATGAATGCTAGAAGCAAAAACAAAATCATGTGTTTTGTATTACATTTTATTTGTTGCACATTTTAGAATTCTACGATTATCCTACTGAATTAATTTTGGTTTTTGTTTGTTTTATGATGATCAGTCCCGAAAGACAAGAGAATAATTTGAAGAAAATGAGTTTTGACGTCTATCAAAAATTAGATCGACTCTTATTTTTTCTTCTTCGTACTGATTTAATTATTATCAAAAGAAAAGAATAGATGTTGCTGAAAACTTTTTCTATTAGCATCGACCATTTCTTTTAGAGAATACTGCAATGATTGCAAATAATAAATTAATATTGGAAAAAGAAAATTTAGTGAAAAATTCAACAAATACAACAATTAATTGTATTTCACCAATGCCACCATCAAGTGAAAGTGAAGCCAATGAAGACGAAAGTGATGCTACTACAATTTCTGATGGCAAACTAGTATGATCATTTGATAGAATTTCATTTATTCATTTTATCTTTTCTTTTTAAAGCATCATTACGTAAAGAAAAATGAATATCGTCGAGTGTCAGTTGCAGCCGAGCGATATAATCCTGAAGATGATGATTCAGACGATGAAGAATATCGTTTTTATCCTAAAACTTCTGAACAAAGACAACGTTTAAAAGAGGCTGTTTGTCATAGTTTACTATTTCGTACATTAGAAGTAAAACAAATCGATCAAATTCTTGATGCTATGTGGGAACAACATGTTCAACAAGGAGAATGTATTATTCGACAAGGTATAATTCGATTTGATAAATTTATTTTTTAAATTTGTGTTTTTGCTCATGAAAAATAGGTGATGATGGCGATCATTTCTATGTTATTGATAAAGGTACTTATGAAGTTTATGTAGCAGATTCCAATGGTCAAACAGAAAAAATCGGTGATTATAATCAAGCAGGTTCATTTGGCGAATTAGCTTTAATGTATAATCAACCACGTTCTGCAACAGTGATTGCAACAAGTGCTGGAATATTATGGATAATGGGTCGTGAAACGTTTCGTAAACTTGTCTTGAAACACGCATTTCGTAAACGACAAATGTATGAAAATTTCCTACGAGGTCTTGATATTTTACAATCTTTAAACGATTATGAACGATCGAAAATTGCCGATGCATTAATACCTATTGATTATTATCAAAATGATGTTATTATTAAGCAAGGCGATGAAGGTGATCATATGTTTTTTATTGAAGATGGTCAATGTGATATCTATAGAAATGAAAAATTTTATAAACGTCTAAATGAAGGACAATATTTTGGAGAACTTGCTTTGCTTAATCATGAACCTCGATCAGCTACTGTCATCGCGGCTAGCTTTAAAGTTCGAGTGGCGTCATTAGAAGTTCAATCGTTTGAACGTTTACTAGGACCATGCATGGATTTAATACATCGCAATACGTCTAAATATATTAAATGACTATTTTATTTATATAAATTTTAATGGTAGATGTTTAGATTAAAGAAATTTGAAAAAAAATATATACATCCATACATATTTATTTGAATACGTTGATTGGACACCTGTGGTGTAGTAAATCGGTAAATAAAAAACAAAATGAAATATTATATCGTAATAGAACTTCATAATATATTCTAGAAATTTATTTTCTTGTTATATAATTTAATATTTTTTTCGGTAAAAAAAACATCATTTATTGCAACTTTTGTATTCAAATATATTTTCAATGGGAAAACCGTTGATTCATATTGTATGTCAACATAAGATAGCAGAGTTTTTTTTAAATTCAACTGCATATTAGGTACATCGATAGAATTAGTAATCTCATTGGTGGTCAATGTCTCACGTTACCAATCGTTAATTTAGTATTTTCTTTTTATATCATGTTCTTCGTCGTAAATTCAGTTCTAGAAAGTTTAGAAGCATAAACTCATTAAATTCTTGTTTACATATACTGTAGATTTTGCTATTTTCTTGTTCAACAATTTATCATGTATGTTTTTGTTTAATATTCATTAAAAAAAAGCAAAAATAATATGACTATATTAAACTTAATAAGGCATTTATAATGATCGATTATTAAAACGAATATTTTTCTTTCAAATACAAATCATAATGCAAGATTAATTGTAAATATTAAAAAAAGAGAATTTAACCCACTGAACAACCGCTTATAAAAATAAATGAAACAAGACTAATTCAATTTTCACTCACATTTTTCTTGCTTAGTTTTTAGCTTATGGCAACTGTTTTAGAGTAATAACAGAACGATAATGAAATAAAAAGAAGAAGAAAATGAAGGCAAATTAATGTTCTGTACAAAAGATTTCTGAAGTATTTAAAAACGACCGCCACGTGTTGATCGATTCGACGGTGGATATCCACCACTATGACTAAAACCACCCGATGTATTGTTATAATTTGATGGCGGTGGACGATTAGTACCAGGGCCCATACGTTGTTGTGGTCCTGTTCGATTAAGGCTTGGTGGAGGTTTAGGTTTCGCTAAAATATTAACACATTTTGGTATATGCCGTTCAGCTACCATCGGAGCAAAGTTACGTCCACAATGTGGACATTGAACATAATCTGGATTAACAGAAGCAGGTGGCGGAGGTAGATCAGCTAAGCGACCACCTAAAAAAATAATAGATTCTGTGGTTTTTTTATTTTCTTTATTTTTTATTGTGTACCTGCTCTCTCATAGTCACTCGCTTGTTTTGCATAACGAATAGCTCGAATGAAATCTTCATGTTTTTGTCTCCAATTTGATTTTTGAACCTAACAAAATAGACAAAACAAGATTCGTTACTTGTAAGATTGAAATAACAAAAAAAAAAGACTTGTACAGGTTTAATTGATTGGCTTGGAGCTTTGCCTCCTTTTGTTTTTCTAAAATATGTTGCTGCTTCAGTTCCTTGTAATCGTTGTTTAGTGGAATCGAATACTCGTCGTTGTTTACTCGCTTTTTTACACGCTTCTTCGTGTTGTTGTATACGATCACTTGCAAAATTTCGATTACATATAGAACATGGATAAAGACCAGAAACACCAGAGGAACTGCTACTTGCAAAGGCAGTATTACTACTACCACCGCCCCCTCCACCACCTCCTCGTTTCGATGAACTCACTGGTACGTCCTCATATTCATCTAGAAAGTCAAACTATATAATGAGATCGTTCAATTCTATATCAGTAGCATACTATGACGAGCGTTTTCTTTTTGCTGAGTTGGTCGTTCAGCCATACGTCCGCCACCACCACTGGGGCCAGCGTGTGCCTATATAAGAATACATATTACAGATGCCTCATCTTCGAAAAGAAAACAAAATAAATGCATACACCAATAGGTTTAGCTGCATTGCCAGGTTTACAACTACGTTGATGAACTGATATACGATCAGCAGCAAATTTACGTCCACAATTATCACATGGAACAAGCTGAGATTTCGATGCTTCATAGGCTGCATCATTTATTTCATCTAGAGTATAACTAGCACCACCTTTTAAATAAATAAAGAATCTCATGTAATGAAATCAATATTGAATATCTATAGAAGAAGAAACTAACTGCCAATATGAACATCGGGTTTACGTGGTGCTGGACGACGTAAATTCGGAGGAAGTTTAGCATTTTCAAAATGCCATTTTTCTAAACATTGTGGTTCATGTATTTCAACTGATTGTGTTCCATATTTGCGCCCACATATATAGCATAATACAAATTTAGGCATAGCTGGTGGCTGACCACTTCCTCCCTATATTCAATACATTGAATAAGAAGAAGTTTTCTTGAAACATACTGGAGCATTCTTATACAAATAATCATATTCACCATAGCCATGTCCACCACCGGAAGGTTTTTGCTGTTTAGGTGCATTGCGAGATGGGGGTGATTCATTTTCATATTGATTTGTTGGTCGTCTATTCGAGAACAAAAAAATATAAATTTCAATTTTTGATATAGAAATATGAAGAAATTATACCGCGTAGCAGGCTGTGTTCGTGGCATAGATCCACTACTTGGGCCTGCATAGCCAGAAGGTCGGTTGTTAGATGAACCGTAACTATTACTAGTTGTTGCTGTGGGTCTAGCACCTGTGAAATTTTAAATATTCAATTCATAGAGTTACATGAGAAAATAGAATTTTAACCAGGTCGAACGTTTGATCGAGCGTTCATGTTTTACAACAAGTTGTACAAAAATAGAGGTTTTAGAAAAACTAAATCTTTTTAGAATGAATGCAAAGAACTATAAAATGAAAGGCAAATATTAGTTCACTTAATGTGCTTCAAATATATTCAAGATATATTACGATCTGAAGAAAAACACACCAAATCGACGATGACAAATTTTCACAATCATTCTTTTGAGTTCTTATGTTGCTATGGTAACTACCCTCCATAATTATGAAACTATTATGATTTCATCAAAGAAAATTTTATTGTCGTATTCTACTAAAGAAAATTTAAAAATGAAAAAAATCTTATTTTTATCATTGTCAATAAGTTCAATAGAGGACGTACGTTGACATATTTGAAATTGCATTGATAGAAATGAAAAGTTTCTCTCTGAATAGCAGGTGTATCAGATGAATAAAAAAATCTCGAGAATAGCAGTTGTTACCATTTTATATATAGCTACATGCTGTCACTTAGTTCACTCAAAATGTTCAATAGAATAAAATGACAATTTTTTTATGTTAGACGACAGATGATCAAAATTTTAGCTGAAAAATAATATAAGAAATTTATTTAGATATTTTCGACTAGTTCACTTTATTTTTCTAATATCTTTTAAATATCATTTTGATTATATCATGAAAAAGCAACAGCAAACTATTATCGATGCTGGTTATGTTCTTCTTGTTTTCTTTTTATATACATAATTTAACAAGCAGTGTTTTAGATTTGTTGTAGCAATGTTGAATTTCATGATCTTTACGAGATAATTGTATTGTTTAATCAAAGTAGCTCTATTCTTTTTCAAACGATAATATTCATCGAAAAATTAGTAAAAATAAGAAAAACTCAGGTATATTTAGTGGTAATAGGCATATTATTTTGATTTTATCTCTACCTGGATAACAAACGATGACATTTAGGTGATGAATGACACTTGGGAAATTTGATTCGTTTGATAAATAAAAGCGTATATCTCAACTGAGCAAAGAAATAATTCATTACATTCGATCTTGAGTTTTGCAAACAATACCAAAGAATCTAAAAATGAGGCGTCTCATTCAATTATATATTCAAAACACTATCGTATGTATTTACGTATTCTAAAGTGTAATCAAACAGATAAAACAAAAGCAAGATATATCGAGTCTTATCATTCAAGGAGAAAAAAAATGTATAATTGATGAATAATTGTAACCAGACTCGTTTGTTAATAGAAATGCCACTTTCAATTAATTATTATAACTGATATATGTCGATAGAACTATTTTATTCCCGATTCACTGCGCGACGATAACAGTGCTATGACTTTCATTTATTTTCAATCGGTTACTCTCACCCATCTATCTTTTTCTTCTGTGTCTTGTATGTCTTCCTTAATTATTGTGCATGTCTCAGACTTACATTGAATCGCTATTTTCTTTTTTTTTCTTGTTCGCTGTTGTAGTTACTACTCTATGTTACACACATATGCATGTATGCATACGTTTCTACGTGTAACGATAAATGTCAGGAATGATTCTTTTACTCATTGATTGTTGATGAGTAAATATCGATATTGATAGCAACTTCTTCACGTTCATAAGCAGTGTTTACAACAAGAACATGTAAGTATCAATCATGTATAGATAAAATAACATATAAATATAGAACGCAGTCATAAAGATCAAGGCTTATATATTACAAAAAAAAACAAAAAATATTAGTTGATTATACTAAGAGTATTTTTTTTTCTATTTTGTGGAATCAAAGCGATACAATGAAAAAAAAATGAAAAAGAATGTGTTCGATGAGTATAGAAAAGGAAAAAAAGAAATCAATCGCATGTTGGTATCCTGCTGGTAGTCTATCCACTTGAATCGAACGTGTGTGAGGCAAAAGTCACTCGCTCATCCAGTATTCTCATTCCTTCTCTTTCAATTTGCCTTTAAAAACAATGCACATAGCTTCACTAATACCATTTAATGAAGAAGAAAAAAGTAGCTCATTTTTTTCTGTACGCATAAACTGGTAAGGAAATGAAAGCAATCATTTTATTCAAAAGAATTAATAGAAGTTATCATATTTAACGCAGACTGGTAATACTACTCTCGTGTTAAGTTGTTAGTATCTACTCTTGTTTTTAATATTTACGGTGGTAGCAGCTGTTATTTTTTCAATATCTGATTTCGACAACAAAAAAGAGATCAAAAGTTCTAGTTTTTAATTTTTTTCACTATTCAATCACTCGTCTCTTGTGTAATATTAGATGAATGGTGATAGCTCATCATCATATTCGTTTATCAGAATCTCAATATCTATATATGATTGTATGTCAAGTGAAGTAAAATGTGTCTTAATATATCCACTCATTATCCCTATGTGTATAAAAGATAGCATCATAGTTGGATTGATAATATCTCGACTGTTCGATCTTTTTTCAATAGTTTAATTCAAAATAAACGAAATTTTGTGTGGTTTTCATTTGACTTTCTTTCAAATGAAAGTAAACAAAAAATCGCCGTTGATTGCTACTTCATACGTACTTTCGATTTTCAATTTATAATTGATGTATGTGCAACTTGTTTAATGGTGAATGAAGGTTGAGTCTCTTCCTTTTGTGTTTCTCTGTGTGTGTGTGTGTGTGTATTTTTTTTTGTTATTCATGCATTTACTCTTCGTTTTATATTTCAGATTTTTTAATTCATGTTGACATACTAAGTAGTATCAAAAGCATTATTTATTCATCAGTGAACATGACTAGTTATCAACAACGAGCATGTCGATATCCCAATCTACTTGTTACAGTGAAACAAGAAACAGATGAAAGATCAGTGAGTGAAATTCACTCAAAACCACACACAACTCGTTCAAAAAAGAATTATAATTCTAAATTTTTCTATCCAACAACAACTTATTATAATAGAAATGTTCGATGTCAACAACAACAACAACAACATAATAGATATCCATCCTCATATTGTGTCAATCAACCTCACTCACAAAATAATACTCGTTTCTATTATCGAAATCACCACCAACAACAGCCGCCAATGCGTTCATTAATGGAATTAACAGATAATAAAACTTCTTTATATCATGATGGCAATGACAATTCTATGACTTTTTCGAATGTAACGCCACGAGAACCGAAACAACGCGGCCAATATCGTAATAGAAAAGCAGAATTAGATTGGGATCATGCATTCGATCTAGATCAAATTGATTTATATACAACACAATACGATATTGATAATCATTCACTAAACAGTATTCATAGCTCAGGTGATAGTTTGTTGTTATCCGTTTGATTAACTACACATCTTTTGTATTTGTATTTGTATTTGTATTATTGGTGCTGTTCCAATTGAACAAACATATCTATAGAAGCAATTCTATGGGTTTCTTTTTTGTAAATTTCTTTTCTTTTAGTACTTTAGTGGTTTTCGAAAAACATGATGACTAAAGATAAGCATACACATACTGAAATAGCTGTTTTATGGAAACGATTTCTAAAGAAATTTAATATGCCTAAGATTATTTTAAAAGATAAGTTGAATTATGTTGCAATCTACGAATTTTTGAGATAATAAATTTCTAGTATTTCCAGATAATTCAAATCGAATCATCATGAAATCAAGTTCAATCTTTAAAATATGCGCATAAGAGATGACTTTTTTTAATATAGAAATCATATTCACATTTTCCGGTTATATTGAGTGAGGAAATGTGTTTCCATTTTATATATTTTTCTTTTCAAAATCAATTTCCTGATTTAATATAGCTAAACTCCAAAAATATAGAGCATATTTCTGCATGCTTTTCATTATATAATGAATCTTCAGTTGCAATCAATGACAAAACTAATCAAGGGGTTGATTCTTTCAATTGAACATATAAAAATGGCGTTTTAACTCCAGACGATCGATATCAAATATATATTACTGGGGGTAACATAGCTTGGAGTTTATTAAGACTTATATAACAGAGCTCCACGTGGGACGTCCCATGGGACAGGATGAGACGAACATTTTTTGAAAATTTTAAGCAGACAAAAAAGAATCGATGTCTCTTTCGCGGCGATTCTATTGTATGCTTACTATCTTTATCCATTAAAATTATATTTATTGACGTAAGTGACCGCTTTCAAATTTTATTCTCATATTTTAAAAAAATTTCGGTATATTTTGTTCGATTTACCAAAAATATTTTTAAAAAGCGAATACAAGCTTTTAAAAGTCATCTAAAACAACGATCTTAATTTTAATGAATAGAGATAGTATGCATATCATAGAATCATATCGAAAGAGATTTCGATTCTTTCTTCTCTGCTTAAAATTTTCTAAAAATGTTCGTCCCATCCTGTTCCACGGGGAGCTCTGTTATATAATGATGCATAGAAAAGTGAATTTTGAGAATTAACGGGAAAACATCGGAGTATTACTATTTGATATCAGTTGTAATTGTTTTATATGAATAACAAAATCAGTTTGCATATTTCAAACTTTGACCATCAGAATGAGAAGTAATGCTATTGGAAAATAAAATTTCTACCTTTCTTCTTTGTCTTCATGTAGTAAAATTGTGCCTTTGTAATATTTACGAAGCATAGTGAGAACTGTATATTATGAGCTTGAAATTTTGGATGAGTACTCTTATAAGAAATCATACTTCAGTTGAGGTTTTAGTTCACGGAAAAAACAACAATATGTTCTTCAGTCAATCGTAAAGATGACAATGGACAATTAAAACGATGAAGTCGTCTTTCTGCAATATGAATACTTTTTTCCATTTCGAAAAAGTTTTGAATATACAAATTTTTGGAGAGTTATACATTGAAAAACTTGAGAGTTGTCGTAAAGAATACAGGCAATGAGATTCTCGCAATGCAATTGCAGCTAAAGTACACATTGAATTATGATCCACAGTTAACAAAATTGAAGTGTGTTTCCTACTAAGTATACAATTTGTTTAAGTCAATTAACTTTATACTAAATGAATTCAGTTATAAAAAAAGATTTTCGCGTATTTTCTGTGAGATTAAAGGGGTTAGTCTTAACTCGTCCCCTTTTTAATTGAACCGAACTGGTCCCTAAAAATGCGATTCCGAATGCGTCCCCATCATATTTTTTTTGCTTAATTGACCCCGGATTCGTCCCCACTCTATTTAACATTGAAATGTTCATTCTTCGTTCTGTCTATATACACAGCTAGTGGCAATGACAATCGGATTCCTTTCTTCTGGTATAATCCAACAGCCTATAAGAAAGATGCATGTAATGACTGTTTACGGCTGACTGATCGATATTCTTTATTTGTAAGCACATTGAAATATGCTCAGTTTTACTCCAACGGAACGAGCAGGAAAGTTTTTGAACTATAATGGTTTTCAATATACTCTCAAACGTGAACGGAAAAGAGTAGTAGAATGGCGACGTCGTTCACGAAATTGCACGAGTATATTTTCTTTGTCTTGATATAATACCGTGATTGCTCGACAATTTTTTAATTCTTTCTAATTATTGAAAAAAATGTTTATATTCACCTGTTAATCTTACGATAAAAATTGTCGTTCACCTTTACTATAACTACATTAGAAATTCATATTTTTTGAAATCAAGCGCCAATTAATAGAATTGGAGACCAATTTAGAGTGGGGACGAATTCGGAATCAATTAATGGGGGACGAGTTGGTGGGGGACATACTAGCGGACCAATCAGGGGTATGCCGATTGAAGTGTGAATCAAAACTTCATTACGGTGTTTTTTTTACAGATTTTTAAAACCACATCGATGCTGGAACAGATTAGTCAACATCCTTTCACTTAATTATGCGGAACTGCACTAAGGACAAAGTTCATATATTCGAATCAAAAATAATTAATCTGTACCAAGTCATAAATTCAAATAAGAATAAATTAGCTTGAAGACATGCTGCTAAAACTGTTGGCATAAATGTTTTTGTCCTAAATTCCAGGTAGAATAGAGAGTACGCGTTCAAAATTTATCGTTAAAACATACCTGTTATTAAATAAATTAAATTTTTGCCTAAGACAGCCGGCAAGCAGGCAAAAACAGCTTCTTTTCGAAGCTGAACCAATTTGTTTTATTGAGACTCTTAAATATAACTGTTTTGAACAAATAGATGTTTATGAAAAAGTGAAAAGTTGAGCTTAGTAAAAATGAATTCATCATTCTTACCCTTAGATATGATTGCGGCTAGTCCAGATTTTTTTCAAATCATTTTGGCGTCCGAACGCTATGAATAAAGTCAGTGGATATTTACTAAAAAATACGGCTAGATTACAGAGTGAAACTTCAAAACACTTGGCTTTTCAGCCATTACTTTGTTCGGGAACCTTTTTCAAATGTTTCACTTTGCTAGTGGTGCAATTATTTTTTAGTAAAGAAATCCGTTTCCGAGCAAGAAATTGGTATGTTCACCTGTCATGCGGAAAATTCATCATGTCAGAGAGAGCATTAAAATTTTTACTCCTATACCTTAACACATCTTATAGATCTTGTTACACAATAAGAAGCAGTTCACTAAGAACTCAATTATTTTTAATTCTGAAAGTCTCTTTTCTATGACTCATTCGTGGAAGAAAAGATAAAAAAATCAAGATATAATTATGAACAAGTCTAAGCAATGCATATGCAAAATATTAATAAATGTGAATTTTGGTAACTTGACATTTTTGTGAGCAACTCTATAAGTCACAAATGAAAAACCTGATCGACGACACTGGATATATCAAGTTTTTCTGTTTTACTCTTTTGATTGTCTCTACTCAATTCGAAATGAAAGTCGACAGTTCTAGGCTAAAATATTGCTTATTTAAACTAGGAATATATAGTTTCTGCCGCTTGAAAATCTTGGCGATTTCATACAATAATAAATCCTCGACTGAACTTTGATCTTTCTACATAGAAAAAGTACGGGATTTCTTCAAGTCGAGGCGTTTTCCGGCGGAGAAACAGTCAACTTCTACTTCGAAGTCTACGATGTTTCCCTTACAGACTAAATATCATGCTATGAAATTTTAAGCAAATTTCATTAGATAATTACACTGAGTAAATAATTTTTCAATGATTTATGAATAATTTTCTTGTCCAAATGAAATAGAGATTCAAAAGTCGAGAAGCCAACCTATCCCTGTTAGATATAATGCATCGTTTAATGAACAATATTCATGTTTGATTTTTAATTAAAAACATATCGCTATTCTGTGTCAGCTGAGCAATTGAAGGTAAATTTAAAAAAACCAATAGTATCAATCCAATTATTTCGTAGACTATCCGTTTTATTTATTTTTTTCTTATTGTTATTTCCAATTAGTGATGCTATCGCTAACATAGAAAAACTTGTTTTGAGAAAAGACTTTCTGCTAGAAGATGATTTTCAATTATATTTCCAGAATCCATAGTAATACACGTAATTATCTCGAAGGTAACAAAACAGTTTTTGAAAAAAAACGGGTTGTTTTCGGCTTTTATGTTAATATATATATATATCTTTTTAAAAAACTCAAATTATCGATAAGAACATTTTATATTAAATCTTTTGTATACAATTTTTAATTGATTTTTCTCCAGTAATATGAAACACAAAATATGACATTTAATATATAACTCGGAAAGCAATCGACGTTTTACATCTTGTTGAAACATTTTTTTTTCACAATGTTTAGTTCTGTTAGTACTTCATAAAAGGTTTTTGAATGCTTCGCGCATTCATCAGATTCTACTATGAAGTTTTTTACGCGTCATATCTATATATCTTTCTTGTCGACATCATTGGCAAAGTAAGTATAGAAGCTTTAATTAAAACAGTAAACAGGAATAAAGAGAAGATAATGCTGCAAACAATATGTCAAAGTTTCTATACTCTCTTTCTTTAAATTGTTATCTATGACCAAAAGTCAATAGGATTAATACAACAAATATATAGGATTACATGCTAAAATAACAAGAATATTAAATTATTTGTAATATTAAAGTTGGAGAATTATTTGTTTTGAAATATTAAAAGAAAAAAAGAAAGCTAGAACATAAAATTTACGTTTTGATATACAAATACTTGAAGTCTTTAATCTGATTAGTGTTTTATCATTATTTTCATCACGCTATCTTTCTGTACATGAAATTGAAGTCAAATGATAGGGAGAAAATAGTAGCTGCTCAATCCGCTTTATTCCATTACATTATGACAAACTCCCTGGAGTTTCGCAGATGCGTGTGTAACAAAAATAACACCTAATTTTGTACCGTTTCTCGTGTCAGATAAGACTGAACAAAAAAGCAAAGGTTAAATTAAACGAATTCTATGGTGAAAACACTTCTTTTTTTTTCGTTTTTTATAGCGTTTTAAATAATTGAATAGGACCCAAACAAATTTTCTAAATACTAATGACGTAAATCTATGAAATAGTAATGACATTAAAAATAATCAGAGAATGAGAAAGGCCAATTATGAATGATAAATTTACCATTTAAAAGTGTTAAAGTACACAGATTTTGAATACACGTCTAATCTTGTCCTCGAGAGATATCAATGTATAATTTAATAAAATAGCCATTACAAAGAAAAGAAAAAGAAAATTGTTGCTCTTTAATGTGCATAATCAACAGGCGCACCAAGATTTTACTGGCTCAGTTCTTTCAATAAAAAAAAGTCTCAGTGTGCATCTCTTATTCTATGTTTCTTTTTTCTTTTATGCTTCTAACATATTCCTAGAAGAATAAGAAGAATTAACGACAGGCAACAAACGAAAAAAACCAGTAAAACAGGATTTACACGCGTTGATATGCTTCATCGTATAAGCTAAAGTATAATCTTCCGAGTATTGCAGTCACGAAGAGCAATGCTGTTTAGTCTTATTCTTTTAGATAATTTATGCGAGTGTGACCACAAATGGCTGCCGTAAGCATAAATGCATATATTTCAATTAAAAATATGTTTAATCATTATCTTTATAGAACGAAAAAATACTCAAGTTAAATTCTAATCAGATACAAGGTGAATATTTGTAAATTTTATTGTTTATAAATTCCTGATTTTTCTTTAAATTCAGAACTTCGACAAGCATTTACTTTATTTGATACAGATCATAGTGGTAGTATATCAGTATCTGAGTTGAATCAAGTACTTCATGCATTGGGTGTTTCTATATCTGCTCAAGAAGTTCGACAGATGTTTTCAGCAATCGATGTCGATAGTAAGATAATTTATTTTAAAATGCGAACTTTATTTTATGTCTTTCTTTTTTGTTTTTGTAGAAAATGGTTTGCTATTAAGAAAATTAATTAGCAATTTATTGTTTTCTTGTCTATTTTGTTTTTGTTTTGTGTATAGGTCGTATTGAATTTGAAGAATTTGTTGAAATAGTAGCAGATACATATTTTAAAAAATTTTCTCGCGCTGAAATTCTCGAAGCATTCAGTAGATTCGATCGTAATAATGATGGTTACATTGAAGCTAACGAATTAAAAGAAATTTTAGATCGACTAGGAAGACAATGTTCGAATGAAGAAGTTCGTTGTTCATTTCATAAGTTTAACGTCAAGAAAAAATGTTTTATCTAGATTCGTCGTATGATTGCTCAAATTGATCGAGATGGAAATGGAAAAATTTCAATTGAAGGCATGTAGAAAATAGATTTTATTATTATTGACAAATAAACGAATTTTTTTTTCTTAATAGAATTTGCTGCACTTGTTGAAAGAGAATCTTGATACCATCAACTACTTGTATTTCGTTGTTTTCTTTCGATTGTTTATTCATCCAACAAAATTAATTACTCTTTTGAAGAAAAAAAAAGGATTTAGTTAGTTCGTTTGTTTTGTTCATTCTTATGTTGTGCATGTAATTGTATTGATTTATTTTACTTGGTTGATTACCAATTTACTTTTCTTTTTTCTTTTCCTGTTTATATTGTTCTCCTTTTTTTTTCCTTCTTCTCATATAAAAAGAAAGAAACCAGAATACAGAACATAGCCAACAAAATCCTCTTGCACGAGATTGGTAGCATATACATTAATAGTACGTTTATGTCATACAGTAAAATGAAGCAAAAGAAAAAGAAACTGACATAGAAATGTAAATTTTCTCGGGTTCTTTTCTTTTATAAAAAGAAATCGAGTTCTCATTTTGAAGAAATAGTATACATAACTCATTGTCTTGTCTAATTTTCCGTCTGCCAAGCGCAATCTATATCGAATTCCGCTATTGGCTGGCTTGGTCGAGTCAGAAAAAAATATTTAACATTCTTTTTCCTCTCTCTCTTCTTTAGCATTCTACGCATTTAATCATCATTTGCGTTTCGATTTTTTTTCTTTGCCTTTCTCCTTCCTATATTTGCATTAACCACGATGACAACGAATAATAACAAAAAACAATAATCGAAAGAACGGGTGAATCTTCGATGTGACCTTATTTCACGAAGGTGAACCACTGCATAATAAACAACAAGAAAATGAAATTTCAACGTCGTATTCTCCCTCCACATTCACCTACCTACCTTGAAATGGAAGAGTATATATCACCATCGATATCTCAACAATCAAGTAAGAATCTTTGTATTAAACTGCAAAAAAAAAGCAATGCCTTATTTTGTTTTCATTTTTTTTTGCTAGTTTCAATTACTGGGTCAACAAGTGATCTAAGCGAAATTGGCAGTGTTTGTAGTTTATCAGCAAATAATCGACAGAAATCTGATTCACTAACAAATCTTTTTAATATGTCCGAGGATAATTCGTCAGTATCAAATTTAAGTATTGCATCATATTCTTTATCTCAGAATTCCTATGACAATGGCTCTCCAACAACATTTACGACGTTATCATCTCAGCAAACATTTATAAATAATGGTTCTGAAAAAGCTCGTTCAGGTCGTAGTGTCTGTTCAGCAACTAGCAGTCAAAAAAATTTTCCGGTTAAACCTATTGAGACTGTATTAAGTACAATCGATATGCATTCATCATTATCAGATAAATGTGGTTTAATTGCTAACGATGGAAATAATATTAAGAGCATTAATGATATTCAAAGCCAATATCATGCTGATGAAAATTGTTGTGATAGTTCGGATGAAAATGACATTGATATATTGGCATCACAAAATAATCGCGGTTTAAAGAAAACTGTTTTTAGTAATGTTGATCGGTTATTAAATTCGGCAAATAAACAAATCAAACTTTAATTATTATTCTTATTCTTATTTGTTTTGAACAATAAACTGTGATTATTTACAGAAAAAAAACACGAACAACACTAACAAAACTACTTTTTTTGTTTGTTATTTTTGCACGATTAATAAGTTTACTAGAAGATAAAGCCATAAAATGCTTATAGATAAAACTTTTCACAATTATTCGATAATGTAGATAAAAACACACGATTACAACGTTCAATAATGAATCTATATTATTCCAACGAGTTCTTAGCTGCTACAAAGAAGAATCAATATGATGTAAGTTCGGTAACATCAAATATGAACTATTATTGTTACAGTTCATTTTCCATTATTAAGTAAAAAACAAAACGATTAGAATGGCATGAACGATCTTGCTTCATTATCTTTTCGATTATAATACAAAGAAACATATTCCATGAAACTTTGGACACCGAGACAACAAATCATTATCATTTTTTCGTAAATATATCTTTGTCACAAACTCATGATTGATGAATATGGATATTTTGTTTTTATAGTTTTGTATTGGCAATCAATCATTTTACTTGAATATATAAAATAGTCGAAAAACATATCAGCAAGTGTGTAATTTTTGAAAAAATATTAAAATATTATATCCATTTTTCTTTTTATGTACCATCATTAGATCTTATCCTTTCAATCAATCTCAGGACATTAATTCAACTAATGTCTAATATTGAAGTAATACTGGAACATCGTATGGTTAAGTTTGGATTTGATTGCACAGTGACTAATTAATTAGTAATCAACCTTATCGACTTTAACCTATGCATATGTAACGAATGAATAATTATTCGATATGAACAAGAGAAATAAGACTGACTACATTGAATTGTTTTAATGAATTTATTTAAAAAAATCGTTGCTCATGTTATTTAAGATGAGATGCAAACCTTTATCTAGATCATTGTCAGCAGTATAATGAAACCCTAGATTGAATAAATAACCTTTCATCTTTACGCATGATGTCATCTTTATTAATCAAATAAAAACCGAATGTTATCAATAAATATTAAAGCTGTATACTTGAATAATCTACATAAGGAAGCAGAATCAGCATTCGGCATTTTTTCTTCTCAAAGCGATAGTTAAACTTGATCTTATCAAGGATCAAAATCAAAGACAAATTCACCTTGAATCACACACGCATACGTATATACTGAAGAACAATACGAAAATGAATCCATCTTGTTTACGTGTTTGCTAGTTGTTCTCGTCTAGTTTAATAGAGTAAAAAAACAATGAAAGTACATTATTCAAAAGTTTTCTTATCAACATTTTATATAATGACCTATTGTCTACAACAACTTGAGTACTATTTAGATATGATTTTTTGCTTTTTTATTGGCAATAATAACTCTAAAAAGGAAAAATAAAAGTATATTAAATATACATCTGTAGATAACAACATTTATTAGAAATTTTGTTTGTTTCTTCTATGATTTTTTTAAACACGCAACAAGATTGTTTTCATAACATCATCATAATAGATACCTAGATCTCATGTTATTGTTACACTTGATTTTGCTATTGATCACAATGAAACAGCGTGCACATATATATATGTATATTACACCGTAAAAAACGAAAAGAAAAATAATATTTATCCCTAGACTGTTGAGATGCTTTCTATTAGATAAGTAAAAGATGTATTGTTTTGTGGAATAATTTATGGTAGCCTTAGGCAAAAAAGAAAACATATTAACATGATGATTAAGATTATTCATTATACATGAAGTTCAATGGCGGGGTCATGTTATTGTAAACATAGACTTGTTCCGTGAATGAGCCAAAAAATAAATTACATTTTTAATTGAAAATTCTTTCAAGTATCTAAATTTAGACTGTTGAAGTTTTAATGATAAAAAAATACTGTTTACAATTCATAGCAAAAAAAAGACAAAGCAATCTATTCGATAATTGTAAATCTACAAGTGAAAGGCTATAGAAAATATTTTATCATAATATTACAAATAACCAAACTTGCTCTTATTCATTCAGTTTTATTTCTTCAATTCAAATTTTATTACGAACTATTACAATGAACGCCTCAATCTAGGGTCGATTCGATCGTTTATGCTCAATATTAAATAACAGGGTAGTTGAAGAGAGAGAGAGAGAATGATCATTTCTAATCTTACCTATTTTTCTATATTTTCGAAGGATAATAGAATTATTCTTCGTCTTTTTTAATATCATAATCCCCAAGTTGGCATTGGCTAGACGTTTCTCCGAAGAAATATATTTTCCCATCATAATTTATGTAAGAAAAATTTTATCGTGAAAATATAAAAGTAGGTTAATAGCATTACTAGAAATATAATTATTTTCTAAAAAAAAGCAGCAAAAACATACTGCATTTAAAATTAATTGAATTTTTGGTATAAGTAGTTTTTAAATTGATCTATTTGATGCTCGTTGTAAATGATCAATAATAACAAAGCATTTTTTCTTATTTATCGATCAGGCTATGCCTCTCGTAATAGGTCTTTGTTATAATTTAGCTTTTTATTTTAATTTTAATGTTGCCGCCTCCTGTCCATGTTGCCAAAGAACTCATAACAATGAATGCACGTAGCACGAAACTATAATAAGAATGTCATCTAGGCAAATCAAGGCCAAAACTCATCGATATGTAAAAATAAATATGCCTTTAGGAAATATGTGACGATCTTACCGAAGAATTTCTGCTATGCTGTTTCTATTAGTAATGAAACAAATAAAAATTTATTCGGTTATTAATTAATTCAATTTGATCAGAATGAGTTCATTTCATTTAGTAGTCAAGTTATTTTAATTTTAATCAGAATCCGTATAGTTGAAAATTCGATCAATCTTAATCATTTATTAATGAGTATCGAACATTCTTCTATCAGTGAGGTTCATTGCCAACTATGACGATGACCTTAATCTTATGCTACAAAACAGTCATGCTTATTCTAAGACAAATATCACATTAATTTTCTATATCTAAGCAGATTATATAACTTATGTTATATTTAATCAAGACATAAGCATGTAATATTTATCTGGTTTATAAGAGAACATTTATTAATTGATAAAAGTAAATCATTTGTTTATTTCAACAAAGAAAAATTGATAAAAATATCAACAAGACGCAGACAATTATTCATGTTTCTTCGTTGTAAAAATTCAACGCTAAAAAAACTAAATATTAGTATCAAACATGATCATAAAAAAAGAACACAATTATGAAACCTGACTTTTGATAGGTTATTTCGTCATATTATAGTTTCTATTACTATATACACTAAAATTTGCAAAAAATTCTCATTAGAAAACAAAAATACCAATATACTCAAACAAATAAATAGCCGTACAGAAAAACGAATCTCTGACAATAGGATATTCTGCTTGTTTCTTAACTTATACCATTGGATTGAGTGAACATGGCCGACGAAACTCTTGACCACGTTCATGAATCCATTTATTTGCTACCCATTTATTACCAATCAATACCGGGCAAGCTAACGAAGAGAAAAAAATCCAGGCTCTATGTACTGATCAAAAAGAAAACTAAACATCTTACCTGCATGACGAGTGTTATAGTCACCTAGAACAAAATAATTTCGATTAATAAACACAATTAATAATATTCTAACCTTCACCCGATGCGTAAAGATTATACCAAAATGCTGCACCGCCTTTTTTTGGTTTTAAATGACCGCCAGCTAAAGGAAAAACAGTTGCACCACCTTCTTCGACATCACTCAGCTAGAAAGAATCATTTTTACTCTAATAAAATCTCTCATTATAATGAACTTACATAAGTTAACCATGTAGCTATTCGATTTCCTGTCAAGCAAACTTTTTTATTATAGAATTTTTACAAAATAAAAACAGAAAGAATGTTAACTAACCGGCGCCCAGACGTGACAATGGATCTTTTTCTCGTCTCTAGATTGAAGAGTTTATTTAATAACACTACTTGATAGACTTACTTACTCGTGAAAAATCAAAATGAGGTTCATAATGACCACCAACGCCATAATTTGCAATCTTAGAATGTAATCAATAGATAATTTTTTGTGTTATGAAAATCATATAATCATACTTGAAGGTCTTCAGCTGTTATCATACTTAAATTTGTAATAGCTTCAATTAGTCGGGATAGACGAGCGATGACTGGTGAGTCTTCATTTCTCAGCCAAGCACTAAAATATGGGACTATTTTGATAAGAAGCAAGAAAGAAAACAACCAAAATGACATACAGATTTTTATAATTAATATATGCATAAAGCAAAAGCATAGTATATAGAATAATAAGTTAAAATGTGATGGATCGATGAAGCGAATTCAAAAATGAATGTTTTCAAAATCGATGATTGACATGCAAATAAATATTATTGTTTTCCTCATTTCGTACCTTTTGCTCACTCACTCTATAATTGGTATGTTCATTTATTTTTTCTATTTGTTAGGATTTGTATCATTGCTTCTCTCAACTACAACCATAATGAGAGATAAATGGCTGTCTGAATATTCATCAAATAATAATGTAAACAAAGGAAATTTTCCTCGAGCACAATAACAAATAGTATAGTATACATTGGATAAATAATATTATTGCATGAACATATATACGAAATCTGAACCTTGCAGTTTAGTCTTGATTGAGAATATTAAAAAAAATGAAGGAAATAGATAAAAGAAACGACTTTTCACTTAGCTATGATCAACGGAAATATACATAATAGAATGAATCATCTAAAACCTAAAGATATCTGGATATCCTTGAAAAAATTAATAGTACGTTGACCTTTGAAGTGTTTACACGATTATGCATATAATGCTATAAAGCGAGCTGTTTCTCTCACGTGTCAAGTCAACATACGGATTTGGCATATTTCCAATATGAAGAATACGTAATAGCTAGAAACCAATTTTTATTAATGCTCACCCGATACTGATACTCTTAGAGTGTACATCGCAATAGACTTATGAGTGTGATTAAAAATGGTGACATGCAATCGATAATAAAAAAATAATACTTATTACTTCCATATAGTATTAGTTTTCTATTGATGATAAGCGGTCAAGAATTCTTTTATGAAAAAATGATTAACTTGGTATGAAATCTATTTGCACAACATCTATCCCAAAATAAATTGATTATAGATACAATTCTAAAAGTTGAGTTCAAAGCGATTACGCACAGATACAGAACCATATATGCGTGCCAATAGGTACCGTTAATAGTTAAACTCATAATTTTACTAGATTAAGACACAGCAATCAACTACACAAATTTCTGTTTTGTTTTAGTTTAATCAACTACAAACAAAACTAAGTTGACCACAATGTGCAATTGAGAATTAGTAGAAATCATTATAATTAAACAAATATTTTTACCGGTACCTCTTACAAATTCTGTAATCAGCTGGTTGAAAAGTATCAGTCGTAAAATCACGAACGACAGCACGTTGTAACTGTAAAATGAGCATTTTATTGAAACTGTATATCTTCTAGTTTAGATATAACATACTTTTGGTAAAGCAAGTGATTTGATTTTTTCAATATCTGAATCACTGATAATATCATGATAGAATAAAATAGCTGGTTGATGTAATAATTGTTCCTCTTTAACGGGTTGTAAAATAAGGTATGGATGATTGTTATGACGATAGCGACAAAATAATTTCGATTGATATTTTGGATGTAGCTAAAGAATAAAATCGCAAATGATAAAGATCTATATTCTTTTTTTTTCGATTATACTCGAGTCCCATTTTGTCGACATAGGTGTTCATATGATTCCTGTTCGTCGAAGTAATCATCAGATCGTTTATTATTTATTTTATAACTTTCATCGTTTGATGCCGTTTGAATTAATTTAAGATTGGTTGAATTACTTTTATCAATATCATCTCTTCGTTGTTTTTTAGTTAGTGTGCGATTTTTTATAATAGTTTCATAATAGACTTTATTATTTTGTGCACGAAAATGATCCGGAGCTTCAAAAAAAAAACTTTGAAAAATTCTCACTAAAAAAGTCGATGTGTCATTACCCATTGTTAGTATTTCTTCAGTGATCGCTAATGCATGTTCAACATTTCCTTGCTACAATAAATAAATAAAATAAACATTCAATCAACACAATAAATGCATTTGCATCTGTAAACCTGTGATGTTGCATAAGCAAGATGATCTAAAATATCAATTTTATTGATTGACGTATGATTCGTTTCTGTATCCAAATGGTCAAGTGCTTCTTGCATCCACATTAGTGTATGATAGAAATCGCCATTTGTATATGCAACACGTCCCAAATCATAACATTCCAAAGCTATGAAAAGCAAATCATTCAGTCATGATTTTTTATTTTTTCTATTATGATGGTGAATTACGTTTATCCAACAGTGAGATTAGTATTGACTAGCAGACATTGTCTGGCAAGCAACAGTCTCAAATGATTCAAAGGTTTCGTATTGATATTTTTCCTATAAGTAGAACTCACGTCCGTGAGAATATAAAAGGTCGAATCGATTAGGCACTCATACATTTTCCTTGTCGAGTTATGAGTTTATCACTGGGTCTATCAATTATATTAGGAGATATATCAATGAGCCCGTACATAGTTCTAATATGAAAAATTTTCTCCACCAATAAATGTTCATGATTTGAATATATATAAATGAATCTTTTTTTCGCGAAACAGTCAGCCACGAAAAAAACACTCTCGAGTCTACACAAATCACAAAAACAATTGATTCTCCTTGAAAGAGCACTATTTCAAGAAAGAAACAAGTATCTCGAGTATAAAATCTATCGTACAATAAGTGCCATGAGTTTTGAATGTCGCACAAATAACCATATCAGAATTCTTTACTGTGACTCTTCGATGCATTTCATGTAGAATATGATAAAACCCATAAAAGAAACTCATACCTAGCCAAGAAAATCCTTCCGATGATTATTCCAATGGAAACTTTCTATTCATACTAAGTTATCCGTCCTTTCAAAGTAAAAATGAACGAGACGATTTTATCAACCATTCGAAACATTTTTGCCTTAGGTTACACTTCAGCATCTACTCATTGATCAGAAGTGATACATAGAATGATATCAACAACAACAACAAAAAGAAAACATTCATTATACTAACCACTTAATCGTTTTGATTTAAATTTTGAACTTAATTCTCCATTAGCTAATTGACTGGTATTTAATTCATATGTATCTTGTAAGCGCATCAATCCAATAGCAGATCCTATGTTGTTTTTGAGAGAAAATATTACAAAGGACAAACAAGGACAATTATTAATTTACCAGTGTAATCTTCAAATGTAGGAAATAACCATTTACTACCAATATTTTTTACAGAGTCTAAAAAAAGGTATAATTAACGATTAAATTATCGCTTTGTAAAAAGACTTGTCTACACCTGTCGGTAGCAACTGTTCTATATTATTCCAGTCAGCTGTTAAATGTTTAATAAATAAATATGAATTAACTGGATTACCAAAATAATATTCTTCGTTTCCTTGCGCTTGACGAATCTCATCTTTGATAACATTAACAAATCTTTACAAGGAAAACAAAATCAAATCACACAATAGAGATTAGATCAAAAACTACATTTCCTTTGGGTAATTACTTTTCTATGTGATCTAATCGTTCATATTCTTCTTTCAGGTAGATATCTAATTGTTTAGCTAAACCTACTTCAGTATTTAATAAATGAGATAAATGTGTTGTTGACGTAAATAAGTCACTTTGGATAGACATTGATTTGATAAGAATTAAGAAAAATATTTTTATTAGAAACATGCTTTTTTATAAAAGAAATCTAAAAAGAAATCATCAAGTATTCATGTCTATCAATAAATGTGTTACTGTCATAAGAAAACAAATCAAAGGTCTATTACATAAGAAAAAATATGGCAATTGACTGTATGTTCAATACAGTATCTGTCTAAGACGCCGACTGCCTTACCCTCTTTTCTGTTCTCATATGTGAGAAATATCGCATAACTAACATTCTTTTCTTTTTCTCTCTTCTATATCTCCTCGAGACATAGAACAGATATAAACGCCGATATAGATCAATATAGCATCTCCATAGGAAAAATCTTACAACAGTTCAGACATACATCGATTGGATTAGAACTCAACTAATTGAAAACAATAGGTTATCCTTCGCCATAGCAACAAATTTCATTTCAACCGGATTTCTCCCGACATACTCTATGAATACAGCTAAACTTTGATTCAACATTCATCTCCAAAGATAACTTATTTTACTATTTTCAAGTAAGATCGTAAGAACCACTGCGTTCAAATGAATTATATGACTTTCTTATTTCGTCCTTTTTATTGAATTTCTCTTGGTTTTTTCCCTCACTTTTCATCCTTGTGTAGTGTGTCATTACAAACATATCGTGCAATTGCGCCATCAACAAGAAACATCAAGAAGCTGATTCATCATCACAAGACAGACATAGTATATAAGCGGTTACGTCTTTCACGACACTCCATTCGCCTTGTGCTTAACTTATTTCTTCTCTACTTTTACTTGCTATTAAACTCAAACCATGCAAATATTCGTTAAAACCTTGACTGGTAAAACAATTACACTTGAAGTTGAACCGACTGATAGCATCGAAAACGTCAAAGCAAAGATTCAAGACAAAGAAGGTATCCCACCAGATCAACAACGACTCATCTTCGCCGGAAAACAACTTGAAGATGGACGAACACTCGGTGATTATAACATCCAGAAAGAAAGTACACTCCATCTTGTACTTCGACTACGTGGTGGTGATAATCAATAAATTATTAAAAATTTGAATAGAATGAACTATTTTTTCCATTGTTTCTCGAGTTGATGAGAACCTATACTTTTGTGATTTCTTTTATGTATCTATTATAAACAGTCACTATATGATTGAGTATGTCTTGCTCACAATAAAATAATTGAAAACTACTTTCATTTTGCGTTTATTTCGATTGATGAATGAGAGGAAAAAAATGCTGCTTTATTTCTCTGTGATGATTCTTTACAAAATGTAGCAGAAAGGTTGTAACAATTAGATGAGATATTGCCATAGAAGGCGTTGGCCTTGAGCAGTGCCATACGTAAGTACGCCGGTTCTATGTTGATATTTGTTGACTTATAATGATGAAAATCAATCCAATGGTTGATTAGTTTAACTTAGCAATACGAGAATCTATGCTATGCTTTATTAATGCCCCAAAGTTTAAGCTGGAATATTTTGTTTTTCGCAAATCAAAGAGCAACTATATGGTTTTATTGAGAATAATTTAATGTTTTGTATCAAAATAAGGTTTTCACTTACAAAAAAATGCTTTCGTTTCAATAAATTTAATATTGGATATCTATTACTATATCCTGTTTTATATTCTATTGTCCTAATTTCGCGATACCTCAAGAATTAAATTATGGAAATATTAGTTTAGAATAGTAGTCTTCTCTGTTTGAGGAACAACATGATTTTCCAGACTTACGATTATTCTCATCAGACTTATTATTACATGTTTTACCTTGTCGTCGCACTAGGAAGTTGATGTAAAACATATGTTAATACCGGTGCCAAATATGTTTGTTTATGCGAAGGAGATGCTCTTGTATAGTTCATGTTCACAATAATCAATCCGCCTACGGTTTCTGTAGAGCAATGCGGAATGTTTATAGCTTTTGGGACTAAGTAATAATGGACTACATCTTATATCTATTATTTATATCGTTAAGATTTATATATTAAATGATAGCTTCTGTTGTTTCGTGTTTTTGTTTTTGTTTTGTTGGCCATGAAGTATAATTACAAAAAGCAATTAAGTCTTAATGGGGAAATACAACAAAACAAATTATATGCTTGTATTCTAATATCATTATACATGATCGAATTATTCGTATGATCACATAATCTGTGTAGAAATGTTGTTTTTTAATCATTTCTTTTTGTTTGAAAATAACTATGTCAATCCATATTAATTAGAAACTTGATAAATATTATTGCTAATACATATTTGACTAATATATAATAACATTTCAATCCCAACGAATATTTATTTGCCATTGATTTCAGCGAAGAAGCTAATAACGTATTTAAAATTTCTGGTACCATGACTTTTGAACCTAAAATTGTGATATGCAGTAAATGAAAGCGAATGCTACCCAATTATAGCTCATAGTATTTCTGAATCATTTCACGTATCTTATTTCTTTTCAAAGCCTTTAATTAAAGATATAAAAGTTCTGAATTTTAGAGAAATCGAAACATTCAAATTTTACACGACGAAATAAATTCATTTCTTTGCTACACTAAGCTAGTATATAGATTTAAGTTATTCGTAGAGGAAAATGCTAATAAAAATAATTGATAAATAATTATCATATGTACACGTCAATAAAACTTCTTTTTCCCAGCACCGCAGCTACTATCAACCAAAATTATTATCATCATAAAGTCAAGAAGAATTTTTCAATATTACCTCATCATTTCGTAATCTAAAAGCATACAACATAAAATTCTAATATCTCTAATTTATTTTCCCTCCGTCGGCGACTATTGTCAATGTTTGTAGGAGAGCATGAAATTTCCAGCGCCCTCTTAAGCACATCTTGCGCTATTGCTTACATGAATCATTGTTCTCAAGCATTACAAATTACTCATACTCCATTTATTTGTTCTTTGTTTTTTTTTCTCATCGGTGACTAAGTGTCATTACAATTGCATGACGAAGTCTTCTACACTCATCTAGAATCATCAACTTCTGACGCATTGTCCCATATAAAAAGAGAGATTTTTCGACTACTCTTTCATTCGTTCTCAGTAAACATACATACATTCATTTCTTCTCATCGTCTGCTAACTGCACCACAATCAACATGCAAATATTCGTAAAAACTCTCACTGGAAAAACTATCACACTCGAAGTTGAACCGACTGATAGCATCGAAAATGTGAAAGCTAAAATCCAAGACAAAGAAGGTATCCCACCAGATCAACAACGACTCATCTTCGCCGGAAAACAACTTGAAGATGGACGAACATTGGGTGATTATAACATCCAGAAAGAAAGTACACTCCATCTTGTACTTCGATTACGTGGTGGTGATAATTAAGAAATGTTTTACTAGGGTATCCAGGTGATCGAATTATATTAAAATATTTCCTTTTGTTATTCAATTTATTTCAGATACATGAGAAAATGTATAGTTTTTTTTCTAATGTTCATTTAGTGCATTTCTATTTTTTGTTCAATAATAAATGTATTGAATATGAATATAGGAATCTTTATATTATTTATGCCAATTATGATTTTCAAAGCAAAAGTTGAATGGCATTGTTAGCAGCTCTGAATTTTAGTGCAAAAAAATAGTTTTTACGATTGATATATGTATGAAATTCTAATCGAAATTTAGTAGAAACCTGATTTATTGCCTGACAATTAGTTGGCTAGTCGTATGAAATATTCGACATAGCTTTTTGTACGTGATTTATGTCGTTTCTAACGTAAGTAAAGCGAATAATAATTTTGATAAAACTAGAATATTTTGGAAACTGACTAAAAGATCATTTGCAACTATAGAAATAGAGTTTTTTATTGTTGGTTTTTAATCTTAAGTAAGAGGAATAGTACATGAAATATGAAGAAGCTTTTTTTTGAAGATAAATTTATTAGCTATGGAAGAATATGTCAACGTTTTGGCGACATTTTATTTTAAATATCGACAAATTCATAAATAATTGATCAGTGTCTCCCAGCATAAAATGCGATTTAATATTCGTTAAATGATATTATATGTAATATTGTAAAACTTCTCATTGATGTCGATGAGCGTGAACGCCGTTTGGCCTTGCACCATGTCGTTCTACGAAGTAAGTAGTCTGCGCCATCATTTGCATCATTTGAGCAGGTCTTTGATTCTGTCCCTGTCCTGCTCCAAGTTCGTTTGATAATTTATTTTTGATGTTTCTTCCAGAAAACATTTGTTGGCCCATGGTTTTCAGCTGTTTGTTTCTTCTGACGTTAATAAAATACTCTCGCAAATAAATATTTGATGTGTTTGAATACACAATTTGTTTTATTCTTTTATACTTTTTCATCATAGAATATATCAATGATTCATAAAATAAAACTATCAAGCGTATCGATGTAGTACACATGTTAGAGACGTAAAAAGAAATATCATCACACTATAACAACAATACAGTAAGAAAAAGAGTAGTCTATTTTCATAAAAGTAATTGCGTAAGATATTCATGAGATAATCAACATGTAAAATATTATTCTAAAGAGATAACTTAGTAATAATTAAGGCAGCTATTTGAAGTCTTGCATGCAATTTTTAGAATAGTGAATATATTGGTGTTACGGGCCTACCCTCACATATTATTATGTCATTCCTTTTCTTCTTCTATCTAGTCATCCGTCACATCTATCGTCATATATATAAATGTATAAATATATATGTTATTGTTTGTTTTGTTGTGAGTTATCGATTTTAGTAATAAACGAAGGGAGAACGTCAATAATTGGGCATTTAAAGGAAAAGCAATAAATTTCATAGTTATTCAAGTAGTATACGTTATGCTTAGTTAAGCACGTTTTTCTGTAAGGCATAAAAAGTAATCATTTTATTATTAATGATATTAGAATAGTAAATGTCTTTTTCGAGAATATGAATTATGCAAGCATTTTTTGATCAACAATCGAAAGCATCAAGCCTATTCGATTAAGTCTAAATTCAAATTATTTATTAATTTTCTTCTAACATCGTGTATTGCCATGTACATTTACAATGATTAAAACCCAGCAATTAAAATAGTCTATGCTAATAGTTTCTTCAGGAGAACAATATATTTTTATATCAATCAAATTTATATGTTAATGATAGAAACGCATTTTCATGTATTGATCTAAATTAGTCTAATTAACTTTCGAAATATCAAAACGTTGGTTTTCATGACTGCGTTTTACTCAGCACGTTTTATTGTATAAAAACAATCATATTTAATATAAATAACAAAAAAAAGTATATGAACGATAGTCAAGTGGTCGGCTTCCAATTCTTAGCAGCTAATTGACCAGCATGATAACCAGCTGTGTACCAGGCCATTAGCATAGAATGAAAAGCATCGTCTTCAGTTTTTGGTGGAGTTAACATATTTACAGGCATTGGTACTGGAAAATTCATTGACGCTGACTGTGTTACGGTTTCGTTTTTGGTTCTAGTTTTGTTATTTGTTCGAGAATTGTTGTCATTTTTATTTATCGATAAATCCTTTTTTGCCTTAGAATCATTACGAAGACGATTTTGAATTTGTCGATGAGCTCGATCATAAGCACGAATTAATTCTGTATCATCCCATATTTCATCGTGTGTATCTGATGAACGATCAAATATTATTTCGCCAGAAGTTGACATGATGAAAAAATGTCTTCACAAGTAGTTACTTTCATCACCATATCGTCATATCGTAGAACGACAAAAAGTCGACCGAACCAATTATGATAAAGTTATAAATAGTGACATCTATTTATGTGTATAGGCAGGACACATTCACTTCACTACACTATAAAATCACGATTGAATTCAGAAGTTGTAATGCTTAACTTGATCGATTATTTAGTTATTAGTTTTCTTAGGTAAGAAGCATCCTGTGTACTCACAGAAAACAAAAAATCGAAATAGTTTGTTGAATTCATTCTTCATTCTAAAAATGATATTCTTCCATTGATAAACAGACCTACGGTAAAGAACTTCATTTACTATATTGCTAGAATTCATTCCGTTTTCGCAGGGTATCATTTGTAGTAGAGATCAAAACGAATGATAAAATTTCGATTCGTATGTAGAGTGTGGGTGTACCGTCACTCATACTCCCATGATACATTAAGAATACTATCATCCATATCAACTTGTACATTGACGTTTGAAGATGGCCTTCATATTCGACGATAGAAAATCTCCATTTGAATATGAACTTGAAAAATATATATTAGTTTGCTCTTCGATAAGAACGACCTTACAGTACTCTCAACAGAACATTTTTTAATATTTTATTTAACTCCCTAGCGATTCTTCTAGGGAAAGTGAAATAGAGTTTTAAAAACGAAATGACCTTATATTTCAAAAATTTATAGATTTAATATTTGATTCCATTCGTGTTTTCTTTTTAAGTCAGTAATATTGCCAATCACAAATAATCAGATAACTTCGTTGACATATCATTCATATTCTGTTTTTAAATTACGATCGTGAATAACATTCCGAAGGTATCAACGATTGAAATCTGGTGGCTTCAGGCCCATTATGAAATTATTACTGTAGAATTTAGAACAATAATTATACTGAATGATCTTGGACAGAAATATGAATTGTCAAATGAACTACTTTTCACCCTTGCTTGATCAATATTCTGCTGAAACGTTGTAGTATACAGTTGAAAATTCTACTATGGGCACTCAGCATACTCTGAAAATTTTATACAATTTGAATATACCTGAATTGAAATCTATTTATACATGATGTGAACCTTAAATCGTGTACGATGAAAAATATTTGATTTACCTGTTTACTGTGATTGTTTTAGACTTGATCTGTGTGTTTTCTTCTATATTTAGATAAAAAAAAGTAATAAACGTGCATATAGATATTCAAACTGACATAATAGTAGAAGCAAATAAAATAATGAAAGCAATCGTTTACGTGTGCAACTCTTTTAACTAGTGATAGTACGATGTTGGATAGCTCTGATGCGCATCAATTTTCTCGTACGAGAAATTCTCCAATGAAAAAGACATGTTTTAGCGAGTTGTGTTTTTCCAAATTCTTCTAAATACTTCGTGGACGGCAAAACAAATAGCAAAAAAACGAGTAGCTATGGTGAATAGTCGTAGTTTGGTCATGACTTGCCCGTGAACGACTACGTGCAGCAAATACAATCAATACAGTAATAGACACAATTTGAATAAAAAATGGAATAATATAATGAATAAGTACGCCAATACGATTGTATGGTGAAAATTGAGCAAAATTACCAACACAAAATGTTTTTCCGTTTGGAGTGCTCGCAACAGTATAGATGATGAGTTCATGAAAATGCATAGTCGCAATAATCATCAATGTAATCAAACTTAAGATGATAGCTGAGCGTGGTTTATTCAATAGCGCAAAAAAAAAATACAATCGCTCAATTGTGATTCAGCGCGTAAGCCAACATGAGTATCGAGTATAAACCGAGAGCGTGTAGGAGAGTATTTTGCATGACATATTGTTAGATAAACCCATTGGTATGTAAACTACTTTCAACAGAAGTGGAAAAAGAGAACATTGGTTGATCAATGATAAAATAATGAGATAATTGCAAACACCATTTGTACGTAGTTGCGAACGTTTGAAAGTGATACAACTGGCATAGTTGGTTATTGTACCGGAGATAAACGTCATCACCGCGAGAGTCAAATAGAATAGTTGCACAATGAGACGATTCTCGACAATAAGCGAATCAAACGAAAAATTCAATACTTCAGAGCTGAACTGACAGAAACGACCTGAATGACATGGTGGGCATAGACAAATGAAATCATTCTTTTGTAATAGATCGCCTTTTAGATATTGACCATCAACAAGACAGTCAAAACATTGATCAAGATAATGATCATAAATGAAACATTCGGCACGATAGTTTTTTATGCCACAAATACACAAGTACGAATCGTTCACGAAACATAATAGATTCCTATGGTTTCGACATAGAAAATGATATTTGAATACTGACTTTTCTATATTCCAATAGATAAAATTCAATTATTTGATTTGAATAAATTCTTTTAAACACTTTATGCAACCATATAAAACATAACTTTCATAAAGTGGGTACAGTCAAGACCGATCAAAACTGTTCACAGTACTGGGGTCAACATTTGGAAATTTGTTTTTGATGATGTTATCATCTTTTTTCCATATTTCACAATGGTATACAATTACCTTTTTCTATTTAACAGACTCTTCAAATTTAATTGCACAAGTAAACCCTTAGTTCCAGCCTTAACTGCTGATAACTATACTTAACTTCCCACTGTGACCTGTCACATAACATCACTCGTCTAAGCAGGTAGTCACCAATGGTATATATTATCTATATTCTCTCTGTTAGTTTAGACATGTTTCTCTCTAAACAGGAAAAAGTAGTTCAATTGATGATAATTAAAGAAGAAAGAAGGTACGAAATGGAAATATTTGTAAATGATTTTATTGGATTCAAAATTTTTTCTGTTGTTTTTAGAATTACCCAAGCATATATAGGCAATACTATTTCTATCACAGATTGACAATTTAGCACTTCAGTAACCTACTTATGATCAACCCAGCCAATGCAGTTTAATTGTATCTTGCTAGACTATACAGCGTAGCATGTTCATTTTATATACGTGCCCGCCTCATTGAGGTTATACTGTACCTTCGTTTGTTTCGAACAATGTGCTTACATGTACACATCGATTTCTCTCGTTTAGTTTTGTGATAGCATCAATTGATTTGATATTCATACGAAGTGTAATCAAGTAGATCTCTGTCTGGGAATCGAAATATAACTTAGCTAAGATGATGGCAGGTGCTATCATTTTCGTATGTCTGTATTCTGGAATATGAGGAAGATTGTGGTAAGAATGTCAATGAACAAGAATTAGTTTGAGTGCACAAAAATGAATATCAAAATATAGTATGACAGCTCCATCATACTTGAAAGTTTCGTTAATTTTGATGCTAAGTGCTTGTGTTTTCATGTCGCATCGTTTCCCATGATAATGATTGGTACCAGAGACCGAAACGAATGACAAAAATACCATTCGGTTCGATTCGGTTTTTCTGGACCCGGATTCGGATTCGATTTTGCTCTTCTGGTGTCTCAGAGTTTTCATATCGTTAGTTTCGGGTTTTCAAGACCGGGATTCGGATTCGATTCGGCTTTCCCGGTCACTCAAAATTTTAATTCGATTCAACTCGGCTGGAAAAATGAAAAAATCAATTCGATTCGATTCGATTCGATTCAATTTCATTTTTTCAGCCAAATCGAATTGAATTAAAATTTTGAGTGACCGGGAAAGCCGAATCGAATCCGAATCCCGGTCTTGAAAACCGGAAACTAACGGTATGAAAACTCTGAAACACCAGAAGAGCAGAATCGAATCCGAATCCGGGTCCAGAAAAACCGAATCGGACCGAATGGTATTTTTGTCATTCGTTTCGGTCTCTGGTACAAAAGAAACATACTACTCGAGATATCTAGTAGATTTCGTTAGATTGTTTCTAACGAAAATAGCCACTAAAAATCATCAAATAATTCCTCTTTTAAATTTTTTTTAGAGACTTCAAAACATTTACCCAATAAAAACGATACTAATATAATAGCAATAAATAAAAAATTGAAATCGAAATCGAAATCTTCTCCTACATTAGTAACTGTTGTTAACGAGATACAATCAATCAAAGGATATAATAAAAGACAAAAATCAATTAATTTCAAACGAAAACGTCTTATTCATAGTGATTCAAATAATAGTAATTCATCAACAAAACTAAAATCGTATTCACATTCAAATTTAGAATATATGTCCAGAAATAAAAAAGAAGCTCGTATTCATCATAGTAGTAAGACCAATTGTTGTAATTCGTGTAATTATTGTTTTGGTGAAATCGTATCATGTAAGATGTGTTCGGCAACATTTCATCTTGATTGTATGAATCCATCATTAACAAAAGATGATATACCAAAGGATGCTTATTTTTGTGAAAATTGTCAAACTATAACAAAAACACAAGAAGATTCAATGAATAAAAATAAACAGCAAAAAATTATTCAATCATTCTCATTTAATCCAAAGAAAAATTTACATGAAGAAAATTCTAAAAAACATCACCATTATCAATCAAAATTAGGACAAATTAAGTTACCGACAGGTATTCAATTTCTATTCAATATTATTTTCATGATCTTTCGAAATAAATCACTAAAAGAATGAATTCGTATTATATAGGAAATGACAATTCTCAAATACTAGTGAATCGATTAGTTTAGACGACGAACCGTTTAAAACGAATAGATAAGCAATGATACTCACCGAACACAAATAGAAATAACTCTGTTGTATCTTAAACATAACTATTCGGTTGTCATTGCAAGATTTCATTAGGAGTATCAAAGTATAGTTTGATCGATCACATGAAACTTTGTACACGCTTTGACTGAAAAACTTAAATAGAAGATTTTTCAGTTACTTGTGAGTTGACAACTCGATTTTGTGAGAGTTGTCGAATTTCAAGAGGAAAGTTATCGTTTTGAAAAAAATATTCACGTTTAAAAACACTATTATCAATTATGTTTTTATCTATTTAGCATCAAATGGTCAATCTTTAGTACAACCATCAGGTGAAATTAAATTTCGTACAATAAATAACAATAATGAAAAGCATAAACATTTTTTATTATCTTCATCAAATCTCAAACGAAAATGGATTGATTCATCATCATCAATGAATTTTCTTATTAATAATCGTATAGGAACTTCTAATAATCACTTAGACACATTACATCGTTTAGTTCTTTCATCTCAGACCGAAGAGTTTCATTGCCCATCATCAATAAACGATTCAATATATAATCAAGATCAAAACTATTGTTTTACATGTCGGAAGTCTACTGCGCTACAAGGGCCATCCATACATTGTGATTATTGTCCATTAACATATCATTTAGATTGTTTAACACCTCCCATGACATTATTACCATTACTAAATGAAAAATGGATGTGTCCAAATCATATCGAGCCCCTATTAGATCGTTATTTAGCAAAGAAAAAGAAAATATCAACCAGTGAACGAGTAAAAATCTATCATCAATATCCACAAAATCAACAAAATATAATTAGTCAAGAATTTTCACATATAAAACAAACAAAAGAGTATGTCTTATCGAATACAATAAAGAATCATAGATTAGAATCTGTTAATATTAGTCAAATACCTAAAGTTATTGAAGATTTTTATTTGAAAGCAAATGTTATACAAAACAATGTTTCTGAAATGGAAGTTGACAATGCAAAAGAAGAGAAGCATGTACAGGTAAAATTAAAATTATGTCCATCATGAAGACCAATAATAATAATACACTATCATATTTTGCATAGATTCTATTTAAAAAGATACTCCGCTATGACATTAACATCTACAGAAACAAAATAGTTTTCCTAATTCAAACTTGACTGTTTTCAGATCATCCAAAATCGGATTGCAACATAGGATATGTATGCGAATGAATATTTTCCAAGTTCAGTTCAATCTATGCCACTCATAAATTTCTTATCTAAAACTAAACTTCTTAACATTTTGGATTACAGATATATTTCATTTCTGAGATCTTTATAATTCCGAAAAAAACTATTTTCATATTATAAGCATGAACTTCAAGAAAAATATTTTTCAAAGAAAATATTATGGAAAGGTCAGTTTTGAAAAACTACATCACAAATTTTGAATTCATAGGAGAAATGCTACCGTAGTTGCAGCTATTCGATGAATTCATGTAAGTCTCTTCAATAGAGAACTCTAGAAATTGAACATAAATTGTAAAGATCTCTTTTCAACTTGATAATTAGTTTTCAAACTTTTGAATTCAGATACATTATAGACTATAGTTCAAAAGAGTTAGTCTTAATCACTTCGATTCCACGATTATCTATTAAGAAGAAAATAAACATAAATTGACTTGTTCATTTTTAGACTAGTCTTCTTTCCAATTATACTACAGATACATATGATCCATGTATATGGGACATTTTACAAGCAATAATTGATCATATTGTTAATAATAATATTTATGAAATTTCATTGATAGACAGGTCACTAATTGAGAATGATGATCGAACGAAATCTCCACTACAAAATGAATCGAATACTTTTAATACAATTGATTCATTATTGCAAGCATTAAATGAACCAAATTATAAATTAGAACAATGTACAGATCATAAATTAAATAGTTGCGATATTCCTATTATTACGAATAATGAAGAACAACAACAGCAACAAATACCGTAAATAAATACTTTCTATTATAGAATACTATTCACTCATTCTGATATGCATTTTTAGAACCTCATCTATCGATACATTTTCCCATTTAATTGATCTTTCACAATTTCGTTTATCTCATGCGGCTCTCATTCATTTAAATTCACAGAATGTTATATATATTCGAAAACATATTATTTGGTTCGGTTCATCGTCATTAAATGATATATGTTTAAACGATTATCATTCTCCTACATGTCAATTTATAACTGAACGACATGCTTGTTTATATTATGATCGAAAAAACAATTTATTTGAGTTATTAAATTATAGTGAATATGGAACCAGTGTAAATGATCTTCGCTATGGTTTAGACATCATAAATGATAATAATTATAATAAACAAGAGAATGATAATCTATCAAAATGTTCTTGTTTAACTCAATCAGTTTATAAACCATCTTGGGATGGGCCAGCTCAAATTGAACAAGGAACAGTAATCAAAATAGGCTGTCATGAATTTCTTTTTTACCGGCATATTGTCCGATAGTACAAATCAATAAGAATTCGTTATTATTGTATATAATTACATTCTCGTTCGTTACTAACAATATTGATGGTCGAAAAAAAAATAATATTGACAATGAAAAAGAAAACAAACACATTTGTATTCATCTTTTTCTTACTTTCTGTTTGTTTTGCTATTGCGCATATTATTATACACACATTATTTATATATACCTATATATATATATATATATAGCTTAGAGCCGAGATAGACTTATGTTTTCATTGTTTATTTTTTGGCATCTTAGAATTTTTTTGTTTATGTCACGTATATGAGTAAAAGATATTGCTTGATTATTCTACAATCAGAAAACAAAAGTAAGTTGTTTTGTGAAATATTAATTATTGGTATTTTTATTGATAAAAAGAAAACAAAGATTATTCGTGTTGATTAAAATAAGTATACAAACACAGTTTCATTCATTTGAATCAATTTAGTGCTATGAAAAAATCGAGTTTGATCTAAAACAATAAATATTTGTCATATGGAAACAAACTTTTAACTGATATATTTATATTTTGAGATTTCTTTAAGTATATAGAATGTTGAGAAAGTCACTAGACAGAAAAATTTGAATATCTTCATGACTTATCAATCAGCTGATCTGACTATTTTCCGAGGAGCAAAATTTTCTTTCCTATATTATTGAACTAAAACTATGAGCAATAGACGTTTGAGTGCAGTTTGCATTTGTAGTGAAGAAAATTTTGTTGAATTCATGACCATAAATAGGCTCTTTCTTCGGGAATAAACATTTTTATCTATCTTCTAACCTCAGAAAATAATCACCCTCTTTTGTTTAACGAGCTATGAAAGATATTCTCTATTTCTAGTTACTTTTCTAACAATTTATGTAAGAAAACTCGAAAAAAGAGGATATATCCATTACAATAAATAGGAGCACCAACTTCTTTTTTGAAAATTGTAAAATAATCATCCAATGAAATCAAGGGGGAAAAGGCGCGACTTCCGTACTTCGAAGTACGATGAGAGTACAATGGAAGTACATGAAAGTGCGGTGGAAGTACAAGGGAGTATGTGAAGTACAGGAATACGAAAATCGCGGGGGGGGGGGGGGGGGGGGGGGGGGGGGGGGGGGGGGGGGGGGGGGGGGGGGGGGGGGGGGGGGGGGGGGGGGGGGGGGGGGGGGGGGGGGGGGGGGNTTTTTTAGTCGCTGTATTCGGTACATAGTTTTGTTACTACATTTTTGGATGATTCTTGTCATCTTATCCACAATAAGAATATGTCTAAAATAGCTTGACACAGCATGAGTCATTCTTTCACATGAAGAGAAATTAAATTCACAGAATGACAATATAGAGAAAAAATAGAAGAGCTACCTCTTTTGAGTCATTACTTGTTGAATATTTTCTGAAAACTTCCTACTCTGTGATTGGAATTTTTATCAAATCATTTTCGGTAGAATCCTAGCTGATCTCATGAATATTTCGTAAAATTGGAATTTACGGGTCACAAATTGTTTTTTGAATGAAAGAATTCACTACTGGGCAGGATAGCTTTTTCATCGTTTGCATCGTATTGATCACGATAAAGATTGTATTTAAAAAGAAAACAATCTTGATGATAGTCTTAAATTATTACTAGCTATCGGTTCAACATGTTATCAGTACAAATTTGCTCTATTCAATTTAACAGTACGCAACCAGTATAGAACAATAAATTCGAAGATTTGTGCTCTCAATCAGTACATACATGATTGTGTTTTCCAATTATTCTATTCATGTTGTTAACGATCACTTATCTCATACTCAACTTGTTTTTGATCTCTTATACTATATTCTTTTTGTTCTTATTATCAATAGTATTCAAAAAGAAATATTAAAAAAACAATAGCACAAACATAGTTGTTGTCATCAACATCTTCATACACCTATTGCAGTTTCTTTTTGCCTCTAAGACATGAAAATGTAGCAAGTGACTTTCTCTAATCTTATGCTAGTGTGTGCTGATCAATATATTATTGAATAGATTATCTGCCGTTCCACTACTCTGTTGTTTTTTCTCTTTAATTTGCTCTCTGTTATCAACGTCATATGACTTGAGGTCATTATTTGTCTATGATCTATTTGGTATAGTTCAGTCGTCGCTACTCTCTGCCTCTGAGTTTCTTCCATTGCTAAAGAGAAGAAAGAAAATTTTTCGTTTCTGATTAATTAAATCACCATACGACACTTTTCCTCTTGCATGTTGAAGTACGATAGAACGTGAGAAGATGCACGTGATCGTAATAGATCCACGTGTTCTTGATTAACAGTATACTATGGTCAAATAGATGGATATACATTCCATTACAATAAGATTATTATTGTTTTCTTTTTTTGTTGACCTATTTATAACGAAAGTCACTAGTCATTGACTATTAACAAGCGTAAAATGAAGAGTCTTATGTTGTGAATTCAAACAAATGGCTTGTCTACACGAACGTATCTGTATTTCTTAATCAAATAATAGACAGGCAAAGTTAGTAGTTTTTTACTGTGGCTTTTTTTACATATGCTGTACGAGTGAACAGTGTGGCACCGGATGGATGTCTGATTGAATGCAGGTGAAAATAGACCTAGAGCATGCTGTGCTTACTATTCAATATTGTGTTTCCTGTACAATTGTTCATTCATTGTATACTTATTATGAGTAGGTGGCACAAGACATCGCGTGTCTATAGAACGAGCAAATCTGCTCGACATACTACTCAAATGTGAGAACAATAGTGAGCGAAAGAGATTCTAATCTTTATTATCATTGTGTCTTTCTCGATTTGATTATTTCTGTAGATGTACATGTTCAGATTGTGGGAGGGAGGAGACCCTTGTTGATATTATAGCATCAAGTACATATTATTAATAACTAAATAATAGAAGATTAAAAGGATAATTATATGATTGATGATTTACAATAGAATTAACAGGTGTAAAATTTTACAAAACGGCAAATACTTCTATTATAATATTCATGTGAAATTCCAAAGATTTCTATTGGAAAAAAATGTTTTAGAGAATTTTTTCAGCCGATCTAGAACATTAGCTCAAGTGAACTCTTGTGACCAAAAAAAACTGGTTTGACTCACATAGAAAATTATTTTTAAAAGATAGAATAATATCCGTTAAACTCAGTCAATTGACTCATATTAGTGGTATAAGACATGTTTTATGATGTTTTTTTCCTATACAAATCTAATTTTTTATCTCACTCGAAAATCAGTGCTTGTTCAAAACATTTTATCTGATCACATTTTGTATTTTTTTTTTCATTTGTGCTCTTCTTCATCGTAGTGATATATAGATACATTCGTAGACTATTCAATTACTACCAAATACTTACAATCGATTCGAGATCAACCTCAAAAATGATTACTATTCAGATTATCATCTCTCTCTCTCTCTCTCTCTCTTTGCTATTGACTGCTGACGAATCGATTGCTGTTCGATAAATCACCTACATATATCTTAAAAGATTATGACATCGATCAAACAAAATAGTTACATGCCAGAAGGTATTCTTTTCTTCAAGAACAAAAATCGTTCCCACCATAGAAAAGAAAAAGTTATTCATTTCGTATTGATCATCTATTTCTTCTATCTTCTTTGAATGTACAAGTCGAATGATACAACAGTCATATTCTAATCATTTTAAAAAATAGAAGACATATTCGTCTCTTTTATTGTATGAAAAAAGATGAACACCGTATATTTTCGAATTGTGAAGGTCATGAAATTAGAGAAAAAAAAATCTTTTCTTATTTTTTCTCCAATCAATCGGCATTCTACTTTCTTTTTCTATCGTTTTTTTTTCTTTCCTTTCCTCTTTCGTTCCTTATTGATCGTTTTCTCATTTTTCCATTTTCAATCAGCAGCAACATATAAAACATTTATATTTCAAGAGAATGACGACGAAAACGACAATTACCTTATCACCGATAAAACATTGTTACACATCACCTAATTTAAAGAAACGTCGTATTACATCAATTTCAACATATCGAAAATATCAAACAAATTTATCACTAACTCTGCCACATATGATTTTATCATCAACAGCAATTTCAGTTTGTTGTGAACAACAAAATATATCAACACATAATTTACCTGATCTTTTAAATGACATATTCATTGAACAACAACGACGAGAAACTATTAATACTATAGCAACTATATTAAGAAAAGTTGGTGATCAAATTGATGATCATTTGCGGGTAATTCGTTTTTTCTCTGAATATCCATCGAAGATTAATGTTCGTTTTCTTGTGTTTAGACTGTTAATAATTCATCTTCTTCCTCAGATCATAGATTTGGCCAACGAACTATTAAAATAATTAACTGCTTATCGCATATTTTACGTTTTTTCTTATAAACACTTTCTATTCACTATTGTTTCTTGGCGGCCCGGTTGTCTTATTACGATGTTGCTGTTTAGCACTCTAGATGTACATGGAATCTGTTTCTGTTTTTGTTTTCGTTGTATTTCTAATATTTATTTTTCACAATATACATCATAATACTATACACATATATTTTACTTGATCTTATTGAAATTTTCATTAAATTGGATTTATAGACAATCCAATTTAATATGTTTACGAATTAAACATTTAATCTTGTAATACACAAGAGAGAAAAAAAATCTCCATCGTCACCTTTCAACGAGGAGAAAATTGAAGAATTTTAATTCGATCAACAAGTATAAATACTTGTTGACGTTGACTTATCACTCCTTTATAAGTGGTATGCGAATACTGATTGACACGTGTATATATATATATATACATTTGTCTCCTTAATGTGTCAAATATGATGGCCATTATCCATATTGATTAGGTTACCGAAGCAATGGTCACATGTAGGGTTCATCATCACCTGTTCGTTTGTCTTTCACATTGACTCAAGCAGCATTTGTCTACGAAATTATCGAACATAGTAAATATCATGCACATATGCATATATACTGCTCTTTTGTGTCTTTTTCTTTGCAGAATAACATTCGTGAATTCGTGCGGATAGAATAGAAGATTATTATTGGTGGCAATCTTTCTGATCAACAGTCGATAAGTGTCTTGTATTCGTTGGCAGATCAATTTCATTGCGCAGTAATGATTACAGAAACTTCGTCTACGTTCCATGATAGTGGCGATGGGTGATCTTCTTTTCTTTTATGAGTATTTTGTTGTTATATTAACCACAAAACTAGAAACTTTGATGTAGTACTCTTGTTTTGATCTCTCTTTCTTTCTTTTTTTTCGTTTATGCTAATGAAAGGAAATCGAAAGTGACAAATGCGTTTCAGATTTCACTTTTAGAAAATGTAGACATTCAAGAACAAAATGAAGGTCAATGAATAGATACATGAGAATAAATGGTACTCTGTTTCATCAAAGAAACAATAAATTTCGGGAGTGTGTTGAACAACAGCATGATCTTAATGAAACGTGGATAATTCTTGTTCTCATTTCAGTATTTATCATTGTAGAAACGATGAAAAATATACTTCATTTATATATTGGTTTATCTGTTTAAGAATGATCTAGTAGAAAAAGTAGATATTTTGTTCTATAGCTTTTCTTGTGTAGAATTAGTTATTAAACGGTACATTGTATTTTTTCAACATTAGAATTATAAAATTAATAAAGTACGCTAGATATCTTACGGCATTGATCTATACAAATGATATGTTTGAAGATTTTATTAAGTCATCATATAAAAACATGTCTGCTTTGTCGTCAATCGACTTATATCATCATATGCAATAGACAATATGATGAATACATTCTACATAAGACACGTATCAAGTTGATCATCTGATTCCTCATGCATATATAATGTGTATAGGTGCCATTGAATTGAAAATTGAAAATTGAAAAATTGCTTTCATACAACATTTTAGGTGACAAATGCCATGCTGAGTTAGATAGGCGGAGAAGAATTCGTTCTCATTTTGATTCTTANATGCGGGGGGGAGGGAGGGAGGGAGAGGATTAGTTGATTAATAAATGAATTATGCGTATGAGTATAGAATATTAGTTGATTGCTTCCGATGCGTTCAGTTCAACGAGTGAATAGAGCAAATTGGGAATTGCCTACTAAATGCTGAATATAAGTATTAAGTTACATATATAGTTTTCTGTTTGCTGAAAATCATTTTTTTTTTATCCAGGAAGCTTTTTCTGGATAGGTTTTTTCCTTAAACAATTTTCTTTCCGATTAAATTACCGATGATCATTTCCAATTTGCTGCCTGTTCTTCATACATGCAGACAGATCCAAGAATTGTATAGAAAGAAACGTATTCGAATCGTTTTTCAGTAAGTCATTCTGTTCTTTATGATACAAGAACATTTTATGGCTAGTACTAGAAGGATTCGGATTATTTCAAAGAAAATTTTGTTAACCTTTCGGTCTTGCCTGTAAAAATGATAATATTAACATAATAGAAGTTTGTCATTCTCAGTCAGAATTTCTGACTCATTGTTTTATATATGATGAATTAGATTAGTATTTCTCTACTATTTATATCGTATTTCTATGATTTTTTAAATTTCTTTATGAAACTATTATTGGCTGATGAACAACTAACGATAGCGCTGAAACTGAGTTTGACGTGCATAAATACTATTCAGTTTTTGTACATTGATTTTCTCATCTACAGAATGAACATAAGAAAGTCTTCGAGAATTTTGAATTTTCTTACTCGAATTCAGCAAGTTCAATAACCTAAAATCCTCGTATTTTCCACGAAAGAATATATCCATTGAAAATGATTTCTCGTTAAAACAACGGATCGTAGAATACAATAAATCAAATATCCGGTTATTGTTGAGCGCTCATGTATACTTCATAACAATGAAACCACTCGAGATCTTTCATTTTAATATAATGCATCAGAATAAAGCATATTATTCTCACATGTAGATTCGTCAACAGTTGTATTGTTATTCGATGTTTAACATAATCAAATCTCAAAGCAATAACAATACTTGATTAACAAGATATCTGGTTCTAATAACTCAAGATTAGTTTCATCAAAAGTTGCCTATCCATAGGATTCATTTGATACAAGTGTTATAGGAACACTTCTATTCTAGTAGTCGAATAAAATCTATTATTGGGCTATTTTGAAAAAATGTGCAGTTAAGATTTCAATAGAGTACATAAATAGTTAATAGCTATATGTAGTAACTTTGATGATGAAACATCAAAAGATTGATTCTCATCGGATTAACGAGGATCGTCTGTAATTCGCTTTCATAACGTATAAATTGTGTCCTCAGGAATATCTATGTCTTTTTTTCTTTTATCATAGTAGTAACATATATATAAAGTGTTCTAATGTATCACATAAAATTGAGAATGCTCAGCTCTTTATTTTCAATTTTCTTTTTGGTATTGTGACAACAGGGGACATGCCGAAAAAGTGTTATTTTTCATTTTAGTTTGTTTAACAAAACGTAAAGATTATTCTCAACGATGAAATCATTGTTTTCTTTTTCCTTCAATATTTACGACAGTAAAATCTCTCTATTTCGAATATCATGAATACCATTCAAAAGCTTTCATTGTACGAGCGTGCTCTGATCAGAGAGCTGATAAATATTTTCCTGCAAAGTGAAAAAATATTTCGAAAATATCTGCTCTAACTCCTTCCACATGAAAACGCGTGTTTAGCTATGTTCATGCACATCGATTTTGATCTAAATGTTTTGCATGGAAAAATTCCTCCTAAAGAACACAAAATATTAGTTTTTGAAAAGATCTATGATGTTTCTTATCGTCGCATTTCTGACGCAATATCAATGTTAATTTATTTTGTTTCTAGTTCATTGATCAATTTAATGTTTTTCTAATGAAGTAAACTTATGTCATGATCTCATGCTTTTTTTAACACATACAATAATGGCTTCATCTATAGAAACTAACCATCGCAATTCATAGCGAACAGGTGATAATCAGTAGAAAAAGGTTAAAATAACACTAAACGTGTTTGTATCGTAGAGCGATTATACTAGGAGAAAAAAAGAGACCGGAAAAATATATCTATTGCTTTTAATCGTAGGTTTTATCAATAACATCCGAGTTGCTATATTATATTCATTGTTGTGGAATTAAACAATCGTATTATGTTATAAAACAGATTTACTCAACTGGATTAACTGCATGAAAACTTTTTATTTAATTTCATTTTTCAATAAGTTCGCTTGAACGTAAAATACCTACAAATAGAATATAATATACGGGTAGATGACGAATAATAAATGTATATTTCTTACTAAAAATAGAGTTTATATTGGTAGCAATAATCGACTGAGAAAGTAATATATCTACTGGTATGCAAGGTATTTGCTCGTTTAGTATACAAAAAGAAACTGAGAAAGATTAAAAACAACATTGCCTTATTATCAAACTATAAGATAGAACAGATTGCAATCACATATCAATACATTTAAAAGAAAATCCAGATATTTAAACGTAGAAATAAACAAAATTAGAAGCGATTGATACTAATCATGATTGACAATAACAAGATATTTATAGATTCCTATTTATTTAGTTAATAGGTGATAAAAAAAAATCTCCAGAAATAAATAAAATTAGACTTCGAAACGTAAATGCGGTTGTATGCTGAACAATGAAAAGCGAACAAATATGTACAACATATCGTAAAAGAATAATTAGTGGCCTCTATGAATAAATATTAATGCGAAATCAATCAATATTAATTGTTTTAAATACTTGGCATTCGTCTTTTTTTATCTGTTTCAATGTCATATGGAATATTGCTTTCATGAAAAATAGCTGTACGACAATATGACAACCTTCAATAGCCATGGCTCGATGACATACTCGACGCTTTCTCGCAGAAAAATAATAATATTTATTGTTGTTGGTTTAAATTAATTATTTTTTTCGAGTAAATATGCAATGAAAAATTCTTTTCATTTACGTCGAAAAGTATTTAGACAAAAATTATGAATTGCCCTCAAAGAAATGATTACAAATAATATCTTTATTGTGTTAGTAGTCAATTAGTTCAATAATTCAACATTGTGTGTATCGAAGAAAACCTATTTGTATTAATTAGCATCATACTATTTTATTTTTATCAAATACTTATTTGCGTCAATGATTATTTTTATCAAAATAAAATCATTTATTCTCATCGAAAGACGAGCTCAACCATATGTTTCACGTTCTATTTTTAAACACAAGCTGTAGTAATGTTTTTCTAATGACTTTTCTCGGCATTTTTGTTTTAACCATTGCTGAAAGCGGAGGAAAAAGAAAAAGAAATTACAGCGCCATTTCATTCATACTTAGTATGCGTAGTTCTTTTTCTTTCTTGTACTGTCTTTTTGACATAAACTTATTCGAGCTGATTCATCAACGATACATGCTTGCATGCACACTGTAAAAACAGTCCCAACTATTACCATTAATAGTCCTATATTACTTCACCCGTTCTCTTTGTATATGTGGGTATGGAATCATGGGCAGTCATAAAGTTAGACGTCTCTTTTTTTGCTAAGACAAGAAAGGAAAAACAGCATCGACAAAAATACAAAAGTACAGTCTAGTTATTGTTTTGCTTGATCTTATAGCATGCGCTTAAACATCATTCATATATAGCGCACTCATATTTATAGATCTACATATACAATTAACAGGAAAATGCTATGTATATATTAGAGAAAAGCCAGATTGCTAAATTTTCACATATGCTTTGAGATTCTATGTGCATAAAGAGTCATAATTGTAAGTTATAATTAATTTGATTTAAGCAATTTATACTGTATTCATCTAAAGTTTTTTCTTCTTCTATCTGTCTATCGAAATACAATTTAGCAATTCATATCCTTCTCTTAGGTCAGATACTAAATTGTTTTCATTACACTAAGTCTTATTTGATGAGTGACTAGGCATTTTCTGTCAAATAAAGACTAGCATTAATTGCTATTCAATTCTCCGTTTAGTATCAGTTTGAACTCATGGGAATATTGTTTTTCGCCGTCTGGAAATAGCTACACATTAAACTTATAAATTATTCATGTTCACTTCCATATATATGTGCTCTCAAATAACCATGGACACAAAAACATCATGTGCGAGCAATGTGTTCTGTTAAATTGTTAAGGAAATATTTGAATAACTTCATAGGAACCGATAAATGTATATATTCATTAGTCGATCTTAGTGTCGTCATTCTAGGAAGTGGGCAAGAGTACTGAGTTGTATGTTGTTTTTTTCGTTTGTACTTCTCTGTCTTTTTTTCTTCTTTTCTGTCTGTATCTCTCTGGAGAAGGAGAGCAGCAGATATGGTAGATAGAAGCGCAGCAAGCCAAAATAAACTTTGGCCTTCTTTCCTCTATTCTTCTTCCATTGATAATACGCCATTCAGTTGAGATATGATGTCCATCTTTTGAGAAAAGTTAAGGTCAGTTGATCATTTCATTTATATATACATTCATTTTTTTCTCTTTTTGGAAAGAAAAAGAAGAGATCATCTCTTCAAACATTATGTTATTTTTTTGCTTGTATTTCTTGTGGATTTGTAGGTTAGCCAATGTAGTCAAGCATTCCTTTGCCTATCATTTTTCTTTGCTTTTTTGTCTAATATACATGAATGAAAAAAATAGAAAGAAGGTCAATGGCGGCAGGCGGTTACTTGCTGCTATTGTTTTTATTGTTGTTAAAAGATAACAAGCTGCCAAAATTTCCGATCATACAATTATTCATTCTATCTCATCTCATTTTTTTTCTCTCCTCAGAGTCGTTCATCTTATATTTCAGATATTTTATGTATGTATACAATGCGTATATCGATTCCTCTAGGCTAGCAAATCGACACAGACCGTTAGACAAAATGAGTAGTATGTACAGCTGTGGCAGTGTAAGCCTGAATAATAGAATATAACAAATTGTTGTTGAATACAGCTGTGCTTTATGCTCTTGACTATTTTTGTCTATTTGCTATTTTTTTCCTGTTCGTTCTCTCTAGATTTATTTTTTTCACGAACAGCAATGTCTGAAAGTGATTCATCAGCAACTCCAGTACATACAGAAAAATCCGATGAGCAAGGTAAAAGTATTTCGAAAAAATTAATTATCTCTATTTAATGTAAGTTGGCTTTTTCCTTCATAGGTAATACAATAACGATTCAAAACGAACAACATTCGACAGTAAACGAAACTCATCATCAACAGGAACAAACAATTATTAAAAATGCTAATGATCCTCATCCAAATGTTACACATCATCTAGAAGATGTTCACATTACAGTTAATAATGGAAATATGGTACCTACTGTACCGATTGAAGAAGTTAAAGGTAATGGCCTTGTTTGATAATGATTATATAGATTATATATGTACCATACAAATATAGACATCACTAATGAAGTAATTGATAAAACACAAGATACATTGCATGAAGTAGTTAATGTAGCTGCTGAAAAAGCAACAGAATTAAAAGTTGATGTAACTAGTTTTGTTGATAAAGCCCATGAACAGGCAAAACAAATTGCACACGATGTTCAAGGTAATGTTTCGTCTACCAACGCTTTGTTTTAACATGAATATCTTACAGAAACAACTACTGATCTGAAACAAGAAACAATCGCTGCTGTTCACGTAGTAGAAGAAAAAGCTATGGACGCTGCACACGCTATTGAAAGTATATTTTTTAATTACATTGATTTCTCATTCCTGTGATGTTTTTACTTCAGAAAAACCTGCTGAAATAACAAACGATACATCTACAGTTATTCAGGATGTTCAAAAAAAAGCTCAAGAAGTAGCAGCACATCATGTTCAAGGTGAGAGTTTTCTGCACAATGAAAAACTGCATGAGATGCATAGGTTTCAAAGCCAACTTACCTGAATTAGTTTATAATATTCATCATTGTATGAAGTCTTTCAGACAATGAAATTAATATAAATGATATTATTTTTAGATCAACCCATTGAGTTCAAAGAGGGGGTAGTCACTGCTACTCAAGTAGTAGAAGAAAACGCTACTGATGCAGCAAAAGCTGTTCAACGTAAGATTTTTATCTTATAATATTCTTATTTCTATGATCATTTGTTTTAGATAAAGCTGATGATGTTACACATGACGCGTCTGCCGTTGCTCATAATGTCGAAGAAAAAGCTACAGAAGTAGCACATAATGTTCAAGGTAAATAAAGTCGTTTAGTAGGTTATTGATCATCTATGTAAATATACAGAGTATTCGATAATTTTATCATCTAGTTAGATCTTTGGATCTCCACAAAATAAAAATGAGACTTTCTCAGAGATCACTACATAGTTTCATATGTTTATTGTTTTCGGCAATCTACTAAATGTTTTTTTTAGATAAAGCTGTTGAACTAAAACAGGAGGCGATTGCAACTGCTCAAGCAGTAGAAGAAAAGGCTACGGATGCAACACAAGCTGTTGAAAGTAAGATTTTTATGTAATAAATTTCATATTGAAATGGTCATTTGTCTTTTAAGAAAAAGCCGTTGACTTAAAACAAGACGTAGTCACTACCACTCATGCAGTAAAAGAAAAAGTTACCGACGCAGCACAACATGCTCAAGGTAAGATATTGAGTTTTTCAACAGAAAGAATTTATGAGAACTATTTCATATCATTTGTTACACTATACAAACTTTTTCGAAAAGACGACTAAATTTACATATGATTATCACTTTCTTTAATCTGTGAGATATTGTTTAGATAATGCTGTTGAATTAAGACAACAAGCAGGTGCTACAGTTCAGGCAGCAACAGAAAAAGCTGCAGATAAAATACATGCTGTTCAAGGTACATTCTTCAATTTTAGAAATTCTTTAATCATGCGACAATTTTCGTAGATAAAGTTGGTGAAGTAGCACATGATGCATCTGCGACTGCTCATGATACTCAGAAAAAAACCACAGAAGTAGTACATAATGTTCAAGGTAGATTCTTTCAATAATTAATTCGAGTGTTAATCTAAAATGGTTTTTTTTAAGAAAAAGCCAATAAATTAGTTACGGGAATAAAAGAGGCAGTTGTTGCTGGTGAAAAAGTTGTTGAAGAAAAATTAGCCGCAGCCAAAGAAACAATTCTAGGTAAGTCTTTGAAATTGATGTATACTTCTTTAATAGTATTATATTTTTAGAAAAATCAAGCGCATTAATTGATAGCGCAAAAACTACTGCACATGAAGCTAGTGTTAAAGCACAAGAATTAGAAAAATCAGTTGAACAAAAGTTAAAATCACCTGAAAAAGTTGGTAAGTACTTTTTCTACTATATTCTTTTATAAAAATATATGCATGCTTTCATATAATTAAAATAGGCGAACAGAAAATTAAAGAAAACAAAGAAGTACTTGATGAAAAAGGATCTGAAGTTAAAGGTAAAGGTGCAGAAATACTTGGTGCAACACAACATGCATTCGCTACCGGTGCTGCTGTTGTTACTGAAAAGACTAAACAAGGAATTGAATTAGCATCTGGAGCTGCTTCCAATGTTAAAGCAGCCACTGGACAATTTGCAGGTGATGCACAAGCAAAAGTTGTTGGAACAGCTCATAGTGCTCAGGGTTTGTAGATTTTAGAATATTTTCCTTAGGTATTTCTATTTATATTCTAGCAAAAGCAAGCGAATTACTAACAACTGTCGAAACAAAAGCTGCTGGTACTGCTAGTGTGATAGCAGCAAAAACTGTCGAAGCAAAAAATACTACTGTAGCTGCTGCACAAACTGCAGCATCAACACTTCAAGGTACAAAATTGATTTCGTTCTTTTTCTTATGAAATCATTTTTAATAAATTCTATATCATAGAAAAAACAAGTGCTCTCTTAGATAGTGGTAAACAAGCATTAACATCTTCTACTTCATCTCAACAACCCACACCAGCACTATCATCGACTGGTACAGATCATGTTTCGCAAGAAGCATATGTAACTGAAGCATCTGCTCAAACTGCTCATGGTCCGGAATCAACAACTACTGAACAAGTAGAACCAGCCGCAACGAAAATTACTAAAGGTGGTCCAATAGCTGCTATTCGTAACTTCTTTAGCCGTTTATTTGGTTCATCACCCCATAAACACGAAGAACAACAGAGAAAACCGGACAATGCTATTCCTACAAGTGCTACCGGGCAGACAACTGAAACTACAAAAACAACGATTGTAACAGCATCAGTTGCAACAAGCAATCCACCAATATTATCATGAAACATTCATTCATTCTTTATTCTTATCCTTATGACCCGTTTGCTTGATAAATAAACAGTGCTAAACTGAAAAACTCGCTTGATTGTGTTCTATTCGTGTACAATTACGTACTATATCATTTATAGTGTGTGTGTGTGTGTGTTTGCTTTCGTTTCGTTATTAATGCCATCATTATTCACCTGTCTGTTTTCTTTTTTTTTCTTGATCCAATCGCAATTATATTTCCTTTGCTTTGTGTCGTTAAAAAGATAAAAGAGAAACACAGAGTATTATAAAAAGAAATGAGTACGATTTATATGAATCAATTTAATTAGCTTCTTTCTGTTTTATTTCGAAGATAATTTAAGGATATTGATGTGTGTATAGAGGTATACGTTTCATTGAATTAGCTATTTGGTTTATCGTGTTTAAAAATATTCTAGCTTATTCTTTTTTCTCTTGCAACTGTTATTTTAATTAAACCATAGGTGCCCATTATGTTATTGCGTGCGTACGTCTAGAACAATAATAAATAAAATAAATGATTAAATGATAATATTGATAATAAGTCAAATTAGAACTAAATTAGTCATTTCAGTTGATGGTATTCTGCCCTTTTTGTTTTTAAGTTTACGAGATATTTTAACTAGAGTTTTAATCACAGAGTACCTAAAAAAACAATGCCCATCAGAAGAGTTGCCCACTCAGGAGATCAATCGAAAGATATTTTCTAAAGTTGCATTTGGTCACAGAAAAAGGAACTTTTTCAAGATTGGAGATTAAAGCGCTTCTCCTGGGATATTCTTGGAAGCATTTATTTTCAGTAGTATATATATCTCTACGGTTATTTGCATGGCTATGATATTCATCGATACAATCGATTCATTCTAGTGCGATATTCATATATATATATATATGAAGAATGCCCAAAACAAGAATATATTATTTGTTTCTGGCACATGAATTAGCGATAATCAGTAAGGATAACTATCGAACGTATTCTATTATGTATAAATATAGGATGATTTCGATAATGCTCATTCAGAATTCAACAGTTATTGGCTAAAATAAGAAAAAAATATTATCAATATATGTAATTGATGATGAATAATTTTAAAATCAAATCATACTTATTTATTGTTTTTCTTTCATTCTGATTCTATTATTAGAATCCTCAAAAGCAACATTTATGATTCATCTAAAAAGACATTAACAACTTATCTTCTATTGGATTTATGAATGTTCTTTATTCTATATTCTATATTCTAGTTTTTAAGTAGCTCCAATATAAAATTTGAGTCTTTGCTATTCAATTTTTCTGCAACAATAACTGACATTTTTCATGAGAAAATTTAAAAATATTGCATTGTTCAAAAATCTAAAGTAATCGACAAGAAAATCTAAAGAAGAACGTTTTTCAAGACTCAAATCTATTTGAGAGTAAATTTTAATATCATACTGCAAATCATAAGTAGCTGACTTTTCGAAAAGTCACAACATTTATATATTCGTTGTTCTGTGATAATAAAATATGTCAACAATGTATTTAATATTGATGAAAAAGATTCTTATCTTATCTAGCTATCCTTTTTTTATTAATAAATAAATATATTTCAGCTATAAAAACCTCTAAGTTTTAAATATAATTCAGATATTATTGTTAGGTAAATTCTATAATTCTATAGTTATTCAAATTTTTAATGAATTCTAGACCGAATGGGTGAAAAGAGCTACGAAGACAAAACTCAAAAAGTTCCAGACCTACCTGTGAATCATTTCTATAAATCAATCGAATATTTGAGATTTCTTATTGCGTCCGAAAGAGTCAGCATTGAGTATAAATATCCTTTTAAAAGAGAAAAAGCGTTCCTTTACTTGGATCTGAAACATTTGGAATTCGATACTCACGATTTTTCTCGTTAATTCATTGAAAAATATTAACAGATCGGTTTATTCACATCATTTTTGAAGTTGACAATGTTTTCGTTTTAATAATTTGGATGTTGAATTTTCATTTTATACAATATAGCTAATTACAATTAGATTTTATTCGATAAATATTGAAAGTTCAGACATCTTCTATGCGAAGACTTTTCACTTGAAACTATCAAAAATCACAGGTTTTGATCTATGAACTGTTTTATATAGAAAATTTCTATTCACAACGACCATATATGTTAACATAAGTTTGACCATCTTTTGTTTTCTATTGTCTTTCGATATTTCAATCTCATCAATACAAAATAATCTTATGTCGCGATAAACGCTTTTATTATTGATCAATTTTCACGTATTTTCTCATCATCAACACCTTTACCTGTTAAAGTTAACGAAGTTCATTCGATACACTTATTAGTTTCTCATCATTGTTATCATAGTTTGTTCATCAAAAGATTAGATCAAACATCGTCTTTCTCTTTCTCTGTTCAAATAAGATGCTCGTAATGTTATTTATCTAGCTAGTCTTAAGGGCACATATCATCATTGATGCGCGGGTAAACGTACTGATAGAATCTTGTTCCACGTGTGAAAAAGGAAATACTCCATATGTCTATTATTGTGAATATTGATACTATTGAGACATTTTAGAGCTAAAATACTACAGTTGTATTGAAGAAATCTGAACTATAAAGTAAAAGAATATTGACAAGCAATTTGAAGTTTTTTTTTGAACGGTTTGATAAATATAAATATGAATTGGAATATTACTTCTCTGTTAAAAGAAACATGATTTATTATGTGTTACATCTTGGTATTTATCCTTTAATACTTCAACCTTTGAAAGTCAATACTGTAATTTTTTACGGTAAACCTATTTTAGAGAACTTGTTAGCAATTAGTTTTTACAAATAATTTGACAATCGACTGGGTGAATCATACGATCGCTTGGCTAAACTGTAAGAAAATAATGATCCACGTAAAACTTCTCAAGAAGGATAGGACATATTAACTTTCAAGCCTATCATTAGGTGCTCTATATATTACTTACACTAATATAATGAAATATTAGTCAACACTCTTCATCCATAGCTCATACAATAAATGATTACAAATAGGCGATTCTTTTAATGATGTGAAATGCGATAAGTTGATTTAAATTTTCTTTACAGTTGCTTTTAAGTATATTATTGATTAATACCATAGACGCCTGTATCATTTCCTACGGTCGTCGTATCTTATTGCACATCATATGCGAGCCTCAATTTTAATCATTGTCTATTTGTTTTTAAATACATTATATGATTATTACTATTAATATTAAAGATCGATAAGAGAATCTTTTTTTTTCTTTATATCCATAATCAAGTATTTCTCAAACGACAATAGAGATTGAAATTCCCAACGTAATACTGTTGTTTATATGATGTGCATGCAACATTGTGCGTGTTATAAGTGTGTCAAAAACAAATTATACGATTGTTGGCTAGTAAATCAATTTCGTTTTGTTTCTTATTTCTTTTTGCCCGTTGTATATGAACGTCGATCACGCTTCGCAATTCCTAATTGCTCAAAACATTCCAACACTCATATTTACATATAATGATCGAGAGAAAAACAAAAACCAAAGAAGTCACGTACGAAACATGTTGAGCGACTGAAATAAATACACATACATAGATTTCAATCTTTATCAATGATCGATCGTTTCTTGTTAGTTGATCAGCTGCAAAGGATTTCAATAAGAAGATAATTAATAGGCTAAAACAATTGAAATGACAAAAAAGAACTGCTTGCTTTTAAACCATAAGAATTTCTCCACTCAAAGAAATATAGTTAGCAAACTTTTATTTTAAAAAAGATATTGAATAATTTCAAATACTCTTTTAAAACATGAATCGTAGCAACAAACATTGTTAATATTAAGCAGCACATGTATAGAATCATGATTCTTTCAATAAGTGAAGACGTTGAAGTGTTTGACAATGATAATCAATAAACCATTCAAAAATCTTTATTTTTCCTTTTTCTGCTGCGAGCTTTAATGTTAGCCACGATATCGATCTCATATGGTTGATTCTGTCGCTTTTTTCGTATTGATTGATGATCTAGCGATCGCAATCGTGTTTACACGACAAATAGATATTATTTTAATCGAGTTAGTCGCTTATCATACTCTCTTTCAATGTGCGTGTTCACAGAGGCGTGGTTTTACTTGTCATCGACACTATAAATTTGTATGAACACAAACAAAAAAAATTGTGCGCCCTCTTATTTTAGTCGGCACGAGAGTCAAAAGAAAATAAAGAATTTCGAAATGATACTCTACGATAAGTAATAAAATAGATCAATAGAAAAATATCAAATTAGCTTCGATGATTCTATCAATAAGAACATCTTTGTATGATCTATTCTTCTTCGTCTTTTAACATATGTGATAATCAATTGGTAACCTTTTCTTGACTTTGACTTGTTTAATTTCTAAATGATTATTTTGCCTCATTTGCGATCATAATCGGTTTTCCAGAAAGAGTATTTTCTTATTTCTTTGATGTACTAGTATATTTTCATATAAAGACTATTAGCTCGTCGTCATCTTCATCATCATCATTATCATCATTATTATTTATATTTGGTATTACAAGTATCTTTTTACATGATTGGTTCGACAAAACGAGATATGCCTCTCTCATTATATGAAGAAATATAGGAGAAAAAAAATGTTATTGTAATTGACCAATCGTATTAAAAAGAAAACGAAAGACGAACAGAAAAGAGAAAAAGAAAGAGAAACAATTTTCACAATCATTTAGTTATTTGATTCGAACGATTATAACTCGATACTTGTCATAAAAACAAATAGAAGAAGAGAAAGAAAGAAACAAAGTCTCGATCATGGATGCCAATGATCATCAATTATATCTTTCATCGCCTGATTCAACATGTTCGAGATCATCAACATCGTCATCTTCAATATTATTAAATAAGAAACAATCAACTGCGATGAAATCTTTTCTCATATCCGATATATTAAAACCAAATTTTGGCCATCCAAATGAAAAATGTAACATTCCATTATCACCAACAACAACTAATGATTCAATATCATCTTCAAATACAAGTTTTAAACCTGGAGCATTACCAGCATGGATATTTTGTACACGATATTCTGATCGACCATCTGCAGGTCTGTGAAAACAAAATTTCCATGAAAGAAAAATCGAATTCATATGAATTAAAAAAAAACAACACATTTCAGGTCCACGTGCAAGAAAACCAAAACCATGCGAAACCATTGATTCCAAACGTCCACGAACTGCTTTTACTAATAATCAATTGGCACGTTTAAAAAATGAATTTGACCGTAGTAAATATCTAACGGGTGAACGTCGGCAAGTTCTAGCGAGTGAATTAGGTTTAAATGAATCTCAAATAAAAATTTGGTATCAAAATAAACGAGCAAAAATAAAGAAAACTTCTGGAGTGCGAAATACATTGGCATTACAATTAATGGCACAAGGTTTATATAATCATACGCCATCGAATACTAAAAACAGTTAAAAACAAAGGCTAGAGGCAAGCAAATCTTTTCTCTCTCTCTCTTTTTGTATGTTAACTTCTAGTCAAATTCTTCTATCATCTTCCTCTCTTTTCGTCTATTATTATTTGTTGTATAGCGAGAGAAATATAGCAAAAGTGATTTTATTTGTAGCAACTGTTTCTTATAATCGATCATGGGAGTCGATGTAACAGGTATCATCATTGTCAGTCGGTACGATTGATTGAAGTGAGATTGTTTTATATTTCTATATTCACTAATATATGATTTGAACAGATCTTTTACTCTTGTTAATTCGATAAATACAGAGTAGAATGTTGATTGCACACATACTCAAGGGAAATTTTAAATTGTAGTTTTCTTTTCTCTCTCTCTCTCTCTCTCTGTCTCCTACACTTCTAATCGAGCAATGGCGGCATTGAGTGACTTAGCATATGAAAGTTTAATGAGCATGAACAGTTATAGTTGATCATTGCACGAACATAAACGTCCATTTTTTTCCTTTTCAAGCAAAATTCTCTTGATTGAGTTTTGGTTTGCACAGAAAAGAAATCGCTGCAAAGATGCAATCGAGCAGCTACCAAAAATTTGTTCTTTATAAATTTACTTAATGTATTTAAAACGAGAAAGAAAATGTTCATCTGATTCAAGACCTGACAATTTAGGATTTAAATTCTGCAAACAAGGCTGAATATACGAAATAATCAATATGTCGAATCAGCAATGGGTGACTTGTGTGTGTCCCTTGCTTGCGTAGTGAAGTCTCAAATATCTAACAAGCAATGATCCATTCTTTTTCTTTTTCTTTTTGATGATTTATAACACTGTAATGATGAATTGTCAGTATTATTTTTAATTGAGCGATAGCATTCTAGCTTTTTTTTTCATCCAAGGTTTTGGTACTTGCAAGTCAAATACTCGGCAAAATGAACAGACTAATGGGATGATTTCTTTATCGATTCGTTATCGAATCTTTTTATCTCCGTATATTTACCTTGGATTGACAATATTAAATACGAATGCATTATATAAGCTCGAAATGATTGATTATTAATATTAACTTATTTGGAAGGAATGCTCTATACCTAAATATAATCTATATGTAATCAATATATTATTTATCTTATTGCGTTTTTTCTTTTCTATGTACTTGATGCAATCGAAATATCAATTACATGAGTATAACTAGAAAAAAAGCATATATCTATACTTGATTCAAAACATGAAATTTTCCGATCGAACATTCAAATATAATTTAAAAAAAGTCTTTCTTTTCTATTGTGATATTATTGGGTCATTCATATTATTAAATGGCTTGTATTTAAATGTTCACTATTTTATTATCAATGTTCAGTAAAATTTCATCATATGTTCAGTAGTTTTTGTTCAGTAAAAAATTAGTTTTTGCTCAGTATATAATTCAAGAAATTCAGTAATTAATTTAAAAATATTCAGTATTTAATTCATTTTTGTTCAGTATCTAATTTAGTTTTGCTCAGTTTTTTAATCATGTATTTCAGTAAAAAAAAGCGGAATTACAAGTAACAAAAATTTATTGAATTAGTAACGCTTTTTTAGATTTTGCAGGTCTACCACGACGTCTTTTTTCACCAATTTTAACATTTTTAGCAGCAGGTAGTGGTTTGCAGTCAGGGTTACCAAAGCTCCTGTTTTGACCAGGGATCTCCTGGTTTTGAAACTTTTCTCTTGACAAGAAATCTCCTGATTTCAGGAGCTGTTTTTTATGTATTCTCCGGCTTTTTTTAATGTGACGATTAACAACGTTTTGAACCTATTGCGCTTTTAAAGAGAAAGGTACAAATCTATTTAAGTGTTAAACTTATATATGGAATGACAATCGAAATCAAATGAACCATGATTTAGTTGGAGCTGAGTTAAAGATTAAAATAAACACTCATTTGCAGTGTTGTCAGATGTCGAACTTGAAAATCCAAAAAAATTGTGGGTTTTTTAAATGCGGAAAAAATCTGGAAAGATTTTTCGGGTCAGTTTTTGTCATTTAAAGTACGTTTCCCTCTAGCGGATTCCGAACAAAGACACTCTTTATACATATCTACAACATATATTTAAATAAAAAAAAGTGCTCATACAGCAATGCTGCCCGATGTAAACCTCGAAAATCCTAAAAATCCAGAGTTGTTTTTCAAAATTGAGAAAAGCTTTGCAGACTCGGGAAAACTTTAGAAATTCCGAATTTTTCCGCAAAATGTGGGAATCTGGTAACACTGCCCATTTCACTTTCATACAATTCTATCATTATCTTTTAAATGAACCAGATCTTTCGAAGAAATATTCAATCGGTAGATAAGTAGTCACGTCGCCAAACTGCTACGAATTACTGAGTAAATTGGCTAAGTATTTTTTACTATTTATTCTAATGAGCACGTTTTAGTTATCTATTTAAATAAAATTTATGAAGTCCGCATTCTATTTTCAATTATAATTCACCCACAAGGAAATTTTCAGCCTCAATCTCATTATTGGAAAAGAGTTTAATGCGTCTATTAGTGAAAAATCGGATGTTGTCAGATAAAAGCCATCCAATGACTGTTGAGTGTCAAAAAAAAAACACTCCTGATTTTTCTTCTGATTTACGAACAAAATTCTCCTGAAAAACTCCTGATTTTTTACAAAAAGCTCCTGTTTTCTAAAATTTGAATTTGGTAACCCTGGTATGGACAAATGTTCTTCTATTTACATCAAAATATACATCGAAAAATAAAAGTGATTTACTGATAAAAATACTACTTTTTGCTGAATAAATGTATTTTTGAAACAGCAAACTGAATTAATTACTGAAACTTTAATTTTAATACTGAGCAAACAATTAATTAACTGAACAAATGCAATAGTTACTGAACATTAATTTTTACACTGACAAATTGATATCTTTACTGAACATTTGTATATAATACTGAACAAATTTTACTGAACATTTGCAATAAAATACTGAACGTTTAATTTGTCGCCTTATTAAATTGAACGAGGAAATGTCAATATTAGTTCTAATATAAGCTAAAATTATAATTTAATAAATAACTTTTTAAATGAAATGAAATATTCTTTCAAGCTTGAAACTAATGGCATTCATCAATGAAAGATTTACACAATGACAGATTTATTTGCTAATGAGTCGTAATCAAATTTACTGACAAAAATATTTTTTCTCAAATAGGATGATTTAAAACAAATAATCTTTATATATCTATCATAATTGTCGAAATAAGCAAAGTAGTACTTGATTTGAATAATATTTCTCATGAATTGAAATAACTACAAACAGATGCTAAAATAGTAGATGCGATAGGGAAGAAAACATTTTCTTACTGTTTCTAGTATGAAAACATGCTGCTAAATTACATTTTCTTAGAAGCAAAGAAAAAAAATTTTAATTTAATATTTCAATCAATTTTACTTGCCATACAGCAATCGTCTTATTTTCACTTGAGTAACTGAAGTGTTTTAATACCTAATAGACTCTTATTAATTTTGATTTAAAAGGTTTAGTCTTATCTAATAGGGTTTGTAAAGACAAAAAGAGTCATAAACTGGCCCCTACATATTTTTTCGAACACGTGAGTAAGTTACAACAGCAAATAATGATTCTAAGCATATGAAACTTTTTCTTTCTCATAATTTTTCTTTCTCATTATTGTGCTTGTTGGAGTTTGTGATCAATAATTATAGGGTCAAATCAACACAATTCGAAGTCAATCATCGAATAATCAATGATATTATGTTATTGTTAGAAATGGAATTAAATATTTTTAGATAGTTTGTTTATTTCTTGATTTTTGTATCATTCAGAATAATGCGAAGCATTTTTTGCGACTTTGCTACGGCTATTTATAGTATAACTTAGATTATTGGAAGATAGATACTTTAAAGATGAACGATAAGTTGCAGCATTATAAACTATAGTAAGTTTTAAAAATTAGTTATTGAATAAAACTATGTATCGTTGTTCAACACAATGATTGTTGGTTTAACAATAGAGAGACATGAAAATCGATATTCTTATGTAGAACAGTGAGCACATAAGAGTGAAAAATGTTTCTTTTAAACAAATAAAATATGTTACATTATCAATTCTTCATACGATAATTCTTATACTTGTTTGTCTATTTTGATGAAACACAAGAAAATAATTTTGGATAGCACTGATGAAGTCTGCACATTTATCCAAAAGAGAAAGCGAACGAAGAATTATGTACAGAAACTATAAACTAAAAAAAAAGAAAAGAGAAAAAAAAATTTTCCATATTTACACAGACAAAAAAAACAATAAAGAGAAATGCACAAATTCTCGTTCAGTTTTTTTCGGTATCATTGTTTTTGTTTCATAAAAAAGGAAGATGAGAAGAGAAAAAAAAGTTTGTATAATCACTGAGAAAATGCAAAAGGCAAAAAAAAGTAAATAACAAGATGATACTATTGTGCATATGGTGAGATCATTTTTTCTTTGTCTTTTAATTTAGAAAATATGTGGTGCAGGTACTTTAATAATGCCTGGTCCAGGCGGCGGCGGAGCTTTCGTTGTTACTAAAGGTCTTTTCTGATGATGATGTTGTTGTGTTCGACTAACAGTAGTGGTCTTCAGTGATGAAGATGAAACATTTGCTGCTGTTATTGAACGAGCTGGACTTGTTGATGATGAATTATTCAAGTCTTTATTATTATTAATTGATGATATTGATATTGGTCGAGATGACCGTTGAAGTTTTCCCATATTAGCAGGTGCTCGTAATTTAACTGTTGAAGAAAGATTTGATCCTGTACTTGTACCACTAACAGCTCGCGCAGCTGGTGGAACTGATTCGACAATAACAGTTGTACTTGTATTCGACCGATTGATTGTTAATTGATCATTACTTGTTAAACGTTCGATATTTATTGGTGGTAGACGAGTATTTGATTCTATGTTTTGTATATTTGTATTCACTGTTGTTGCTGAACGATAACGAAATGTTGAGGGAGTTTGTCGAATTTGACTTTGAGATGATTGTGGTGTTGTAGCTATGGTTAATTGATGTGAAGGAGGATTAGCAACAGATATACCAATTAAAGATATTTGTTGTTGATTTCGTTTATCAAGTATTAAAGAAGTTGGAGTTCTTTCTGTTGGAGGTGGTGGAGGAGGAGGAGGAGGAGGCAATGATGGTGGCATTTGAGTTTTTCTTGGTGATGTTGGAGCGTTTGAGCCTGCTCCCGAATTGGTTATACGTAATGGTGTAACACGTAGTAGGCCAGTTAATTTCATACCTGGCTCAGGTGTCGAACGAATTGGAAACGGCGCAATTTGTAATAGAGCACTTGTTGCTGCAATTGACGATGCTGTAGGTAATGAAAAACGATTTTGTGATAATGAACGTGGTGGCAATGAATATGGTCGTAATTTTGGTCTAAGTTTAATAGCATTTCTTGCACATATAAGTTTGGCATATTCTTGTAAACGTAGTTGTTGGTCAGAAAGAAACTGCTGAAGTAATTCTGATGCTAAGGCATTGACAATACTATCTTTCATACATTTTATTAATAATTGTGGATGTTTAGAATGTAAATGATGATGACGATGTTTTGAACGATCACGAGTGAATATGCCAAGTGAAAAGTCATTATTTTCATCATCGTCTTCATCGGTATCGAATGAATCAGCAGCAGTACCACTGAAATGATCATCTAATATGGTATTCGTAGCATCATCATCATCATCATCATCTAAATCAGAATTATTTAATTCAGAACCTTCGATTGAATCGATCGAAGAACGACCAGAAGCAGCACCATCAAGAGCCTGGAAATAATTATATTTATTATTTACAATAACATTTTAGTTTTTTTAGACAAAGAAAAGGTTTTTCTAAGAAGATTTTCTCTAGAATGGCTCGATATCATTCGATAATTTTTTTAAATTCTTAATACAATAAAAAAAACTTCAAAAGTTCACTATGTATTTTTAATGCTATTATTTATTCAATTTTAAACAAGATGTAGCATTTAAATCAAAATTTCGTTCTTTTTGTTAATGATTGAGAACACGCAAAAGAAAAGTCGTTGCGATTCTATGTATACCTTAAAATTTTATTGAAATTCTTTCAATGGCCAATGTCACTTTCGTAGAAACTTAGTCAGACGTTTATATTCAATGTTCAACTGTCGATTTGAAAAAAAAAACGACGAGCCTTTTCGAAATACGTCAGAAGCAAACATATCGACATCAATCTTGGCTTTCTTACAAAAAGAAAAAAAACGAGTTGCCATTGAAGCTGTTCTGTTTAATGACCTTTGTCTGGTCATGGATACGGATGTATGTAGAAAAAATCAAACATTCTCTTGATTGAAAAGAAACAAAAATATTATTGTATGGCATTATCGTCTATTTATAGTTTGATTTATATTTGTCCTATAGACTTGGTTAAATATCATTATGCTGAACAATATTGATGTTAATAAAGCAATCTGTTCAGATAATTACATATCAAGCGAGTTCGCAAATAATTATTCTTATCATTACTCGATAAATAGCCTAGGTATTTGAACATCCACACTTTCCTGATGTTTTTTTGAACAATATAGTGATAGTTCATGAACTCTATATGTGTAGAAACTATGTCAACTATGAAAATAGCGAGAATACGAAACAAAGTCGAGTTTATTGAGCAAGTGTAACATGTTTTCATGTTTTTCATTAGATCACAAAGAAATGATTCAAAACAAAAAATAACTATGCGAATACATAAATATTTTTCATCAAAACGAAATTTTATAATGCTTATTGAGTGACATGTAGGCTGACAAGAATTTTCTTTTATTATTTATAAACAAACATATTCCAACAGTGTTGTGAGCATATTCAGAACATACTCTCAAGCTCTTTTATTATTTTTGTTTTGCCTATAAAAAATACAAACAGTATTCTCAGCTGTTAACGGATAAGATTGTCTATGCATCTATCAAGTAGTTTCTCAGTAAATATTAGAAAAACAGCAGAGTATTAATAAGAAAAAATTCTTTTCAAAACAAAAAAACTCACATTTATTTCATTTGAATTTATACTAGAAAATTTTGGATTAGTAGCTAATAGATCAATTGTTGACGATGTTGTTGTATCGATACCAATAATATCGAGTTGTTTATATGATTGAATTACATTTATTGTTGATTGCCTTTCAATATGACTTAAACGACCACGTATTCGAAAATGTGGTTTACTTGACCATTCTTCACAGATCTTTTTAATCGAAGAACGCTTCGGCTTTTCTTCATTGTATAAAACAGAATCGATTTCTTCGAATTCTCTTCTTGACCGTCCGCTGGTCTCACGAGCATCATCTTCATTATAACCTGACAAAAGACTTGAACCACTCACCGACTGCGAACACATAATAATGGATGGTTGCTATATTTTTTTTTTTCAAAAAAGAAACACGAACAGAACAAATGACGAAACTAAGAAACGAAAAAAAAAGACTAAATAAGAAAAAAAGAAGACAAAAAAGTTCATACCCAAAACCAGGATGACCAGATCACATGGCGATATGAACAAAAAATTGAATAAATGTTTTTCTGAAATCGTTTGTTTTTTCCTTTTTTTCTTCTTGTCTGTCTAAAGTAAAAAACACGTTATGAAATGAACAAAAGTTTTCACAATAACAACAAAAACAAATAGCTACTTCACTACAAGCAACTTATTGTGTTTTATATTTTCAAAGAAAAAAAAATGAATGGCCCGTATGTAGTAAAGATAATCATCTATAACAAATCGCTTGTTCCTATCGTCCTTGGCTTTTTATTATTATTAAAATTGGACACATTCAAATTCATTAGTTGAAAGAACGACAGAGAGAGAGAGGGGGGGGGGAGTGCAAGTAAAGAAAAATAAGTAGTTTTTTCTTATTCTTGTGTGAATATATTTGTCTCTATTGCCAGATTATAGATGACAAATGTTTACACAATTCAGGCAAGCCATTATAACTGATCATTTCAGAGAGACTGCCAAGAATACTTGATAATATAAAATATGAAATGATATCAATAAAACTTTTATTATTCAAATAATTACTACAAAGAAAAATGCTTATCTAAAATAGTAAAAAAGGCTTTAAATTTTTATGATTTTTCGATAGAGGTCACCTCTATATGATAACATTCGATCGATCGAGATCGATACACGCGTATCTGTAACGGAAAAATATTTAGGTCGGATAAATATTCTTCAAATAACTAGCCAGGACAAACAATCTGATAGCTGGATCCAACCGGATTCGAGAATAAGAAAAATATAAATAGGAGAGAGAGAGAGAGAGAGAGAGAGAGATACGGAGAGAGCGAGAAAGAAGATGCATGGAGAGAAAAGGTATCGAGAGAGAAGGAGATGCATAGAGAGAAAAGATATATAGGGAGAAAAGGATGCAGGGAACGATTACGTATTGTTCAGTGGGCGATTATGTGTTCCCATATACAAGGATGTCCATTAGCACTGTAAGTTCAATTACGTCACGGCTATCTGTTCATTAGTTCTATGGCTTATAAGTGGACGTCCAGCGGTTTCTATAATCCCCTGTTTAATCTAGACCTACATGTGGAACGTACTTCTTGGGACATCGATGTCTTGTACATGAACATCGGTTATCTATTATGCCTCCTTATTTATCTACTCTTACAGGAGTTACGTGTTTCTTGGTACAGTATCGAGTTCAAAGAACTGTTTGTATTTTACGAGAGTACACACTTCTTATAGGTTTTAAGGATGAAAATATTTGACGATGATTTTCTATTTGCGTTTCAGCTTTTTTCATAAAATTTAACTGAAACAAGTCTGTCCCAAAAAGAAAACTTGAAAGATTTTGATACTTTGATACGAACGTTGTAAGATCCGAATACTAATGTTGATTGTAGTTGTATAATTATACGTATTGACGTTTCAAGTGTTTGACAAATCATTAAATGAAGAGTTTCCTTTCCATGGAGTTTTCTTCTACGACAAAAGGGGCAAGGGGACGAAATGTATCGTTATCATTTATACCTGGTAACCATAACTTCCGTACGACTCTCAACATCGTATAATCTGTTAACTATATTTATTTGAGCCCGACAAGTAATGAAGAATACAAGTCTTAATAAGAGTTAAAATATGATAAAGATTTTGATATCGTCCGTCAGGTAATATGACTTAATAATTCTTATTGTTGGTTGCCACATAATCTAGATGTTCAGTCGAATAGTTTTTCAAGTTTTTATTTATTAATAAAATGAATTAAAAATAATGTTCGAAGAGAAAAAAATTAATTGCTTCAAACTATGATAAACGATAAGAATAGCACAAAAAAAAACAATTTCACATGAACACATTTTTTAGTCACTTACTTTCCTTTCGTAAAAAGTAGAAAAAACCTTTTACTGAATTGTTCTATTGTTGTTGAAATCAAAAATCAAAAGTAGAAAGTAAAAATACTATAAAATATATCATACGATATCAGTTTATGTTTTGTTTTGAATAATTCAATATATTTTAAATTGAAAGATTCAAAAATGTATGTCCTAAATATATAATATGATGATATTGTCTATTAAGTTCGTAAAGCTTGTTGCATATGTGAATCGAGTAAAGAATTTTCTTGAAAGCGAAATAATGATCGCCCATGATTAAGAGTTGATTCAACATAAATTATAGCTGGAAGAAGTGCAATGAAATCTAGACGATTTATTTTCGTTGTTTTAATCTTTGGGATAACATCTTCTAGTTCATGTGAAATATGTTCCACTTTACCGTTCACTGTTCTTTTCCTAATAAATTCAATTAGCTGTTCATAAGTTATTGTCCCTACATCGCATGTAGATTGATTATTAAAGTCTTCAAGTAATTCAAAAATATTATTATGATAATAATTGAAATCTACATCATTTAGCAATGTATTCCATAACTGTGAACTATAATATTTCATAGAATTATGTATTAAAAACAATAGTTTATTTTATTTTTACTCTTGTTTAGCTACTATTTCAACAATAATAGCTGTTGCATAAAATTCTTGTAAACCAAAATAAGTTGTTGAACTTATTATATCGTATAGCTAGAAATCATTTATGAAATATATGACTTTAACCTATCAAAATCTACGAACCACATGAAAAAATGTTAATTGAGCACGAGGAAAAATGGATGGTAAACATCGTTGTACTTGTGAATATGATAGGTGTCTAAAAGATAAGTTATTAATCGTAACAACATTGTTAGTGTAGTGTGTGTGTGCATGATTAAAATATGAAACAAAATTTCACTGATCTTGCTGATCAATAGCAGATTAGTCTGTAATCCTAAGTTAAAATCTATCGGTAACCAGCATTTTTATTTCATTATTTTATCATTTTTATTTAGGCGTGTCTTGTAAAAAAATCTTACCCATCTTGATCTGTATCAAGTTTATTAAATAAACGCTTCAGACGATTACGTGCAGATTCCGTAAGTAGTGAACCCACATCCATACGCTATATAAATCAGAAATATTGAATTTTTGTTTTTGAAAGAAAAAAGAATGAAAACCTGAAGCGGATGATACGGTTTTGGTTGTTCTAGAGATTCAAGACCAATAAAAGTAGTCGATCGACTTAATAGACTTTGAGGCTGTGGCGATTTGCATCGTAATATCGCTTTTTGTGTCAGATTGTGCTTGATAACATGATCATTTATAGATGGTACGTCTAGTTTTAAAGCCTTTGGTTTTAGTAGTTTTGGTAGTGAAGAGTGACTTGTCTCTGTGGAAGATGTTTGGTGAGATTGACTTATTAAAAACAAGAAAAAAAACACTTTAGATCTAGAGAAAATATTATTATTAAACTGATCTTACAGCGTATCTCGACTTTGAGCTGATTGAATTGTTTTCAACACTAAGAAAAAGAATAAGATTTTGTTTTCAGTAATCTAGATCAATAATTTTACGTTTTGTTGGTATATTTTTGACAACTGTTGGTAATTTAACAAATGATGTTACATTTCGTTTCTTAGGAACAATCGATTGCTGATGTCGTATGTTTGATTTCCTAAATTCTGCAATCGATGCATTAAATAATGGATTTCTCTGCATTTGTTGTGTCATGATCCTTTTCTTCAAATCAGTGGCAGCAGCATTAAAATATGACTTTCTTTGTTTCGAAGCCATTCTTCAACATCCTTGCTAAATCATCTGTTTTCAATTTAATAGAATTTATGGTATGAATGAGAGAAGAGAAAAAATGGTAAGGTGCGCAGACACTTCGCTTTCATAAGAGAAGAGTAGGACAAACAATCACCTTCATCAATGTTGATGATGTGAAGAAACAATAGAGCAATGTAAAACAAATGAAATAAGTATTGAGTATGAGAAAGTTCTATATGGCCTTGACTTGTAATTATTGTGAAATAGAAAATATTTCCTGCGTAATACTGATCGAACTATTTTATAGAAAGAAAATCGACAGAAAAAAAAATTTGATTATTAAATAAGTTATAAACATACGAACTCATATTAGAAAGCATCTAGTTCGATTGTAGTTTGAAGCAAATATTTGTTGTTCAACTCAAAGACTATTCGAATAAAAAATATGTGAATGATAGCACAAAATTGTCGACAGGTTTTAATTCGATATATTTAACTCTTCATTTAAAAACAAAGCATATTAGGATGCAGGGTAAGATATGATTCTTGTTCCATTCTCATATTTTCAACAGGATAGAAAGGATAAAAATTCCAATGATTCAAAAATCTCTTGAAAAACTTTCACTTTAAATCTAAAATTATTCATTTTTGTATGATTTCAAAAAAATCTCAATTCAAAACAGAAACGATTTTCTTATTCTCAGTATCTTCATATGTTGTGCCAGATATTCAAAAGAAAAAGTGACTATCTGTAATGAAGTTTCTATAAGAAATCTGGTGAATAGAATCAAAACTCACATAGAAAGCAAGAAAAATGAAAAAGATTTTACATCTTGTCTAAAAAACAGTATACTTATAGAGCAGCCAACGAGAGAAATCATGAACGACAAAGTTTGCAAAAATAAAATGCTGACTGAGACAATTGACTTCTGTTTAGAATCGAAGACCTTAATACGAAAAAAGAAAATAAACGGCACTTTGCTTCGATCGCGCTCTCTCGAAACTAAAAAATTGTTCACAGAAAAGTACAAAAAAAAAACTAAATACATTCTATATCGATGAAGAAATCCTACGAAAGAAAAACAAACGAAGTTTATACGACATCGATTCAATGTTATTGTTCATATTTTCTATTTTTTGAAGTATGTTGTATTGACAACGAGATGTGAGCAAAGGAAAGACTCACATTCATCTCTATACTTACATGAAAGCTGCGATCTAGCAACGATCAATACTCAAGAGACAAAATCAGAAGAATAGACTAGTTATCAAATATACGTATATTTGAATCGATTCACTAAATGCTTTGAGAAGATACTAATACCGTTCATACACTGTGAACATTTTAAATTAGTACTGATCATATGAAAATGCAACGCAAAGATTTATTCGAGCTCGTTTATCAATAAAGATATTTATTTTTAATTTATATTTTTAGTACAAATATCTATCAATAAACTTTCACTTAATAGTTGGTATTTGATTGAAAAAGAATGAATTTTTGCAAAAAAGCAAATAGATTAATATCAAAGGTTTTTCAAAATTTACTTTAAATATTAAAGTCAAGGATTTTTGCTTTTAATAGTGTAAATTTTCCATGCGAACTTATCAAGGGGTTCCTATGATGAAGAACGACAAAGTGTAAGAAAAAAAAAGAGTTGCGTCTGTAATTAATTCCCTACATCATACATATCAAGAATGGACACCTTACAGGTATTGCGATGTGTATTGAAAAGGTTTCTACGCATGTGCAAATGACATTGAATGATAAAATATAATTAAAATCATATAGATTAAATATTCTTTAATATCATGAAGTTAACTAAGCTATTTTTATTGATTAGTCATTTAGCGATGTGAAAATAAACGAATTTAAATCGATTGCAACGACACTATTATTATCAGATTTTTCACGCACAAAACATAGATTTCATTTGATTGTGTCTTTTTGATTCTATTTTAATCAATATTACAATAACCAATTCAAATAGCTTAAGCTAAATCTATCGTGTCTTTTCAGGTTGAAAAATCTGATTTTAAACCCTTTTTTTTCTTACACGAGTAATACAGCTAGATTGTGACAATAAAAACAGAAAAGAAAGCCTACAATATCTATTAATGAATTTTTTCAAGTATCGACGTTCATAATTTTTGCATGTTTTCAACGGCATCAACTTCTTTCTTATTGTTTTCTTCGATGTTCAATGATGGTTTGTCATCATTATTAATTGTTCTTTCGCTTGTATTTGATTTTTGTTCTACTTGTCTTCGTTGTCGAAATTTTCTTATTTGATTTCGTATTATAAAAATTACCCAAAATAGTGCTGTTGTTAGAAGACCGACAATCAAAGGTACAATAACAGTTTGTGTTGCGTATGGCTGTGGAAATGAATGCATTAGGATCATAAATGCGATACCTGTATTTTGTATTCCAGCTTCAATACCAATTGTTTTTACATGTTTCCAACTCCTGCGACATATCCAAGCAAAGAGAGCACCAAATAAAAATCCCAAAAATGGTAATAGTGGTGCAGTTAATGCCGTATATAAATCAATCATTTTAAACAGATACCAATTAACAATTAAACAAAATATAAGAAAAAATAGCATGAGACATACCATCATAGGTTTCATAATACTCGTGACGAATACACGTAATTTTGGAAAAAAAGAACTTAAAGCAATGCCAATACTATATGGTATAACAACAAGAGCCAATGAACGTACGAGACTCAAAAATGGAATATGAATTGAGAGTTCATCCATATAAAGTTTTCCTATTGTATAAAAGTAGAGTGGCATCATAATAAATGATGAAGCAGTCGAAACAAATGACATTGTGGCAGATAAATTAACATCACCCTCAAATATAACTGTCCATTGATTTGAAACACCACCACCTAAAATGGCTAGGTTTATTTTCCTGAGAATAAAAAAAATGACATGTAAGCTAACAGCACTTTGCTTTCTATTACTAATATAATAAAAGGTATGCTGAGTAAAATTACAGAAATGATTTCTAAAAATACTAATTATGATACTCATATCGTTTTATTTGAGCACAGTCATTTCATGGGGAAAATATAAAATGAGCTACTCGTGAGTCATTACTAATAACTTTCGTTTTAATGATATTGAATCTCATTCCAATTCGAATTTATGTAATTACTTACTAAACATTATTCACTACATTCATATATGTAATCAGAATTTGTTTTGTTTTTAAGCTGCTGTGAAAATATAATATGCTTGATAGTTATATACTTATAGATCTTACAAATCTCAAAACAACTAGGTATTATAACTAAATATTAGAAAAGAAAAATTAATTACGTCCTTTTCCAATTGATCAATCAAAATGAGTTTTTCCGTATGAATGTCTCACTGATGAGAGATTACCTATAAGATTTACTAATCGGTTAGATACCTTGATTTCGAATTAAAAAGCATTCTCAAGAAGTTAAATAATTCATATCTATATTTACCTGGACAACAACCAATAACAAATAGCGCAAGACTATTTAATGTTGTGTAACGAAATATTTTTCCAATAGCCATTGCTAAAAATGGCATCATACTATATTGAGCAAGAAAACCAACAAGAACTGATGTTGGTTTTTCAAGAATACTAACAATCACTTTTGGATCAAGTAAAAGGCCCATTATTATTGAAACGAAGGCAACAAAAAATGGAACAATAAAATAAAATATTGTATCAATACGACGCATTGGTTGTATAACAAGAATACTTATTGACAAGAAACGTGACAGTGTAATATCATCATTGTAAAATATATCCAAACGAAATGTTAGATTTGTTACATCCATTTTAGCGCCTTCGATTGACCATATACTATGAATTTGTGATTCATCTGTAGAATTTGCTTTTAGGTGAATTAATTTTGGTGACGGAAACGCTTTCAAAATATGTTGAAAACTATTTGGACGAGGTACTAAAATTGCAATCGGGTACGTTCTAAAAATCTGATCACATATGAACATAAGAATAAATATCAATAAAATAGTTTTTGATTCTCATACGAAATTACATCGCTACTATGTACAAAAGTTCGACTAAAAGTCATCACTTTTCTAAGAAAGAATCCTAGTTCACGTCTGTGATTTAGACATGACATGGAATTATTCATTTTTACATATGTACTCATTTTCTATTATGACTATAAAAGAACAATCATAAAGTATTTCTTAATCAAGAAGCAGTTTATTTACGCAAGCAACTTTTTTCCGTTTATGTTATCATTGGAATATTTTCATGCAAAAGTTTTAATAAACTATTTTTGTTATGCCACGCATATTTGGAAGTTTTTCGAATTTTCTTAATCTTTAATGGAAACTTATATCTTTGAACGTAATATGAAGAAATACTGTTTACTTATGTTTTAGAAAAAGAATTACAACAAAAAAAACAATGAATTTCAACTGAATCCGTTTTTTTATTCAGTTGATCGACAGATATTTCTAATTGATAATCAAATTGTATTGGTTTCATGGAATTCCGTTCAAAAAGGAATTTTTTCACATTTAGCAAAAGCAAAATGATGAAGATGTACTTAATTTAAAATCTTCCTTTCTATAGAGATTTCATTCTATGTAATGATAGTTTGAAAGTTAAATTTCTGATAAATATATCTAATAGATTTCGATCACTTGTTTACTCATTTAAGAACGTACTTGGCTAACTCTAAGTATCATATCAGCTATTTTAATATTGACTAAACCATTGTGTTGTCATTAATACTCACAAATATATAGATCATCTACTAGAATAGTATTAACATTTTCATTTTTGGTACTTCTTGTTGAAATTGTCACGTCCTTTTCAAGCTTGAGCACAAGTGGATTAGTAGAATCTATTTGAAATTTGTACCCAATTACAGAATTATTATCATGTTGATGACGACGGAAATCATTAGAACTTGTTTGTATTGTTATATAATGTGATTGAAATAAAGGAAGCTCATAAGGTTTATCACGAAACGACGCTAAGTATTCAACATTGAGGTGTTTTGTCCTATTGATAAATAGTTTGACACTAGAAACACGTCTTACGATTGTTATAATGACCAAACACTTGAATATTTGTTGTCCTTGTATCATACTTTTGACGAAAAGGGTTTCACTTATTTCTTAGATATTTATTTTATGTTACTTTTATCCTGTTTGTCGCTAATTTTATTACAGAACGCAAGAAAAGAATAATAAATGATGGACGTGAAAACAATCTCTGAGTGGAGGACGACAAAAACAAGTATTTGCTACACTAGGATAAAATGGATGCCCATACAAAAATTTGACCATTTTCATTGCACGCAACAAACGAATGACCGTTGTGTGTGAACGCGAGATTTCGTACCATCGATTTCGAATCGCGATGTGTTAATACAATAGGTCTATGGAAAATGAAGTTTTTTACACTCTATGATTTCAAAAGAAGTTTTCATCGCTTACTGAATGGGAAGTGTTGTGATATTCCAAATAAAGATTGAACCATCAAGGCGACCAATACCCATTAACTAGAGCAGATTTATTCTTAATTTAACTTTATTTTTCCTTCTTAAAAGTACCTTTCGAGAGACTGATAAGCCAAATCGAACATCGAAGACAATATCTGACTTTTCCGATCGATGCCATCGAAATAAAATATTCGGTTCTTTTTGTCCAACATTAAATTTCCATATACAATAAACGTGATCGGCAGACTTGAAAAAACAACAGACGCAGCCTTTTATTTTTCTTTAAATATTTGAAATAAAAACTAACCTTGCTAACAATAATATCATCACTAAACCATTTAACAGAATCTACATAATGTTCATGCATAGTACTTGAATGAAATAACGGGAAAAAAATATGATGTGGCTGCGATAGTCTAAATAATGAATGAAGCATAGGAATTAAAATGTACGAGTGCTCAAAAATGCGTTAGAATTGATTTTCATTTCAAGGTAAATTTTCGAGACAGTTAATCAAGCTAACGTAGTCAATCATTTATATCATCAAGCACAATTTACAAGACAACGCGAACAAGTATTTTGTTACGCATGAATAACTGACTAATGTCTAACAGTACATTGAGGCAGTCTCAATCATTTGTATCAACTTATAAATCATTTTCAACTATTTTGAACATCAGATCAATAAGAATCATGAGAAGTCAACGAGAGAAAGCATGAGTAAGTCCCTTCACAATTCTACTGAATACAAAGGCATTGTACTCTTTTTCTAGAAAACCATATATTGACTATACCTAAATTCTCTAAACAAAGGTCCAAGTTTAGCTATAGCCATATTTTCAATGATTCCTTTTTCTTGTGTTGACCATACACACACGGTACTATCTAAACCACCGGATACAACGAATGTACCTTCGTGATTGATATCCTAGAAGTAGCACAATAAATTATTAATCATACATAAAATTTCATACAAACCACAGCAAGAACTCCTTGTATATGTTGATCAGGTCCAACAAAATTAGCTAAACATAGAGCTGCTTCAGCATCCCATAAAAAAACAGCGTAATCTAGAAAAAAAAGTAATACAACATGAAAATATTCACTCATTCAAAATAAATCGCAACTAACTTGAACAACATGAAGCCATCAATGTTGATCGTCCGCTAGCGAATGCAATTTGATTAACACTACCCAAATGACGAAGCTTAACACAGAAAACGTTTATTAAAGCTCATTTCTATCATGCAATCTACAAACCGGTTTCAAATGACATTTATGAGCAACATCAATAATTCTAACAACACCACGTAGTCCACCGGCTGCTACTATTATATTATTTTCAAACGTTGTCCATTTACAATCGTAAAAATATTCTTTTTCCTATATAAATTCAAATGAATGAAGTTTAATCAATTTCAATACAGTTTGCTTACATCCGAATCACAATAACTTTGAATAAGTTGAACAGATGACTTTTTATCGACAACATCGTATTTGTAGATACAAATCTATCGATAAAAAATAAACATAAGTAATTGTCAAGTAATGTAATTTATTTAACACACTTGATTTACAGCGCATGTAGCAAATAAAAATGTTTCTTCATTTTCACCAGGTATTGTTTGCTGACAAACACTAATGCCATAGGCCGCTTTTTCGTGACTCTCCTATGAATTAAAATAAGAAAACTTTGTAAAAAAAAAAATGCCACGATTATTGCAGAATGCACTACCGTAATAATATGTTCACATTGAAACCTCTCTTCCTCATATGTTTCATCGTCACTGCTCATTTTTTTTCACTCTCTCGAAAATATTAACCGACGATGTATCTTGTTATCAGCAACTGTGGTCATATTGGCGATGTCAGCTATTTATATAACAATAGACTCGATTGACCGCTATGTATAAAATTTGAAAGAGAGAAGAAGAAAAAACAATGACGAACAATCTTTTTTTTTATTCAATATCGAATACAGACGGTCGAATAAGATGAATGTGAAGTGGGGTAATCTGATAGCAGCTGTCAATTAATTTTTACTGGCAAAGAAAAATATATAAACTATTACAAGTGATAATATAATAGTTCACTGCAACATGTGTTGATAGAAAAGAAAGTGAAAAAGAACTGAAATTTACTTCGATAGTTCTTCTATTTGAACTACATTTTCATGATATAACCGTACACGGTAGTTGCCATTTTAATAAAACTACATTAACATTTCATCATTCAAACAGTTGTTCAAGTGCTACAAATTAAACTAGTTCTTATGAGATGAAAAAAGTGGGCTAGATATCAAAACCAATAGTGAACTATTTTTGAAATCCAGTGGTCAATCTCTTCGACTGATACTCAATAATTTCAAAGCTAAAGAATACGCATTTTATCTTCAACTAAATATCTGTTATTGGGATTAAATAGAAAAGGTGAGTTGACTGAAACATACGTATGTTTTAATTTCTTTTCAGGTGAAATTTGCACGTATGTTGTTCTTCATTGAATGTCTAAAAAAATCACTATAATCAACACAACTATTCTATTATCAAGTCATCTGTTTTTTATAGTCTAATAATACCATCTGACAAGTTCATAATTTACACTTTCATTATCACAATGAGTTGTCTAATCAAATTTATTTTTCTACACATTCGGTAAGGGGAGTTCATGTGAAAATTTGGTTAGAAAAATAATTCTCAGCAAAAATTCGAAGCTTTCCTTCGCCGATCAAATGTTTTTCTACTCATTTTCAATATGACATCTGTGCTTAGTTAAACTTTTATTATTTTGCTTGGAATTCGTACAGTATCTGTTTCAGTTGCACGAACTAGTTCGATTTCTAGCACTTCATAAGCTCGATCAAATATGGTGTGATTGATCATAGAGAAATTATCATCAAGATAAAGACTGAACGATCCATGAAATATAAATTGATATTTCAAATTCAAAACATAATTTTCATTGAATGTTTGCAATATGCATATGAAGTTCGAATGGAACAGCTTTCATAATAAGTTTGGATCCGTTGTCATCTTAACCGTTCCTCCCCATCAAACCGGTTCTAGTAGAGCTTGTTAGTATGAATAAATAGAAATTTGTAGGCTATACCGTAAAGAATGCCTTAATTTATATCTTCTATTCAGCTGACTGAAAATCTGTACAATTTAGCAAAACAAAATTGTCCATGTAATCGTGAACTGTTATTCTATTTATAACACGATCAGATTGACTCTAAAAAAAAGGAAAAGACACCAATATGGGCGAGTGCACATCATCATGTTGTCTTCAAGTCAAAATATTTAGATACTGCGATTTCTTCTCGTTTGAGACCAATCATTGCTTGTTCATATCTTAATGGTTTTAATTTAGTAGATAACATTCATTAAATATCCTTGTTTCACAACGATATTAGTCAAATGAAATGAATAAAAAATTGATATTGTTGTAAAAGCATATAGAGCGGAATAAACTTTAAAAAAAAAAGATTATCGCCTTTAAAAGATGTCAACAAGAAACAAGGATTACAGTTGAATGTAAAAATAAACCTTTGTCGATATTTGACTACGTTAGCATTCTGACTAAATTTAACAATTGAGACCTTCCAGGATGCAAATATTAAAAATTCTCACTTATGTCGATCTGTAGATTTGCATGATCACTAAGAATGTATTCCTTTCTATTCGAATAAATTTTGATAAACATCGAGCAATCTAATCGATATATTTATATTTAATGGTGATCATTGCCATTCGTTTATTTCGAAATTTTCAAAATAGGAACGGAAACTCATAGAAAATGTCCGATTTTTATTAAAATTGTCAAAGAGGAATGCTAAAACCATGTTCAGAGGACGTAAAAATATAATCACTAATCTTAGTTAACATAATATCTTCCATTCGTCGATTTAATTCACTATTGGCTTGAATTAATTTTTGACCAACTGAACTGGAATAAAAAATGATTAGTTCATTAATTTCATCTAATGCATAATATTTTGCATATGATCGAGTGAGATCAGACAAATAGGCATTGATTGAAAACAGTTCATTATAAAATGATCTCATTTTAACATTATCTGTTGGTGGATAGATGTTTAAAAAGTTTAAAAATCGAGCATACTCATTTTCAACTCCAGTTAAATTCAGAAAATATTTGATACGATCTTTGATATTACGTGATGATAATGATCGATATGTTGGCTTTGCTTCAATCAGTGTAATAATCAAAAGTAAAGTCACTATTATTGGCGTTGAACGCACGAAATACATGATGATACTAGAACAGAAAATAATAGTCAATTGAACAGTTGGGATAAATAAATGCTTCAGTTATAAGATAAAGAATATTGCTCTATATGATCCTATTCAAATCTGCTAAAACTAAATAGTTTTCTTGTCAGATGATAAATAACTTCAATGAGATATATATATATATAAATATGCGTCGGGAATGAGAAAGTAAAATAGTAATAGAAATATAAGAATAAATGCTTATGAAATAATAAAATTAGATGAGAAAAAATTCTTTCGCTATTCTTCTTCATAATAAATATAATATTTTAATTCAATGAATTCAATTCATCTTTTATCCAGAACCTTTTCTCTATTTTTTTCTATAATTAATATTAATATTACAAAATACTTAATTACTAATCTCGAGATAAAAAGAAAGTCATTGACAACACAAAACGTAAGATGCGTTCGATGAGTAGCTCTATTACAACTCACGTTGATTATTTTTTACCGAACTAATAAATATCACTAGTTGTGCTTATCCTACGCCCAACTGCGACTGATATGTGGGAAGGAAAAAGAGATAGATGATGATTATGATTATGAAAGTAAGAATGAATGGATATATCAGCGAAAAACTGTGATTAATATTGACACACACACATGCGTATAAGACATACAACAAGAACATTTTATCATTTCATATGCACAGATTACACTCACTATTAGGATTCGATAAACATTTAAGTTTATTCCAAAAAAAGAGTAGAATTCAGTTTTTTAGTCAGAAAGTTTTAAGCGAAAATCAACATTCTAATTTGGTAGAGACTAGATTCAAAATTATCAAAGCGATAATGACTTCACTATGACAGAAACCAGACTTTGGTTTTCATACAGTTAATTATCTTTTTTTAACCAAAAATATCACGTGTCTCAAATGTCTGTATGAGGAGGGTTCATTGACAGATAGTTTAGGTAATGAAATTTCGTTTAATTCAAAGTCAACTTGTTTAGAGGTATAATAAAAGATTTTCATAGACACGCTAATTAAATGATATTACAATGATTGAATCACGCAAGATTATTGCTCTTGAATCGATAGTCAGACATTCCTTGTTTGTATATATTTTAGTCTAAACTAGAAATTTTACATAAAACATATGAGAAAAGTGCTTTGCTGTTCAAATATCAATTGTCTGCAATTTATTTAACTAAACTTTGATTTACTCCCCTTCACATTTGAGAAAGGTACAATGCAGCTTTTCTTTCAAGACAATGTGGTGAAAAGCATCGAAATTCTCTTTTTCTGGTAAAATTTTGGGCTGTCATATTGCCTGAACAAATTTTAAATTCAACTTGAGAGTACGTCTCGATCTTACCATCCATATAAAATTGGTTAAGATATCGTTTTTTAAATACATTGAATATTCTGTTCATTCAAATTTGATCGTTATTGAGATATCTTTATTGTGAAATATGTTTCTATTTCATTGATATAACATCAAAGAATACTTTCGACTTTTATCAAACATGTTCTTTCTAGAAATTGAAATTAGAAAAAAGAACGTTTATAATAATTTAGATTGAGCTTTGTTCTAGTTGAATTCAGCATCAGAAATCTAAATATTTCAGTTTTCAAATATCACTAGAATAATTAATTATTTCATCTAAATAAATTGTAAAGAATCATGTGCATACGTCTGAATGAAGTAGATATATTCAAATTTTGTTCAACAATTAATGATTACATTTCTTTTCAACTTCTATTGTATCTTGTGCATTAATAAAAACAAAACACTTTCCAGTTCATTTTATTTTAAAATATTTTAACACAAGTGGATTAGAGTGACGCTTTCAAAGAACTTTTTTTCGTTCGTCTGATGCACAAATCTATTTTTAATAAAATAAAATAAATTACAATTATATTCTATGCGTAATAGTAAAATCTTGAATAGACTATCGAACAAAAAATTGATAATAAAGAATAAATGAAGCTATTGACAATACTATTTATAAGGTAGATGCATTCATGACGGTTACTATTGTATCTAACTTTAATGATTGTGATATAATATGAAAGTCATTAAAATTGCAACAGCCAATCTAAGAACCGATGTCCAAAAAAATATTAGCTAGAGATACATCATTCGAGTCGAACTGTAGGCAAAACTCTATTGAACATCAAATGAACTTATTTGTAGGTCACATCGCCCGTTTTTCAAGATACTGGTCTGACGGATTCTCAATCGTCCATGCACGATTGAAACTATTTTCTTTACAGTGACTTAATTCATTTAGTAGCCTTTTTTTTATATAATGTCTAAGGTGATTAGTTGTGCAACAGTACTATTATCTATCTATTCTTCTACATGCAAACGAAAACTATTGCAGTTTATCAGTTTTCCTAATGTATATTTTTCTAATTGATGAAACTTAAATTTTACTGATTTAGCTACTACTATCATCATAAGAAGGGGCTTGCAGAGTTCTAGTTCTATATACTCAATAGTATATAAACCATTGCTTTGAATTATTTATTTTCGTTCCTTTCTCTTTTCTGAGCGACATAATTATGTTTCATTAATAGAAAAAAATATTCTTTGGCAGTAACTATTAAAATTAGACTTCGTAGCTCTGCAATTAAGCGTGTTATGACTTGTAACTTCTCTTATATCATATTATATAGGTATGTGAACTCATTGTTTGATTTTATAAACATTTGTGAAGGTACAAAAGTAATTATAGAAAATATTCATTCAGTTTTCAGCTATTTCAAGTAGTTTTCAGAATTCGTTTTTGATTCAAAGTACGAGTCCAAATACATAAATATGAATTTTATTTTAACCCTTTTTATATGTATAAACTGAACGGATCAAAAATTATTCAGAAGAGTCACGCTTAATTAACTCTCACGTCAGTGATTTAATCGTAGCGAGTATTTTTGTATGTAGTAATATCAGAAAGACTACAGGCTCGGAAATTCTTGATATTAATACCGTTCAGTAGAGTACCATTTCAGCGAGAACTATTGTTGATTGTTTCTGTACAGCACCTAAGTGTGCACTTTGAAAAGCACACAATATATATTAATTGTTCTATTCTATGATCTGTTTGTAGGTTTGCTAGTAACTTGGAAAAATTGAAGAATGAATAAATTTGGTTGCGACTTGTTTTTCGACCAGATGATACTATATTTAATTGACACATGTTGTAATTATAAACAGAAAATAATTGGTTCTTCTGTTGATTATGGAGATACTGACTGTATGCTTTATCATTGCTATAAAACGATCTATGAAATAAGAAAAAAACCTACACGTGTTTTTATCCGTCTATTTAGATTCACACAAAACGATCAAAGAAGATTCTTATAAAATATACACCAGTATTTCTGCGACCAGAGGCATGTAATGTATTTTGATCATTGTTCATACCGATGGGAGATCAAAAACAATTTGAAATATTACACAAGATTTTTTAAAAGATACTTCAAGGTTAAAAACTATGCACCTAAAAAACATTTATGTGAGATTCTTATTAAGAGCTGTAATTCGTTATATCGTTAAATTTAAGATGAGAACATTTTTTCGTTTATGAGAAATACAAGTTTGTAATAAATTACATATGGCATAAAAATATTCAAGCATCAACAACGGTTGTACAAAGCATAGCGCCATCTTTTGATGTTTCAATTAATTCGTAATTCTCTCTGGTATAATACATGTTTTTATTTGCTCTTTTTTTTATGAAAAAACTTTCTTGCGTTTACTAAAGAAAAACAAGATGCGTGTATCATCGGTTGGGAAAGGTCTTCGTCAAATTCCATCACCACGGTCTCATTTTTGTGAACATATATCAAATGATGATGAACAATCTTACACTTGTCGTCAACGAATTTATGTAACATGTCCACATTGTCAACGATCATTATGTTTACATCATATCAATGAACATCAAATCATAATTCGATCATTATTAGATTCTTTAGTTAATCGTGTAAACGAATATCGATATGAACTAACAGTGACACTGTCAATCCCATCGACTAGTCAAACAGTTGTTAATAATTGTCTTGATGAATTGAAAAATGTTATTATTCCATATGTACAACGAACATGTTGCCAAAATGATGTTAAACAAGAGGATGTAAATCGTGTTCAAGTTTTTATTGATAAAATGTTCACTATTATTCAACATATTCGTTTCTATTGGGAAAATCATAAGAAAGAAAAACGATCCAAAAGTACTGATGTAAGAATAAAAATAGGGCTTTTTCTTTGAAGAACTACATTACACTATGAGATCTATATAGAGATATCATTTTTGAAACAATCATAATGCTACAGTATGACAAACCCGATAGTTACACTTTTTAAAAATGTCTATGATAAATTGAACTCAAAGCTTAAATAGTATTGATTCGTTAAAGTTCCAAGATTCGATATCGCAGACATAGCTCTATTGTGAAAAATGTTTTTTCACTGATTTTCAAAAAAATTAAAAAGGCGTGATGAATTTGAGATCAACTTCAGCAGTTTTTTTCATTGACGATTTTTTTTTCGCTCATATAATCTTTAAATCGTAGGATAATAACTACTATACATACATACATTTCAAATCAGTATCCATTATTATCGTAGAGTATAAATCAACTGCTCTTCATTTGACAAGTGATTTTTCTGTGTTTCTATATAGAATTAACTATTTCTACTGATATCAGAGTTTATTTTAGACAACAGATAATCAATAAGGTTATGATTGAGAAATAATCGAATCTAGTATTTACCTAGTTGTTTGTCAGCTCAGATAATACTCTTTTGATTAAAATGTATCAATAGACATTCTGTATTTCAATTATTTTCTGATTTATTTTCATAGGACGCCGGTGATCTTACTTCTGAATTATTATCTTGTAAATATCCTCGAACGAATACACTTGATTAGTTTTAACATTCATTTGTTGTTAATATACTTCTATTTTTCTATTCACAGAACTCATGTGCTATTCATGAATAATAATGAAGATTTTTTTAGTATTGTACTTGATATTTATTTTTAAAACATTTTATGCTTTTTTATTTTCTAGATAAAAAAATAATGACAAGAGTGTGTTCAATTACCGCATATGATAAATGTTATCGCCAATAGTATTTATTTGAAACTTGAATATTATCAATAGTAATCTGAGATTAAACAATGCTAAAGATAATGAGAGGAACAATACTCGTCTAAAATATGTTTACCATCGAAATGTAATAGTTAAGTATAATCTCATGAATACTTTTGCTATAAGAACATATTCTTCACTGTACACAAATCGATTCTTTTTCATACTCAAAGAAATTTCGTATCTTTATCACTCATGAAAATTGTTGTTTTAGATTTGATTAGAAGATGTGGATTATTATTTGTGCTGCTATCGTTATTTTCATTTTCTTTGTTTTATTATATTTACTTCGTCCTGTTTATCGACCAGAATGTCTTTTGAACCTTCGTGATGTTCATGTTGTTATTACAGGTGGTTCCAGTGGAATTGGAAAAGAATTAGCTAGACAACTATTAAATGAACATCAAGCGCGTGTAACTATTTTAGCACGGAATCAACAACGTCTCGATGAATGTCAACAAGATATAGCTCCTGATAATAAGGAACGACTTTGTTGCCTTTCTGTTGATGTTGGTCAATCGTATGCAGATGTCGAGAAAGCAATTCAGCAAGCTTGTCAATATCATGGTAATCGACCAGTTAGTATTCTAATCAATAATGCTGGCATTTTTTATGCCAGAACATTCGAAGAAACAACAGCAGATGATTTTGAAAAAATGGGTAAATAAATATATCTATCTACTAGTGCAATTTCTCATCAATTTAATATATCGAAAGAAGATCTTTTACTGATAGCATGTATTGATATTTTTTACTATCTATGAACATATAAAACCCATGGACATTTTCATCCATGAATTTCTTTAAGAACGTGTTGATTCAGTCGGTAATTAAATTTATTCTTATTTTTTAGTTCGCATTAATTATTTGGGTGTTGTTTTTTGTACAAAAGCATGTCTTGCATCAATGCGTCAACATGGTTCGGGTCGTATAGTTCTTGTTTCTTCTCAAGCTGGCCAGATTGGTGTATATGGTTATACATCTTATTGTTCAACAAAATTTGCGTTAAAAGGTTTAGCTGAATCCTTACAAATGGAATTAGTCCGTGATAATATATATGTTACTGTTGCTTATCCACCTGATACAGATACACCAGGGTTTGCTGAAGAAAAGAAAACAATGCCAATAGAAACACAATTAATTAATGATACATCAGGTGTTGTATCAGCTCCAGACGTAGCAAAAAAAATCATCATATCCACACAGAAAGGTTCATTTTCATGTTGGTTTGGTATAAATGGATTTCTATTGGAATGTTTAACTAGTGGTGCTCAACCGATTACCAGTATATTAGAGCTCATATCTCAATGCTTAACAATTGGTTTAGCACGAATTATAATTGTTGGATTATTAAACACTTTCTATAGCATTGTCACAAGAAAAAGTTTAAAAAACAACAAGACAAAATAGCTTTCTTTTTCTATACTGAGTACTAGCATTTCTTTTCTTACAATGCCGTCTAAATTGACAGAGTTTCAAAACAAAAATAAAGCAGCACATTTGTTTTCTATTCTAATTTTGATTTGTTCCAATAATAAATTGTTCTATCACTATACTACAATTTTATTCATGGTCATTCGTTTTTTTTTAATAAGAACTATCATTTTTGTAAGCAGATGTTGCGTTCAAGCGACTTATTTAGTTATGACGTTTGTACTTGTCATATTATTTATCTATTTCCTAGGGCTCACTCTGACGACTAAAAACAACTTCAGTTACGTCTTCAAATTTTACAAACTACAGCTACTAGAAATATTGATTGACGATAGGTTGATCAGATTTATAATATTTTCCTATCTATAAGATGTATAGCTTAGAGAATGGTGTATGTATTCAATCTTTTCAAAATCTAACAAGCTTCTTGACACGAAAAATAGCAGAATGCATAACGTATCTTTCTAAATATGTCAGCCAACAACTTTGAACAATTTCAAAACAATCGATGTGCGAAGAATATGAATGTTCATTGATTGCTTAAAAATACTGTTGCCAGTATAGAACTTTCTTAAACTGACGATTGACCGTTTCGACACATAATATATATTTTGAGTTTAGATCTTACTGACAAGTGAAGAATCTACAGGTTACAAAAAACCTCGAAAGAATATCTAGACGTTTGTGTGGGATTCGACCTGTCTGGTCAAACAAAATGTCGAGCTTTAGCTCTGAGACTTAACGCATATGAAAGTCTCAGGCAAACTAGATTGTCTATTCAGTTTCAGAATTAGTGGTTGACTTCTGTGCGAGATGTTAGTACAGTACCTTATAGACACTTTGTAATAGATATTGTTTCATGCATGAATATTCTGTAAAATCCATGTCTTCTAAAATTATTCCCGTCGAAATCGCGTAACTTTGTGTACAACCAACTTTGAGTGAGATCTTTACGCGTGTGGATTTGAAAAATCAAAATTAAAGAGTGCTACATTGAAAGAAAATGCATGCTTTGGAATTGTTCCGAATTGGAATCTAACTTTGGTTTCATCGTCAATATTTCTTTTGAATTTCAATGCAAAGCCACCTTACTTGAACCAATTTATTCATCTACACTGATGTTATGATTGCTACAACTATGTTCTTTTTATTATGTCTTTATTTCAATATCGAAGCTAGAAAATTCGACTCGAAAAAAAGTTGAGCCCACTTGAAGTCAATAAAGTACATATTGTTAAATTTTTTTGGAGAGCCTGAGATTCTGTAACTCCCACAATGATTCAATTCATCGAAATCAGCTACTTAATCTCTTTCCTTGATCAATTTCTATGTTCCTACTCAATTTTCCTTACGCATCTTACTATAATGTTTCTTCCTATAATCTTACAAAGCACTGTATTCATTTTTATCGGGGAATCCATTCACATTTTTCATAGTGATCACTTGTTGAGCGTTTGGATTTGGAACACGTATTGATAAAAAATTCAAGGATGTGACAAAAAGTATCCCGATGAACATCTATCTTAATAAGAGTATAAATATGAATCCTGTTTGAATCATTTCAGTCTTATTCTAAACTCTTCTCAATTCTTGAAGAAATCTAACGAGATCCTATATTGAATCCTAATGCTTTCTGAATCTTTACAGGCGTAACAGAGAAGATCCTATTGCGCTTTTATCAAGCATAATAAAAGGATTTAGTGAACTCTTGCTGAAACAAATCGAAGTATGCGTAATAACAGAAATTTAGTTATAAGCTTCGTTTCCCTGTTTGTGACATGATATGATTCAATAATTCTGTTGACAATCAGTTTTAGCAATAAAACGAAAGTATATTAATACAAACAATAGTAATATAAAAGAAACAATCATTCCAGATTGATTATAAGCAATCAATAACATTCTAATTATAAAACGTGTTACTTTTTTTTTTTAAATTTAGTAATAGAATTTGACAACAAAGCGAGACATATTTATAGTTCGATATAGGTCTACAAAAAAAAACATTTCATTGCTACAACTTTCTGGACTCAATTACTGTCTTAGTTAATCTAATTCTTTCTCTTCGTTGAAGTTTTATGTGACTTCGTACGTCTTAATACGATTTCTCGTGGAAGAAAGATGACGGAACCCAATTTCGCCTAGAGCAGCAACCACATTGCCCTCGCTGTTGGTTTGGTTTAGTCAAAATTAAGACTTCTTTCAATCTCGAGTCTGATGCCGATTGTCCACGAATTTTGGGTCCGAAAGGACAATAATCTCCTGTACAGAGCATACAATAATCGGCTACGTAACCACCATTAGCATGTCGTCTAGCATTAAGCCAATCAAACGAGAAAGAATGTTGCGAACCATCTAAAAAATATATTAGCGTCACAGTGATGTCACGTGAACGAATATCAAGTAGTTGGTCAAGGTTATTTACGTCGCTCAAGAATTGTGATACATTGAAGAGAGCAAAATTGAAAACATCGTGATTGACTTTAAGAAATTTTACATAAGGTTGATAGATGAAATCGGGCTTATCAGCGAAAGTAGTATGTCTTGGTGGGGTCATCTTCCTTCGTGGTGACCATGTATAGCCGTTGTACTGCTGGAAAGTATATTTACGTCGTAAAACTATTTTCTTGGTATTATCTGGTGATTGACTATATTTTTTCAATAGTTCGGTCAATTGCCAACGATTTCTTTTGTTCATAGAAACTTCACCAGAAGAAGAATTATTTGATGACTCTCTGGAGCATTCTTTACAGTATCGAATGGTTTTGTTGGTACCATACTGACCGTCTCGTCGCATGCTGTAATTTACAAATGAGAATCTATTTGTTGGCTTTGATCAAGTGATATTTCAGTGTGTTTTCAGACGCATTGCGTAATTACACCGAACACAGTAAATCATACACAATTGCATGAGTCATGCTAACAATCGGTTAGCGACATTCTTTGAATGATTCTCAAGCTGAAAATTTATTTAGAACTATTTCTACGACAAGAAGCTTCTTTTCGTAAAAAGCTGAAGGTTAATAAAAACAATAATCCAGTTTTAAGACTTCCAATTTAGTTTTTAGAATCGTTCAGGATTCTATATTATCTTTTCCTCTTTTTTTGTGATATCTTGAAAATAGTGAGAGAAAAAACTTAGGGAAACGAGATAGGAGAACTATATGAATAATTCTACTGGTTTTCATTACAATTTTTTCATCAACTACTTCACAATGTTTCGAACAAGAATTTTTATTAGAAACGATTTATGAAATGAGTCATTTTTCCATAGATTTTTTAATTTGAAATTGCGTAAGATAGCAGAGAGAGAGAGAGTGAGTGAGTGAGTGACAGAAATAATATAATCTATCATTATTTTATTTTCAGCAATCTTGTGGCGTTGACTCGATACCACTGGATTCGACATGAATGTGTTTTAGAACCTTTTTGAACTCATCGAGAATGGGTTCTGGAAAAGTTTTATTTCGCCTGTAAGAAAGAAATAACAGCATGATTATACATCTAGAAACAAAACAGCATTCAAATTCGAACTCACGATAAAAACCAGATATGTTCAAATCGTATGCCTATAATAGGAACGTAATCACATGAATAAATCAATGAATATTGCTGATAATTGGTTTGAATAATATTGTATTTCACTGTTTTTGCTATTTAGAGGCAAAATCGTACTGATCGATTTAGGTGAAAAATAATCTCAAATTGTTACTTGGATTTTTATCGTGGATAAGAAAAGCAGCTGGTTCTGAGAGCCTCTTCGGTATGGCTGAACCTTGATTGCTGTAGTAACCTGTGAGTTTATTTAGACCCTCACTCAGTACATCCATTGTTCCATTAGAATTAACCGTGTAGGTTCCGTTTTTACATTTGGTATCTACTTCATTGGCATCGTGTCGATATGCTTCGTACCAAAGACCTGCATACTAAAATTCGGAAATACAATAACAACGATATCAAAAACAGTTCTTGTAACGTGAAAAATATCAGACTTCGGTTATGTTAAAATCCTTTTGAGCAAAAACTAATGGACATAAAGTTGCTCTTGATGTACCAATACAAGGGAGAAGAAAAACAATCACTATTAATAATATCATTGTATTGATCATTTGATTCTGATAGCAAACGTTATATATATTCCGAAAACCCATTGCGTTTATGAGTCTGATAAAGCGACGATAATCAATAAATATGATGGAACAATTGGCTGATGATACATCATCTGTCTTCGGTCATGATAATATGCAACACGAGATTTTTAACATCACAATGTGTTTTATATATCAATGAAACTAAATGACTAGGAAAACTCTAATCAAGTTTAAATTCTAGCTACTTGTTTTGACTGATTATTATCAGTGGTCATCAGAAACATTCTTAGATGAATTCATAAATGAGCCATCACTTTTCTGGAAGCAGAAGTCTTTCTCATATTGTTCATTTCCAGCTAGACACTTAATGTAATCAAAAAAGTTGCAAACTGAAAAAAACTCTGATGTATTGCATGCCGAGCTTTAGACACTTCTTTCGGAACATTTTCGCTTTGGTCAAGTATGAAATCTTACACTATAATACTAATATCCGCTGTTTCTTTTTCATTTTATTTGTGTAGGGTTCTAATAGAATATTGACATCTACTGACCAAATTTGACTATTTTTTTCCTGCCTACGGGATGAGCAGCCAATCATGTTTTATCTTTAATCGGTTCTGCATTGGCTTGTTGCTGTTACTAGTCTGTACACATATTACTCACATAAAAACTGTACTCAATCAAGAAAAAGCAGGACTGTGACAACAATAATTGGAAACAATCAACGAGAATGACTATTATTTCGATTATATCATAGTCAGACTATTTCAAATAATGATAATGATGTTTTTTTTTATTTTGAATTATCAACAAGAACGACAAATATGTCATACAAATAACTATGAACTATTAATTGGACCATGGTTTGATTCTTTTATTAAGCAATCTAACAGTTATGATGTAAGTAACATTGAATTTTTTTCTGATTGATTTTTCAATGAAGATTTTACGTTTATATTCGTTTGAATCATGTATTCAAAATGAAAAAATGGCATAGACTGACGTCGTGTTTATGAAAAGATTTTTCAATCCATATCCATGAATCTAGTTTTTAATGAGAAGAAATAGAATAAAATCGAATGCTAAAGATATTCTGATTAAAAAAGATATTTTTATGTTATGATTAAATTTATAGGAAGTTTATTTCGAAATGTGTCATTATCGTTTTCAGTTTGATGGAAGGCTCGGTTATTCGAAATTATGTTTTCTAATTTTTACTGTTTCCGAATAGTCAACTTAACTCGACGCAGGAATGTTCAACCCTATAGTCTATAAGATTATTGTTTACTTGTTTAAAATTATTACAATATTACCTGAAGTCACTGCTTTTTATGTTGGTCGACAATGGCATGATTAGATGACCAATTGACAATACAATTAGTTTGTTTAGAGTTTTCATTATTTCTTTTGGCAACAGCAGTAAAGCTTAGGTGGTAGAAATTGAATAACTAACAAAATATTATTATCTTATTTGCTCATACTTAATAAATATGTATCGATTTTCTATTTTAATTATATTAATTTTAGAACGTATCATAATCATAAGTGACTTCTTTACTGTTATGTTGATGTCAATCGATCGTACTTGGGTGTAGAAAAAATGACTCAACAAGCGTGCTAATATCACTGAATCCGACCAAATTAGTATTTCAATGAATAATGCTTAGAATATTTTTGCTTAACGTCTGAAGGAATGACACCAAATAAATTTTGAACAACTCGGTAAATGAATTATCTTTTGTAGTAGCATATCTTTTTTTATACCTTCCAAAAAAATACACAATAACAAAATCTAATCATTTTCATACGTTACAAGAACGATGTCTAGTGCTAAAGTGTATTGTTACTTTCACTATCTATCAATGTTTCTTACCTAAAACATCAATAAATATTCTCACCATGAATTTTATCACGAGAATTTTCATTTGATCTGATTATTTTCCTCATTTTATCTTCGAGATTATAACTTATTCGACTTCATTTTACTGCCTATACTTCTCTTGTCTAGTTAATATTAATTATCTCGCTATTCATTTTTTCCGAAAAAGATTGTCTTTCGTCGATGCATCATCTCAGTTCTTTTCTTAAAGTTACTGTTTCGTCAGAATCTAACTGGAGTAGTGAATTCGGTTGTAAAATATTAGACTAATTTCTTCACTATTGATCTAGTAGGATAATATTTAAAACCAAAGATCTCGTTATTTAATTTTCTTTGTCTCTACTCATTGGTATGAATTTCATCAGACTTTTTATGTTCTATAATTTTATCCTACATCACATTTTTCGATGATAAATATTATTTACTTAATCAAAGATTCAATCTATTTATTCTGTTGTGGTATCTTTGCTTTTGACATCACTCATCCTTTTCCGTAGGATTATATCGATAGTAACAGCTAGATAAGCTTTGTTGTATGTTCCTACGATGACGAATTGAAAAGCCACTGAATTAATTCGCTTTCTTTCGATAGAAAAGAACAGTTTCGCCAACAAAATTTTTCTCATACTAAACAAATTATTTCACACACTATTGTCATAGAAATCATTATCGACTTTCTTTTTTTTAATGTTTTAGTCAATAACCAAGAAATCAAAATTATCTAAAGTCACATCGAAGAAGTTGCAAGTAGGTTAAATTTACTTTTCGTGTGATTGTTTTTAAATATCTAATAAATTACTTTGTTTCTGTTTGCTTAGATGAAATATTTATATAACAACACTATGCTATTTCTACATGGAATAAATGCTAGCAACGCAAATTTTCAATGTATCTAAAACAAACAAAAACTAATAAAAAACGTTTTTCCTATTGAAATTTTATTTTTGACAATAATAAAAGAGCGATTATTTTGAATCTCATGACTCACTTATAAAATTTTACAAGAACGGAAGGTTGTAATAAAAGAGTTTACTCGCTTTTTCAAGATTGTTGATCATGTCAACTGCTGATTCTGAAATACAATCAGATGAACTCGATGCTTTAGGCAGTATTCTCGATGAAACAACATTTGAAATGACCAAAGCATCTATCGCAACAGAAAAAACACATGGTACTATAGTCATTGAAGTGACATTACCTGACCAATTTCATATTGAATATTATCCGAGTATAAAATAGAATTATTGTATTTTCTGACCATTATCTTTCTCATTATGTTAAATAGATCACCGTCGTCATGTTGAATATTTACCACCAATATTTCTTCGTTTTACCCTACCAAACGATTATCCTTCGATTTCATCACCATGTTTTCAACTTGAATGTATTTGGATGACGGATGAACAGGTAAAATTTATAATTTGTTTTTTTCTGTCATGTAAATATTGCAAATTTTAGTCATCTTTAATTCTATTTCAAATTGTTATCTATTAGTATTTTCTACTTGCGTACTTCGCTGATATTCCTTAAAGCGATTTAGATTGCTCTTTCTTGTGGTTATCTCTAATCATAAGACAATAAAAGATCATAATTATCATGAACAAGGAGTTAAGAAAAATATCATTAGATTTTTAAGATCATAACGATATTAAACTTGATTTTATCTTTGAAATCGATGTTTCAGTTGTTAATTATCATAGAAAACTTTCAGGTTGATTTGATGAAAATAAATTATCAGTAATAAATTTAACATTTGATCCACTTTCTGTCATGCCTAAGTTTATGTACGAAATCTGATACAATTTCATATCAATCGAGTTCACAATAAATATCTAATATATAATGATTTTAACTGAAGTATAATCGGAAATTCTCGATTGAAATTCAATTTTTTCAGAAAAATCATATTCTATCAAATCAGAATAACATCAGTAAGCATATTTCTTAGAATCTTTTAATGTTGCATGTCTGATGTTCAAATAATACATCGGTATTTTTAAGAGTACAAACATTACTTTAAATAAGTTCTGACTTTTATTAATGATATTCTAGTAGATTCTCTTTTTAAGATGAAGTACCTGGAACTTAAAATGTTTACATAATTGTATACGGTCACAATTTAATTAGCATTCGATGTTTGAGATATCATATTTCAAACATACATACAAATTGAATTCTGAGTGATTGTCTATAGTTAGATTGAGATCAAGGACCTTTTTTTGATCAAAATCATCTTCAAACAGTAAAAGAAATATTTTCATAGCGGTCATTTCCAATTACATGATTCACAAGTGTAAATAAAACATAGACATCAATAAAAAGAATTAAGAATAATTTTTTTGTATAGACTTATGCAGTGCAAAATCTATTTTTACTTAATCAGAAGTCTTATTTTCTTCTTCTTTTTTCGATTATCAGTTACAAGTACTATCAGAAAATTTAAATAATATTTGGTTGGATAATAGCAATGAGCCAATTCTATTTCTCTGGTATTCATCATTAAGCGCACAAACACTTGAATGGCTTAATATGACAACAACACTTGATTTACAGCTATCATTTCCATCAATAATAACTGAATCAATAAAACCTCAATTAACTTCTGCACAAGTCGCAGCAACCATTCATAATTATGAACGTGAAAAAAAAATAGTCATTCTTTCACGTACTATCATAACTTGTCCAGTTTGTGTCGATGAAGTTGCTGGTACTGATTGTTTTTTATGTTATGCATGTTCAGGAGAAGCATGTAAACCGTGTATTAAATCGTATCTAGAAACAAGGATTCTTGCTGGACAAGTTAAACATATAACATGTCCAATCAATCCATCATGTAATGTTGAATTAACACCCGCACAAATAGCGTCATGTGTTGATAAACAAGTATTTCATCGTTATGACCGTCTTTTATTTCAATTATCTATTGATTCAATGGATGATATTATTTATTGTCCTCGTTGTGAAAAGCCTGTTATTGTAACAAAAGGAACGGATGATTATCTTAAAAATACATTAGGCGAATGTGCAACATGTTCTTTTGTATTTTGTACTTTATGTGGAAAAACATTTCATGGTGTTAATCCATGTCAATATTCTGAAAGTATGTTATTGAACTTAAAAGACAATCGACAATTGTCTAATTTTTTGTTCTTTTCTTTTTTTTGTTATAGATAAATTGAAGGATATTTATAAAGAATATCAAAATGCAACACCCGAAGAACGATTAGCACTTGAACAAAGATACGGTAAAATTTTTAATCGTCTTATGGATGATATGGCATCCATGGAAACAATTAAACAAACTGCTAGACAGTGTCCTCAATGTTCAATATATGTTGATGTATGTATTAATCTTTCTATGTCATTATTCTCCATGGATCTGTTGTTTCATCATTTTATTTCTCTTAAGAAATTGGAAGGCTGTAATAAGATGACTTGTATTAAATGTCATTCTTACTTTTGTTGGGTTTGTTTACAATTATTATCAAAAACCGATCCCTATGGTCATTTTAATCGACCTGGAAGTAAATGTTTTAATAAGCTATTCGAAGGAGTAGGTGGAATGGGATGGTGATAAGAACAAGAAAACATCTTTTTTATTATTCACCGTTATTCTATCATAGAAATTTATATGCAGCTATCTTATTAAATATCATTGTGCGCTGACAATACAAGCTCGAGAAAGAAAAAAAACAAGAAATATTTTTGTGTATTCTTTTTTTAATAATATGAGAAAAACTAGACGGGATAGGAAATATTTTTTCAAATGATAAAGTCATTGTTTTAACAAATAACCAGATCATGTTTATTGAAAAGCATGAAAATATTTTGAGTACTAATAAATTCATTTTTTGTTACGTGATTCATTATGATAATTAATCTTTCGTATTTTTATAATAAGTTCTTTATTAAACAAGAATTGGACAATTTTCTTTCTGAAAAAATAATCAGAAAAAGTATTCTTCAGTTTCAATCGGTTACGATTGTTTCTTTCCCGCGTCTTCTTGATTGCGGACGTTTTTTCTTAATTGTTGGAAAAAAACGTCCGCAAAGTAGAAACAGGGGGAGAGAGACAAAAATAGTCGCAGAGTGGAAAATGTCCGCAAAGCAGAATCGGGGGGAAGAGNCTTCATAAATAATCTTTCTGTATTTTTTTTCACCTAATAAATCTTGTCTTGATTCCATAATGCTGACATTTTTTTCTCTCCTCTCGCCCCGATTCTGCTTTGCGGACATTTTCCGCTCTGCGACTATTTTTGTTTCTCTCCCTCTGTTTCTACTTTGCGGACGTTTTCTCTTAATTGGAGGAATAAAATGTCCGCAATCAAGCTGTAGCCTTCTTTCCATCAATTGAGAAACAAACAAAAATAAACTTCTAGTCTATATGAATAAAAAGTAGACTAGAATAATAAATTATTTTCACAAATATTTTAACTCATTGTATTTGAAGTTATTGAAGTTCGATCCTCATTGATTTCCAAGTGTTTATGCTGCTAAAACGATCCTCCATGAGTTATTCATCGTTTTGAAAACCATAGATCAGGTATCAGATTTTTTTATATAAATATTTATATTTGACATAATTTAACTCTCTTCTTTTATTTTATCTTATTTAAAATTTAAAATAAAATAAAATAAGAGAATTAAATTATGTTAAATATATCAACCTTCTTGACAAAAACATGAACATTTACATAGAAGTAGGTTCCATAATTTGAAAAATGTTCAAAAGTCTCTGTTAAAGCAACTTATTTCTTCTAGAGGCAACCTATTTGGAAAAAATAATTAAATTCCTAAGTTTGCATTCTGACTGATCTATTTTTAATATTCTGTAACGTAACTTAGGCGATCGATTTATATCTCTACATATGATCTGCTTATTCATTCTATGCTTAAAAAATATCTTGTTCAGTTGTTTTACTTAAATAACTAGATAGTATATTGAAAATCTGGTATTAGATGATTCTAGTCATGCTATTTCTGCTACATACTCAAAAATGACGATCAGACTTGTGAATAGACTAACGTAAATAAAATATGAATATGCTGAAAATATCACAAGGAGCTTTTACTGTTCGTTTGTGTCTTGTAAGTATACGACCAATTAATGAGAGTTATAGTTGAAAAATATATTTCAAATTAACTGTTATTTTAGGGAACTAGCGATAGCTTTTAATATACATAAAGAAAAAGAATCCCGAACAATTGTAAGAAAAAAGAAAAGTTTTCTTTCTTGATGTGAAAAACCTTGTTTTGAATAAAGACATTGATTGATAGTTCACTTCGATTTTTCTTAAGTACAATACAAGTTGATATGACACAGCCTATTTTAGAATGAAATTTTCAAACGATTTATTTCAGTTTATGCATCATGTTAAAGGTTTTTTTGTGTACTCAAAAAGTGAGTACACTAGAATCGGTCAGTGTGTCCGGCCGGCCGTCCGGCCGTAGGCACGATAACTTGCGAAAGGAGAGTCAGACCGTGATGAAATTTTCCACACAGTTCAATCTCATGAATATCTCGGTCGAGTTCGAAGATGAGAAGAATCCGTCAAGAAATGGTTGAGTTATCGAAAAAATTGTCATTTTTGACCAGGCCATCCCTGAGGGGGAGCACAGGGATTTTTCAAAAAAAAACATTTTCTCAGATTTATTCACAACATATATAAATCGACTCAGTTTTTAACGCTAATTCCGAATCTGATATTAGTTTTGAGCTAAACCGTAGCTTTCTGATGAAACATCGCCTGAAAAACGTCTCAAAATGCACAAAAACTGCATCCAGAAATCAAATTGCCTAGTTTCTCATGATAATTTTGGTGTTCAGACATTCTAGAATGACTCATACATCCCATGCACTTTTTGCAGTATACATAACTTTCGGATGAAATCCGAAGTTTCCACATTTTTTATTAATTATAAATATAATGAAAAGTTAAAGATTATTTGCATCGTTGTTGTTACATTCAGATGATATTATTTCGATAAATTGGCCCTGCAAGGTACATAAATTATCAATCTATATTTATTGTAAACAATAGATCATTATTTCCCATAGACCAAACGTATCAACACAAAAACGTAAATCCAATAAACGTTCGATTTCAATTTTTTAAATCCATGAAAAATTTAATTTCTCAAAAGATCAGATGATTATATTGTATTCAATTTAATAACTACAAATATATTCTAGAATAAAATAGTCTTATATCTATTACGTACGTTTTTGTTTTTGAATGACAAAAATAAAGTTCTTAATCGATGAAATGCAAAATATACAAAAGACATGAAATTAATCCGTATAAAAAATAAAGTTCATACAAAAAAAGTCTATAGACCATTTAATAATGTATATATTCAATGAAATTTTATTTTTTTTCTTCTCGTTTAATGGGTCTTTGTCTGTTGAAATCTTGTTTGTGTACTTGCATACGTTCATGAAAGTATATGCAATGATTCTCGAGTTCAACTTTGGTGGCTTTTTTTATAAAACTGTCTTCAATCGTTTTATTATCGTTTGAACTATATGCAATCCACTGAGCTGGTTGATCTTTACCAAATGGATTGGGAGCTGCATTCCAATACCATTGTCCGATGCCACCTGCCATATTAGTTTCTAAAAGTAAAAAAATTTACATCCAAAACAAATGTTTATGATCAACTCCGTTTTTTTACTTAAGCTGGTCGTCGAAAGGTAAAATGACTGTTGCTGTTGCTGTTTCTTTTTTCTTCTCTTACACGATGCGACAGAAAGCAAGAGTAAATACACTAAGAAAAAAACAAAAATTTATCGTTTTAACTTGTTTCACGGCATGACGATACAACCACAGCAACGAAAATATTTTCGTTTTCTTCCAAGAAACTTGCTTTTATTTTACTTGGAAGAATCCATTCGACTGTTACGTCATAAGAATATGAATAAAACTCGAGTTTTGAACTATATGATTAATTCTTTGTGTATATATGTCTGTGAAAATAATGAATGTTGTGTCAAAAGAATTCCATAATAATTGTAATGTTGTATAAGATAACAAGCAACTGTTATAATGATGAGTATTGTACAATAAATAAATAAAAAACAGCAGCGATAACTTACATAAACACGAACAAAACGGCGAGACATAAGAATACAAGAATTACTTTTGTTATTTCTACATTACATAGGAAATTATGTGAGAAAATGATAGTTATGTAAACATGAATAGATCGATAGAAACGATATACTCAATAGAATAAATTCTATTAACGTAAGATGAAACATAAAGATTTACTGTAACTAGTAATATCTTATGATATCAATTTTTATCGGTAATTTTTCTATGTAAATCAATGCTCTGTCTATATTGTTGATGATCCATAACATAACTAGTGTCTGTGTTTGCATGGTCTTGGTTGGTGTCTAATTGAAAAAAATGTAAACTGACATGTCTGTCTCTTTTTTATGATGATGATGATGATGATGCTATAAACAGTGAGAAGTTCTTCTCATTTCTATCTGCATGTGCCCCAGCCCATCAATTATCTATTCTGCCAGATGGAATCGACTTTTGTTCAGTCTCGCGCGTCAATTGAACGATATTATCGTCTATACTACTCACACATACTCAAGATTAATCTTTTCTTCTTTTCTTTTCTTTTTCTGCAGAGAAGATGATGCTTTTTCCTTCCACTTATCTGCTCCGATAGAATAAGCAAGACGAACAAACTTCGATTACGACGGTCATTTTCCTGTCTGATGACAGACACAACACTTTGACAATAACAGAACATACATCTATACTCTCAACAATATGACTACATCGTGTCCTGGTTTTCTTGATCGATATGGTATATGGAATAATGGTATTTAAATTTCTTTGTATTTTGCAGTAGAGCTTTTGAATATTGAAAGTCGGCTCATGGACAATTCCGTTTTTTATTTTGTTTCGTTTTACAGGATTTGATTGTTCATTGTCTCATATCTGTTGCGGTACAGATACTGATCGTTTTTGTTGCATCCCAACTACCACATTAAATCCATTATCTTCATCGTCATATTCAACTCGGCATCCATCATTTGAAGATTTAGATTCTTACACAATTCCTACATCAAACAGTTTACTTAATGAGAAATGGGTTTTCATACAATTATGTACTATTGGCATATGTCTTGCTATTCTATTACTTATTTTTGTCATTATTTATCTATGTTTTATTTCGATGCGTTGTGGAAAACGCCGAAAGAAAATGTCTATTATTGAAGTATCGCTACCAACGAGATTTCCGTCTTTAAGTGAATCGAAACGGTCAACATCAAATCGAATATCAACAATTAGTAGTACATCAAGTGATGGTAAATCTCGATGTACAGATATATCAATGGTATTAAATACTCCGCTTAATCTCTATCCAACAAATAGTCGTGCGTCAACAATAGCATCATCTTACTATTTGTACCCTAATGAATTTGAATATCTTTGTAAATAAAATAAAAATCTCTATATTCATCGTATTATGTTTGGTTAGTGATTTGTTTGATTCTTTTTCCTTTTTGGTCTAGTTTATTGTACGCGTGAGTAGACAAGAGAAACGGTTTAAAATAAATTTAAAAAAGAAAAAAAACTATCACATATGTACATGAGTTTAAGATATATTACACAATTCTTTATCACCGCCATCTTGTGGCGAACGTTTTGGTTTATTTTTAGATTTTCTCGATTGTCCTGTAGATGAATGTGCCGATTGACTAGGATTTGGTATATATTGTAGTTGTTGCTGCTGCTGCTGCTGCTGCTGCTGCTCTCTTTGCTGTTGCAATTGAGCCTGTTGATATAGACGTTCTTCTTCATCGTGTAATGCTAAAGCTAGATCACGACTAAAAGAAATACAATACAATAAAAAGAATTTTATTTGAAGGATTAAGGACAAACTCTCGAGAAGAATCAGTTGTTTCTGGTTTTTGCCATGTTCGTCCATAACCATCCGTAAATAGAGTATCGTTATCAACATCAGTTAATGTTTCGAAGACTATAGATTTATGCTCTAAATAGCCTTGATCAGACACAAGTACAAGAAGTTGCTTCTAATAAAGAAAATTTAATAATTATTTGTATGCGCTTGTTTTTTGAAAATTACTCGGTTTTTCCATATGGTACTAAAATGGTTATTGCGAAAAAACACAGCTAATTGATTATCGCGCATTGTTTGATTTAATTGAAGAATGCCATAATGTGTTAACTGTGAGCGATATTCATCGAGAAATTGTTCAATTAATAAACCTAAGTAATATTAAAAATTTCACTGGGTTGATTAAACAATTACGAAATACAAAAAATATTTTTAAATGAATGCACTACTCATATGATAGAATTCCTTAAAGGATCTTCATTAAATTTCCCATCTCAGTTTCAATAGAACAAGGAATCGGATCGCCGAGTTTAGTGGTGTTTTATAAAATTCCGTTAAATTGTCTTTAACATAATTCTGTAAGTACAGTACTCTACTTAAAATTACTAATCATCATCATATCTGCAGTAGAATCTTTAATTTATTTTTGCTTTGTAAACGTTTTTAGCCATTGCAACAAATCTGTAGACAATGAAATTATTTGAACTTAGGTATTCGACATGGTGGAGAACTTGCAGAAACAGAAATCTCAATTGCTAAGTAGTTTTTTTAAAAGTCTTAAAGAAAAGGAAATCGAAACAAATTACTAAAAATGTCTTCACACTTATTGCATTAATGTCGATTGGCGGAGTTTTCATCGATCATTTCGATGCATATCTTTAAACAGCATGAATCAATACATTGTGACATTGATCATTCATGAATGACTCGAAACGTTTACTATTTTTGAACACTCAACATTGTTATTAAGGATTTTTCTAGTTGAAGATGCTTTTGTTTATGACTGAAGAGTAAACGAATCGTTTTTACTTTCTCGAACAAGTTCTTCTCGTTCTGAGTGTCGTTGTCGAATAACTTTTTCAATCAATTGATTATAACTTGCTGCATCTGTAGTCACAATCGTTCGTAATTCAGTATCTTGCGGATCGATAACCCATCCATGAAATAACTGAATATTCAATAAATCAAATACAATACATTCGCGTGTATATTCAAATTGGTCAACACTGAAATATAAAACAAAATTATACTGAAGAAAACATTGCGTTTTTTCATTACCCATCGAATTTCAAATTAACATCTAAGCCTGTTTTAAGTTTTTCAAGAACAGCTAGCGCATCTTGAACATTATGCTCATAGTTTGCTCGTTCTTCATCAGATAATTTCTGGGAAAAAAAAATATGATCAAGAAATAAAAATCAAGAATATTTATTTATCTTACAGATTGATCAAGTTCCAGAATGTAGTCGGCAAGTAACGTTATAACTCGTTCGGTAGTGATTGCATCGATGTCTGGATTAAGAACTATCTATAATAAATATTTAATGAATACTTGTTTTTTTTCTTCGCCTTCTTCTTTGTCATTAAGATTTTTACTCGTTTTCGAAGTAATAGAATATTGAAAATAGCAAGTAGAGGACATGGACCATTCACATTTTGTAAAAGAATTGGTAATCTTTCAAAATTAAATTCAATCCATTTAATTAAATGAAAATCATTATCCTTGGAAGGCTTTGTATCAGGTTCAGATATTGATTTTTTCAATTGTGAATCGACATCAGCCATATCTTTCGAACATTCATTTGAACCATCAGTAGTCAATTTTAACTTATCTTGATCAGACGAAACAATAACATTTTCTGTATTGGAACAAGTTAATTCATCAACTTTTTCTGTTGGTTGAGCCGATAATAATTCTGTATTAGACATGATTATTACAGAAAGTATTTATTATAAAAATTTAATTAAATATCAACACGCAAATCTCTATGGAAAAAAATAGCTAGCTAGCCAGCTCAAAATATTTAATCTCGATAGATGATTGGTTCGGAACATGATCAATATTTTTCTTACTGTATTCGTGTGTGATCTACTACTGACTCATGTGAATGAATCATTGCAGTATTTCTAAAATGAACTCATTTATGCACTTGTATAGTTGATTTTTAAATCTGGGGGAAATAAAAAAAACTAATTATACGCAAAAATTAGGCCTAGCTCACAATATTTTTGTATAATAGTTTCGTTGTGGCGCTTCTTCTTTTTAAAGTCTCTTAGTGTTATTCACCACCGACTTCATAGATATTCTTCGTTTCATTCGCTCTGTTGCAATTAAATGGGTAAGCAACAATAGCAAGCAGACCAATAGAATGATACTGTTACATATATTACTGATTCCATATCATTTCCATAGTAACCCTCTGTCATGAAACCAAATCAGCTAGTGTCACCTATTCATTTTCTATGGAGCGCCAGCAAAATATATATCACACCGTGTTCCTCAGTTTATGCTGATTCCAAATGTGTACAAATTTTAATATTTGGTTCGGTTTTAAAAACAAATATTCGATCAGTGTATTTAGAAATAACCAGTAAAAAACAAGCGTCTACCTTTTTTTCTTTCTTTCATTCATTCATCAGTCAGTAGATTAGTATTTTGTTTTTGTTATTTTGTAATTTGTTATCTGCTTTGATTAAAGATTAATCATGAAATATTATTGATAATATTAACGACATCTATTATTAAAGAGTCGGTAGGAATAGGAGTACAGAGGAATAGAATGGTGACAAAAACGATGTGCCTGGATTAAGACGGAGAGTCAAACATCATCTTGATCGTATAATCATTATAGAAGATAGATGAAAAATGAAAGATAGAATACAGCTGTCAAACAAAACGATAAACAAACGATCATGAAATATCTCTGTCAACAATATGTCGCTGATTATACTCTATGCTCGAGCGTAATGAGCCATAGGTTTTTGTGTGTGCTGAAAAATACTTCTCGTTAAATTTTAACGTTAAAATTCAAAAAAGACATTACAAAATTGAATATTGATAGAAATATCGAATTTTGCTTTCATTATACAAATTTGAATATGTTTTTTGTTTTCGAGTTAAATATGTAGTATCTGATCGTAATATACGCGATATAAATGACTGAAACTTTGCGATATACTACTAAACAATTCGAGTACAGATGAATAATGTCAAATAATAATCATAAATCGTTTTCATGGTTGTTATTTATTTGATATAAAATAAGTCATGATTCAAGCCTGGTATATCAAAACTTGAAAATCGATGTAGACATGCACGAATATATTTACGATTCCCAAATAGGGCTCTATATCATAGATTGAAGATGCAGCTTCTTTAGTTAATCATATTTAGGCATTTGTTTTGTGCACTAAAAATGAATTTTGATTTATATTTTCGTCTCGTTATTTGTGTCTCCGGTGAAACAGGTGAATCATATAATTACACCTGCTTAAACATATTCTGGCTAGAATTGCGTCTCACTCTTGTATTTTTTTTAAATTGCGCACACTTATATTAATCCAATATACATAAAGTAAGATGTAGAGATAAGAAAACATGCGAAGAAATTGTATGAAAAACAAACTGATTCTCAATATGACTGATGATAATAGTCAAATATCTATACTCATAGCATATGATTATATATGGTTTTGCTGAGATTCATAGAACGTCGCACAATATATTTTCTTCTTTCTTCTGGCGTCTTCAAAAAGTCTTTTATTGTGAATCTTAACTCAAAGAGAAAGAACAAAAAAATACTATTGTTAGATCACAACGGCATGTCTCGTATACAGTGATTGTATGATTGCATTGAACTTTTACAGGAGAATCTCATATTTTTGTTTCGATGCGACACTTTGTTCACATTGAAGACCTAATTTAGAATAGCCTGCATACACGTTTTCAGAATTTTCATTCCTAACTTGAAAGTTTGTCATGTGAATGAGTGTGATTGTAATCCTTTACACGAGTAAATTTTGAGATAGGAATTCAAAAGCCTGATCATTTTACAAATATGGAATGCTGAAGTCGAAATTCACTAACAAGTTTAGATCTTCTCATTACCAGGTATTAAGAAGAAAATTGTCGGGATTGACGTATTTGGCGGTGCTTTGCAGCATACATGAAATTCAGCTGGAAAAGCGAAAGCATACCTATGAATGGTCCCCTTGCAGATGTAGATGAATTAGGTATTTCTGTAACCAATTATACGTTGAAAACTAACATTTCATCATTCAATTGATCTAGACGGCTCACCTATATACTGTGGATATCAATATGTAAATAGCAAGGAAGTGAATCATGCTGCTTGAAAATAACAAAACCTCTCTATCAATCCTTTATGGGTTACTCTCAACTCGTCCCCAATTCATCTCCTCCTCATTAATTGATTCTCAATTCGTCCCCCAATTCAATGGCTACTAATTGGTGACTAATTTGATACACAGATGATTTTCAACAATCAGCTGTTTTATTCCAGAGTAATATAAGGAACAAGAAAAAAAAACAAAAGAAATAAATGAGAAAACATCGGATTCGCGTTCGATTGTTACGTGCGCTGCAAAAACTGAGTCGATTGATATGTTTCGAATAATTCTGAGAAAAAAAATCCCTGCCTCTTCTCAGGAATGGTCTGGTCAATACTGACAATTTTTTCGATAACTCAGCCATTTCTTGGCGAATCCTTCTCATCTTCGAACTCGACTGAGATATTGATGAGATCATTCTGTGTACAAAATTTCAAGACAGTTGGATGAGGTTTTCAAGAATTATCGTGTTAACGGCCGGACACACTTTCTTTCGTTTACGCACTTGACCTCGCGACTCTGCGGACTTGTGATGCAGGTATTCGTGCTAAGCACATCACATATATATATGCAGAGTGCTCTACGCAACAACGAATTTTCTTATTGATGACTATTATTCTTATATTTGTTTTTAATTGTTGCTGGACAGGGACGGGCTAATTTGGGGGGCGACGAATTGACTATCAATCAACTAGAAACGAATTTTGTGGGGGATGAATTGAGAGTCAATTAAGGGGGGGGGGGTGGTGACCCGGGGAGATATTCGGCAAGGGGGGAACCGAGAGGATTCCATTCTTTATCTATAAGACTTATTAATATTATTCAAATTCCTAAATTATCTGTAGAAAACAGAAATGCAACTCAACAAGGCTCCTTATCTTTATCACCTAACCAAATAGAAGAACTCTTTAGATTGCAAAGAGTAATAAATCAATTTCATTTGTGATTTTGTTGCTCTTATGAATTTATACGAATGGCGCTTTCTAAAATTAAAGGAAAATAAAACAACGATGTTAGTGTGAGAAAAAAACGAAAGAGAAAGACAAACACTTCAAGTGAATCATTTGATGCTTACAAAAATCAATAAAAGAAAGGATAAGAGATTGGATATATGCAATATTTAAATGTTCGAATATTTTTTGTTCCTATTGTTCCGCAATATTCTTTATAAACCTATTCACCCTCTATAATCATTTTCTTTTTATTTATTATAAAAGACAAATTTAATTTACGATCAGTTCTTAAGATATCTAAAGAAACAAATATACATATTTGGTAGAAAACATTGAAGTAAGACAAATCGTTTTTGATTTTTGTACGTACATTTCTTTCTTCTTCACAATTATGTTAAATATTGGATTTTGCGATAGTACATGCGTTTCTTCAAGAAAAAATCGGTGTCACCAGTGATACCACAAGAAACATCTAATCAAATTATACTAGAAGAACATGGATCCCGTCCGATTTCTGCTCATACCAGAGTATCACATCAGATTGTTGATGTCCCAGCCGGTGAACATGTAAAATTCTCTAAACTACTGAGTTGTTGTCAGAGATGTTTCACAAAAGAAAATCTTAAAGAACAAGCTTTATTAATTGGAACGATTTCGGCTGTTGTACTTGGTATTGGAATTGGAATCGCTCTTCGAACTCTCAAATGTCCTAAAAGTAAGAAGACTAGAATTTTTATTACAAGAAAAAATGATTCTTTTTTTTTTGAGTCAATTCTGCATCTAATTTAAGCCAAACTTTAATTAGTTTTTTTTTCTAAATCTATCGTTTCATTATAGACGAACGTGTTGATGGATGTCGTATTACAAAAGAAGATATAACTTATATTGATTTTCCAGGGCTAATCTTTGTCAATATACTTAAAATGTTGATACTGCCATTGATTGTTTCAAGTATTATTTCATCTTTAGCTCAACTCGATGGACAATCTGCCGGGAAAATGGGTATTCGAGCATTAGTATATTATTTGGGAACAACATTACTTGCAGCTATTCTCGGTATTATTCTTGTATTAACTATACGACCGGGAACACGTGGTGGCGCAGTAGAAATAAATCCTAATTCAAAAGCAGCCGAAGGTCGAACGATTGATACAGTTTTAGATTTATTCAGGTAAAAATAAATAAATAGAATGCAACGTTCTTTCTCATAGTTATATTTAGAAATCTATTTCCCGAAAATATTGTAGAAGCTACATTTCGTTCCGTAGGTTTATTTTTTCTTCTTATAAAAAAAAGAATAGTTCACAATATGATTCTTATTTATTAGGCTGGTACTGATCTTAAAGTAAATAGAACGTTTTATTTCCAACGCCAATGAAAAAAATACAAGTAGTATGAAATTCTATCTAAAGAAAAATTTATAAGAAAACTATTTAGGTTACAATATAACTATTTATACGCCAGTAGTAGTAAAACGTGATGGTATTAATGTACTTGGTTTACTACTTTTTTGTATTATATTCGGTATATTGATTAGTCGTTTGAAAGAAAAAGCGATAATATTAAAACATTTCTTTGAAGCAATGCTTGAAGTTGTTATGCAACTTGTACGTATTGCTATGCTATATAGTCCTATTGGTGTCTTTTTTCTAATTGTTGCTAAAATGCTTGAAATGGATGATCTAGGTGATTTCGTGGGGTCACTAGGTCTTTACATGGCGACAGTTTTAGCTGGTTTATTTATACACGGTTTTATAGTTTTGCCTCTGCTTCTTTTTGTCATTACACGTATAAACAGTTTTAAATATATACGTGGCATGAGTCAAGCATTAGTTACAGCGTTTGGAACCGGTAGTTCATCAGCAACGCTACCTGTAACATATAGATGTGTAGAAGAAAAAAATCATATCGATCCAAGAGTTTCACGCTTTGTTTTACCTGTTGGAGCAACAGTAAATATGGACGGAACAGCATTATACGAAGCAGTAGCAGCTATTTATATTGCCCAATTGAATGGTATTCCATTGAATGCAGTGAAAATTATTGTGACAAGGTAGAAAACAGATCCAGTTGAATTTGTTTTCTTTTTAAATCTGCGTTCACTTTTTAGTTTAACATCGACACTGGCATCGATCGGCGCTGCAAGTATACCACAAGCAGGTCTCGTAACTATGGTTATTGTTCTCAATGCACTTGGGCTACCACCTGAAGAAGTTCGAACTATCTATGCTGTCGATTGGCTCCTGTTAGTTTATCATCAGAATCAATAGTTATCTGTTTAGTATCATATAATCTTTTCTTTTCTTGTTATTTGTAGTGATCGATTTCGTACTGCAATCAATGTATTTGGTGATTCGATTGGTTGTGCTATTGTACAACATTTATCACGTAAAGAACTTAGTGTACTTGATGAAGAAATTGTTGCTGCTACTGTTAATACGAATCATTCGGCTACTGTTCTGCCAGTGTTAGTATCTGACGATGCAGACTACAATTCAAGTAAACCTGATGGCAACGTGATTGATCCAGCAAATCATAAACTATTTTCTTCTACTACTGTTTAAGACAATCGAACATTTACAAATCAATCGTAAATAAACAATAATATAGATCAAACAAGTTTCTGAATAGATAATTTCAGTACAAATTGTCGTTGAAATAAAACAATGTTTATTTTATAACAGAATTGAAATACATTTTTGTTTATTTTTTTTTCGATAAACTTGCGTAAAATCAAAACAAAACAAAATTCCTGTTCAATATAAATTGTGATCGACTGAACGAAACAGTATTAATACTATGTAATCATGACATATTATGAACCCAATAAAGTTCTTACATGATATTATCAATAAATACGATAGTAACATCGGTTGATTGCTTCCTTCAGTAGAATTAAGGCGATAATTATCTATGACAGTTCTTTTTCGACTGCAATAAGTAAAAGAAAAGGATAATTGTCAATAACTAATGCTGCCTGTCTACTATGATACAAGATTCATATTATCGTGAATATCTCTACTAGAAAAATATCAGCTAAACAGATGAAATTTATTTTTCTTTCTCTTGGTCAGCATCTGTCATTTCTTGTTTGTTCGGTGTTTATCTTAATCATGCAATAGAAGCATACTGATCGTAGACATATTCTTTCTTTTCCCTCAATCTCTCACCAACATATATTTCTTCTTCATGCTAATTGTGGTATAATTGCAATTCTCTCATATCGTGAACAAGAATGGCAAGAACTAATACAACTAAGATTATAACCAAAAATTCGACAAGAATAATATCATTGAATAAATCGCCAAGTATTATGTGCAATGAATTTATTGATGCGAATGGTGTTAGAAATAAGGGTTCGTTTTCTTAAATCAATGGAAAAGCAAAATGATATTGAATGACTTGGTTTGTATTTTATAGGTTTTACTTGTCCAATTCAAAATTTCGTGCAATATTTTTGTTGTAATACAAATAATTATTATTTTTGTTGTACACCTGATCGTTATTTATTGGAAATAAATTCTCAGCATGAACCCATTTATATAGCTGGCCAATATCAACCTTCAAATCAGATCACACTCGATCAAAATTATATTGGTGCATTGATAAATAATTCTAGAATAATCAATAAAGAATTTATATTATTTCAAAAACTTTTTTTACCAATTTTTTTACTCAGCTCAAGTATTCTGTTTCTTATTGGTATTGCTCTATGGTTTTGGCTATACAAACATAAAGTATTCTATGCATTGGAACAAGATAATTTTAATAAACCAAATCGGACAGTAAAAAGAACATCACAGTCAATGTGTAACAATCTACTGTCAACAAAGAAAAACACCATTAATTTGCCTATGGAACGAAAGTTACGAAGAATATCATATCCATCAACTGAAGTTTAATTATGATTCTAGGCTAAGATTTATTTCATAGAAAAACATAATTATCTTATGTTTGTCAAATTAATTAACTGTCGAATATCATTTGTTGGTTTTAGATTAAAACAGTATTTCATGTAACTTAACAGTCATTACTATTTATCTGATTCCGTCCATTGCATTGCATTTTGTTGATGTTTGATTAAAAGAAAATATTCAACAGGGTTTTTTTTTACTGTATTTGATGTTTTTTTGGTTGCTGGAATTATCATAAAATTTGAAACTGATCTAATTATTGAGTAAGTTATTCATTCAAAATATCAGATATCTTGAATGATGATATATCTGAATGAACATAACGTCACTGGTGAAAGTTGTGAATTTAGATTAATCGAGATCTAAACTATAGTATATTTTCATGTAACATTTTCTATCTCTAAGGTTCATTGCAAAAGTTCATTTTTTGCTATTGTTAGGTTTTTTCTGATAAGCATTTATAGAAAAACCGCTCAGTGATTTATGGACGAACACATGAGATCAACGAAGGAGGAATCACTGCATTGTGATTATAAAACTCACTATTGACTAGCAACAAATGTGAGAAATAATTATATCAAGGCTTCATAAAGCCTTATTTGTTATCGAAAAAATATACGTGTTACTTTATGCAATGATGCCTGCAATAACATACAAAGATACGTTAAAGTAATCAAAACTATATGTGTTCGAGCTACCAGTATAGATCAAAACAACTATACTGATTTGTCGGTCTGAATGATTTCAATAGATGTCGAATGCCTAGCAAGGGCTTCCAGGCATTCTCCATCTCAACGTGTCAACAATGTTCTCTTTGTTACTGTTATTAAGGCAAATGATTAATCAAAAAGTGATTGGTTTGGTGAAAACGATTGCTATGCAGTTATTTCAATGGAACCTCTGTCTATGGACGAAACAAAGAAGAATACAGATATGAAACATCACACAGAAACCTATCAGAAGATGCAGACTCACGATGGTTGGAATCCAATTTTTAATGAGAAGCTTTTATTTCCTTTGCCAGAGAAATTAGAAGCAATATATGTTCAATTGTGTGGGATGCAGACTATGATAAAGACGATCTGTTGGCTCATGGAATTTTGAATTTACTGAATGATGAGCAGGGTGTTCAATATGATACAAACTTGAATAAAGAATGACTTCATATAGCAAAAATTTCAATGCTCCAACAACTAGATGATTATGGTTGTGCTTAGAACTCATGCTGCATTTTATATCAGAGACAGTCGCAGCTTATCTGAGCAAAAAGTTCGATGCCACTCAGGCAGAAGTTAAAAAAAAACTATCACAACAAATAGTTGGGGAAAATACCGATGCTGCTACAAATAAAATTAGAGGATATGTGGGGGTTGGCTATTAAAGTTTAATAAAATAAGATTTGTGACAATATTTTTTTATTTAGATTGATGTTAGTTCATTTTTAACCTAGCATGAAGTTGTATATTTTCATTTGATATCCGTCGAATTTACTGGAAATCAAGACTCTTTCATCGAACATATAACACCCGCACATCACTAATCAAATTAACTCAAGAAAATGACGAGAACATTTCGTAAAAATGAACCTATTCAACTTTCAAGAGCAAGAACTAGAAGTAGTAATATTCAACTGTAGCATTTTAATACTTTATTTACCAATAGTTTTGTCAAGTATCTCTAAATTACTTGAATTTTGAATATCAACCGCTTGATCACTAGCAAGGAAAAAATAGAATGTTATCAATTTGTGATTTAATATCAGTTAGAGTTACTTATTTGACTTCAATTCATTGTTTTCCCCGTTCCAATACATGCAAGAAATTGGCAAGACTGTTGCTTATGATTCTGTAGTTTTGCTTCTTATAACTATTCACCTGGCTAACAACTTGATTCGATGTTCTATTAGTCTAAACTAATTTTAGTCGCACGTTATTTCAAGTTACTCTTTATGATCATTTTACATTCGACTATTGTATACTATATTGGGAATGTGCGTGTTGAAGGTATTTTCAAAAGATTATCGATGAACATTTTACCGTCGAATTTAGTTCAATCCATGAGATCAATTTTGAGAAATATTAAAATTTTCCTCGAGCATGACTAAATAGTGCTGGCACGAATGAACCAGTTTTCGTCGATATGTAGAGTGTCTGTTTCCAATTTGACTATGATACTGAAAATATTTATATTGTCAGAGTATTCATCAATCAGTCCGGTTATACCTGCATGTGCTTTCAGATACTATCGAAGATCGAACTCATAACCGACCACGCTAACACAGTCAGCTTAGTTCCACATCAGGGCTCCGCGTGGGACGGATTGGGACGAAAAAAATCGTCCCATGGGATGGGACGAAATATTTTTGCGCCCAATCCCATGATCCCATGGGACCAGAGTGACCCGATCGAAAATTCAAAAATCAGAACTTTTCTTGTAAAAATCAGAAAACGACCAGAATTTTTTTTAGGAATATCAGAAGTTTATCAGAAAGATCATTTTTTGTGATATAGCGACTTCTGTATTAAGATGATGGCATTAAGTATTTCATTACATTAATTTTATTGACTAGTATCTCATTTTCAAAGTTTTATCACTTTAAAGATGAATATTTATCAATAGAATGTTTCATAAGCGAGAATCTCGAAATCAAGAAAAGAAATTTATCAAATTCAAGTGCATCGCTGTAGCGGAAGTTCCTTATATAAGTCAGAAATTATCATCGGATAATTGAGAAAAAAAAATTTGACGCAATAAACTATAATAGCAATGAGTTATAAGTATACTGAAGTACACCTGCAAAACGGGGATGTGAAATATTTTCGAATTCGGAAAGAAATCAAAAGAAAGTATTAAAATCAGGAATAATCAGAATATGGTACGACAATCAGAAGATCTGAAGAAATTCAGAAAGGGCTTCGAATTTCGTTCCCTCTACTGAAACGAGGGTATTACGAAAAACGAGTTAAATGTGTTCGTTCGGCCAATAGGAAAGCAGATGCATAAACTTAACAAACCGCAAACAATATCTGTAGTGATAGGTTTCACCGACGGTAATCGGGGTCGGGGAACACGACGGCGTTGTCGGTTTTTTGAAATTTTGTATTTTGCTTTTTTAGGAGAGCGAAATACTTTTTTAGAAAAAAAGTTTTTGTAAGGGTCGACCGAAGGTAATTGGGGCCGATGAACTCTAATCTGGTGTCAGATTTTCAGAATTTATGATCCTCAACTTTTTCAGTGAAAAAAGTATTTTTTCGAGAAAATAGTTTTCCTTGTAAAATTTGATCAGATGCTGTCGGGCTCGAGGGAGTCGAATCGCAGGTCAGATTTTTGAAGTTTCGCGTTTTACTCTTTTTAGGGAGAGAAAGAGAGTTTTTTAGGGAGAAAATCACTTTGTTTAAAGTTTGACCGAAAGTTTTTGACGCGGAGTCATTCGATTTTAAGTGTAGTTTTTCAAAAATATTTTGTCATCGTTTTGATAAACAAAGAGGGTTGCACAGAGGTCTATTGCACAGAATGAACACATGAGCTTTTTCAAAAGTAAAATTCAGTGACCAGCAACTGACGAGTAACTGGCATTTCGAAAGTGTTTAGGAGTACCACAACGAAGAATACATGTCATCATATCTCTACTAGCCAGTTTCTGTCAACAAATACGCTTCTGTTATTACTCTTCTTTTTATTCCTTTTATATCCATTTTCAAACTTGATTTCAATTTGAATCGACAAGAATCAAACAAAACAGAAAAAGGAAATAAACACACACACATATAAAAACGTATATCCCTTTTTATATTCTCCTTTCATACGTTCTCCCCTCTCATATCTCATCACATACCGATGACGTTTCTCTTATTGAATAGGGATATATTTAGTACATGGAGAGAGACAAGAGAGAGAAAAAAAACATCAAAAGAAAGCAATGGATGGCACCATAACGAAACACAAAGCAGAATATAGAAGATATATCCTAACTAAATTTATATCATGGTCATCGGCCATGACAGCTTCATATTAGCTTCGTTTAAGACTTATCTTCCGATGACAGGAAATGACAAAATATTGTTAAGCTATGAGATTCTCTTTAAAAGAGAAATATCCCAGAGAATGTCGCAATTATGCATGTATATAAAGGGTGGTACGATGTGGTATGTTTCATTATTCATTTTAATGTGTTCGTTGTGTACAAGTACTTCAACATGAATATATTTGATACGAAAACAAAGCTCCCATATTATTCAGTATTGGTATTTCTGACATTGTCATTATTTAACCAAGTGGGTGGTCGAGTAACCGATGTAGATGGTAAGCTAAATAATTTTTTATTAAGCGTATCTACTATTCCAGATGAAATGATGTATTGGAACTGTTCTTACCGCGGAAGTTAAGTAAGAATTTAGCTATGAAATACGTAGAAGTGTCTTGCTCACAGAACCAACACTATCTACACTGTAAAAAAATCCGCAGAATAATAAACGGTAAAAACGTTTTTGATAGGGTATTTAACAAAAAAAAGGGTTTATGAAAGTGCAACATATCATAAACCCTTTTTTTCCGTATTTGACGAAGATAATAAACGGTTTTTAGGTTTATGATTTAGAAAAAGGGTTTATCAGATTTTTCAAAAACGGAAAAAAAGGGTATGTGACACGTTGCACTTTCATAAACCCTTTTTTTTACAGTGTACTGGGAGGGGTGCGCTTATATGTGACACATACAATGGTTCTATTAATTTCAATCTGTATTTCATGTAAAAGAGGGGCACTTGATTTCAAATTGAAGTGAGGTTCTTATGAATTAGATACTGGTACATATAGATATGTAGATCCTTTTTTGTTTTGGATGGTCGAACTAGCCGGTGTTTGGGGCGTTTTAAAATGATATGTTACACTGTGAAAAAAAAATGCGCAGAATAATAAACGATTTAAGGGTTTATTAAAATGCAACGTATAAGAAACCCTTCCAAAGGTTTATTCAGATTGTTCTAAACC